TCAAGGTCGGTGTCCTTGAAGCCACCCTTGCCGGCCTTGGCGAGGGGAGTCCGCAGAGCAAGCGTAATGACAACATCGTCGGGATTCTTCTGGGTGCTAGCAGTCCAGCAGGTCAGAATCAGGGAGCAGAGGAAACAATTTCGGTGCGCTTACATGGTCGAGAGCCCGTTTGCCCCTGACGGCTTGAGGTGGCTCAGAATGGAGCTCAAACGATCTGTGGCCATGGTGGGAGAATTGGAGCGGAGAAAGTTGAAGTAACTAAATATATTTGACAGATAACGGTTAGCAAGGAGGGACTAGGTTGGGTTGGGTTCAATGCAACGACAGTGTAATAAAACAACGTACCTGAATCAATTATAGAAGGATGAAGATGAGAAAGTCAAGGAAGATGGGAGAAAGGAGAGAGCGAGAGAAATACGGCGTGGAGAAGCAGACATAATCAAGTCAAGTGATGTCAAGCAGAGCCGACAGCCGAGGCTCATCTGCTTCCCGACTGGAGAGGATGTACCCTGTACCTTGGCGCTGCTGCCCTTGCCCGTGCTAGCTCATGTACCTGTGACTTGTAGTTCCCGCCGGCGCTGCAGGTTAATAATGGGTCGGAACTTGATTTTATGTCTTTGACCAGAAGGGAATTAGGATCGAGCCAGGAAATTGAGGCTGCTTATTATTGTACCTTTGCACAATTCATACACGGATGCAGCTTAATAATGCACAAGTACATAGTTATTTACCCTGTGCTACAGCTTCCTTTGTAGTGCCGATCATATCCACCGTAGGTGGTATGAGCATCCTCATGCCTCATAACATCAAGAATCTCAAAGTTGACTTCTGTAGGTAACTGATACCTGTGCTAACAATAGTCTCTACAAATACCTAATCGAAGAAAGAAACCAAAAAAAGCACCAATGATACCCCAAGCAAGAAGGAAAAGCTCCGAGCAAGAAGACGGAACAAAAAAAGGAAACAAAGAACAACGCCTTGTACTCCAGGTAAAATCCCCGTGGCGCTCGCCCAAGCAGTTGATTAGTCTATACATGTTTCACCCCGCACGATTACAGCCCGTGGTGGTTGGAATTGAAATCGTCGTTGCTGATGACGCTGCCAACCTCCGACCAGCTGGCTGAAGTTGCTGCCCCGGTCGACCGTCCCAAATCACTCAAGGTGCCATCCGACGACGCGTCCTCGGCCGACGCATAGATCTGGCTGAAGCTGCTGGTCGAGGACGGTGTGGAGGGACGGTCGCGGTGCTCGAAGCTGGTGGGGTCGAGATCGGACAGATCTGCGAAGGGGGAACGCATGTCTCCATTGGTTTCATTGGCTGTAAGGCCTGGATGATTAAAGAGAACTTGAGACTGCTCGGTGCGGTTTGACGAGGATGATCGCGAACGAGATTGTCCCGCGTCGTTCATATTGTCCAAGGTGTCCAAGGTCGACATCGAGTGGTCCATTCCCGATGTCTCTGAAGTAGGTGTGTAGTTAATCAGTGTGGCGGATTGGGCAATAGGCGGCGGAATAGCAATATGCAATTTATCATTACCGGCGGAAGCGCTCGCGCTCGCGTTTGACGGCCCCTCCTCGCCGACCAAGGGTGCCAGCGAATCGGTCTGCTGCTTGCCACCGCGCTGAACGACCTGTGATGTCCCCAGTTCCACGGCGGTTGAGTTCGCCAGCGATCCGTTATACGCACCCGAAGTCTCCGTTCCCAGCAGCCGGCCTTCATCGTCGACCAGTGCGTCAAACGATCCTGGCCGCGCACTCTGCCGTCTTTTACGATGTTCCTCAAGCATGGAGCGTCGGTTCTGGATGTCTTCCCGAACTAATCGCCGTCGCTCTTCGGCTTCGGGGCCCAGTTCCTCGGTCATGGAGATATCCTGACTAGGGGATGACGTAGCGTTTCGCGGTTGGATTTCATCGCCGAGGTGGTGCAGGGCCACTGCAATTTTCCGTCGCGAATTATCGACCCATTGTCGAAACTGAGGCGACTCGTAGACAGCTATGCCCGCCGCCACGAGGGCTGACACGGTAATAATAACTCCTTGGGTTGATGTTAGCACATGCTAGTCAGGGCGGAAATGCGAAGCGCTCCACCCTACTCCAACTTCTACCACTGATAAGCACACCGCCTGAGTTGGGGCGGAAGGCCAGTAGTTTAGTAGTAGACAGGAGTCGTAGTGATGAGAACGGCAAGGAGCTTGATGGAAAGAAGCTCGAGATCACAGCAGAGACTCACCTTTTGCAACGGGCGACATAACAAACCGCTGGTGTAGGCAACAGGAGATGGACGAGTGTCAGCGTCATGTTGCAAGTCCCGTTCAGTCAGGTCACGCCGTTCCCCGCTGCGCCTCCACGTGACTGGCCGGCCCTTATCCAGCAGCCCTACATTGCATCCGCTTTGGGTAGTCCGTTGTTTTCCCCTCCGCGTCTCGTCCTTCTCTCTTCCTCTCTCTCTTCCTCTCCCAACTACATCAACCTCCTCTGGAATCTTATCACTTCGACTGCCTGATAATGTCTCGTCCATCTTCGATCGCGCAGCGTCCCTTGACGCTCACCGAAGAATTGGAGAAACTCGAACAATCCATCACGCTCACGTTGCAGGGTATGATAAACAATCGGGCATCCAATCCCGACCCGTTACTAACCGCCGTATTCTCTATAGAGATCGACCACAACTTCAGCCAGGCCCACCGCATTGTCACCACTAGCATTCTCCCTCTGGTGGAACAATACGCAGATCACTCGAAAGATGTCTGGGAAGGCGCAAAGGTTTGTAAGCCTGCCCTCCCCAGCTCGCTCCCCCAATTAACCTAAGCATCGCAGTTCTGGAAACAATTTTTCGAAGCAAGCGCCAATGTCTCCCTCTCCGGCTACGAAGAGAAACCCGAAGAGTCCACGATGCAAGACCAAACCATGACGGAAGAGGAGGTGACACAGAGCGACCTCAACGAAAGCGCTTCCTACGAGACCCCGTCCTCGGAACGCCACCACCAAGCCGATGATCTCGAACTCACCGAGCTCAACGCATCCTCTCACAGTACACCCCGCGCCCAGCTTGACCGACACGCTCACCCCGAAAACGACACCACCGTGACTTCCTCCATCGCCCACCCCTCCCCATACCACGAGCCCGAGCCGCAGTTCGAAGGCAAAGACTCCATGCTCCCCTCGACGCCGGGCCGAACGCCATCCCGACCCCAGGACCACACATACGAGTCAAGCCACGCATTCGACGACCCCATGTCCTCCTCCCCGTTCATCGAGCGCGGAGCATACGTGCCCGACGTCCCGATGAGCCACCAAAAAGACTCCGATCCAGTCATGCATCGCTTCCAAGACAGAACGTATCGCGTCCAAGCAACACCCCTCAGAAAGGGCTACGGCGGCGGAGCCAGCAATCGCCCCAAATTCACCGTCACGCCGAAGACGTCGACCTCCAAGTCCAAATACGGGTTCGAGGAATCTCCGCTCTCGAGTCCCGAGATGGAAGCGCCCCAACTCCACGCTGAGATTTTTTCCTCGCCGCTTAAGGCCAGAACACCCGGTACGGGCCGGAAAAGGCGCCCCAGCAGTAACCATATGCGTGTCACTCCGCAGCCCGGATTAAGCGTGTTGACTCCTGCCAAGGGCGGTGGGAAATATCGGTCTGAGTTCGACAGCGATGAGGACATGGTTGACGATGACGATGAGGACTTTGGACCGAGTCCCCCGAAGACGATGCAGTTCCATATTCCGCAGAGTCGGTTGATGAAGACGCCTGGTCAGTTTTTTGTTTTTCTTGCTGAGATCCCCGGTTTCTTGGTACCGTGTTCGAATGCATTGCTAACTCTACCCCCTGTTTTAGCGAAAGAAGCATCCAAGCGCATCGTTGAGGACCTCCTCTTCACCGCAGGTGCAAACGACACCACTGACGACGTACCCGACGAACAGAGCCCCAGCGTCATCCGACGAGTCGAGCGATTGGAAGACGAAACCTTCTAGATGGCTTATCTATACTTGTATGTTACTGTGATGTAGTTTGTGAGCCTTGTCCATTTCACAAATATATATCCTTTCCTTCTTGGCCGGTCTTTCTGAGTCCATTTTGCCTCGTCTAGCTGTGCCAATCAGCTACGAAACAACTCCCGTTATACAGGCAAGGCAAGTTTGAATTAAGTATCTTATTGCTAGTCAGAAAGATCGCGTAGAGAAAGAATTGTTTAAAGATTTTGCTCGCATCGTTGCGTCTAGCACCCTCCCTCTCCTACTCCACCTCTTTCCCAGATAAAATAATGCTAGGGCTACAGTAACTATCACCCTCGTAAACCCTTAAACAAACCCCTTGAACCTCATCGATTAAAACACGCTCAGGGAAAATCAGACCCGCGCCGATAGGCAAAACACTGAGTTATAAACCAGAGAGGAGAAAATCCAAAGAAACGCGAAGGAAGATATTTTCAAACATCCGCACCATGGAAGTCCGGAAAGTGTCAAGTCAGGAAGGGCAGACAGAGAACTAATGAAAGAAAAAGAAGTAACTAACTTCGAGCCTGCGGAATCGAGACCAAAAGATATAAGTGAATAAAGGCGAGATTACATGAGCGTATTGGTATTGCAATGGACACGAAGAAAAAGGGTATCGAGCATGAGGCGCAGATCATCAGGGGAGGAAGAGGAAGGAAGGAGAGAGAGAAATGTGACTCAGGGGCTGGAAAGACGGTGATAAGGATGACGATGACGATGAGTGGATGCATGGGAAAAAAAAAAAAAAAAAAACAATTCCCAACAGGATATATGTATGTACAAGCTGTCGAAGAGGCCATGTTTAGAGGGGTATTTCTAACGCCGAACAGATCTGAAAAGCGAAATATTCCCCTTTTCTCCAAAACGTCAAAATGGTGGAGAAGAAAAACAAGGAAATGGAAAGATGAGAAAAAAGGGGGAGAGAAAAAGAAACGCCTCGAGATCCCTGATTCCAGACCAGGTAAAAAAAACCAGGCTTCTTCAAATGGCGCAAAAACGGGACTTTAGCCCTGCATTCCCATGAAAATCTCTTGACAGTTATCCACCAAGAATTTCAAGACCTCGTTCTTCTTCTGAACATCCGTCATCTCACGGGCCAAGCTCTGCGGCCTCATGATCGTCGGAGCAAACACGACGGCGATGTTCTGGCTGGTCATCAAATTCTCCTTCTCACGCTCAACCACTCGTTTCAAGTGGAACACTAGGAACTCCAGCACATCCTGATGAACCCGAGGCAGCTCGCCAAGGCTCTTCTGCAGGTTCTCGATCCGTGCGGCCTGCGAGGTGATGTCACCCGAGTCGATCACCTTTTCATAGATTTCGTAAGTAATAAGAGGCGTGGGCAACTTCCGGAAGTACTGCTTCAGCGCCGACGTTACGGCGTGAATGTCGAGGTCAGGATCAGAGATATCGTAATCCTGAGGGGACCTTTCGAATCCTTCGCGAATCGTTTGAATCGCTGAACTAGCACCCGATTTACGGTAGATACCTTCCATATCCATGCCTGTTCAAAGAACTTGGTTAGATGATTGCAACCTCGGGGATGCCTCAGGGAGGAACTGAACTCACCTCGCAGTTCAACTTCTTGTATACACCGTGTGACAATGGCAGGAATGATGCTCTTTTCATGCTCCATCCGCTGTTCCAAGTCGGTACCAAAGAGACCTATAGCATCATTAGAATACAAGGCCGGAGAAAGAATAGGATAGGTCGGCGGTTTAAAGGACTTACCGTTCGGGGTGCTTTCTGCCAGGACCGGGACGCTGTCAGTTTGGGGCATTCGGGTGCCCGTCGTCTGCTTGTTACGCTGATTTCCAAAGAACCCAAACCCTTGGCCTTGGGTTTGAGAGCGAGGCAAGCCGGGACTGGGTTCGGTTGGGGCTGCATTTTCACTCGACATGAAGGCACCCTTGATACCCTTGGTGACTCCCTTGGCCACGTTCTGGCCGCCCTTCTTCCAGTTAAACTTACGGGGCTGTCCCTTGCGGATGCTGACGACTTGAGGACCAGGAACGATCGTGGCGGGTTCGGCCTCTTCGGAGACATTGGCAGCTGACACCGACGGAGCCAATTCATTGTTGGCTGCCTTTAGTGCATCGATGGAAGACAAGGATTTCTCCTTGCCGTGGGAGTAGATACCGAGTCCGTTCGCGCCACGGTTGCCTTCCGAGGAGTTGTTTGCCTTGTACAATTCTTGAATCTGATGCACCAGTTGGTTGTTCAACTCGGCCAGCTGCGCGTTCTTCGACGAGAGCTGCTCAAATTCCTGGAAACTCTTGTCCTTCATGCGGTTCAAGTTGGCCAGTTCCTCCGCAGTATCATTCCGTTTCTGCACCAACTCTTCGATCTGCGGCGTGAAGGAATCCTTCAATTTCTGAATGGACTCGACGAATTCTCGGAGCACATGGTTTGTCAGTTTCCCAAGATCCAAGGGGCCACTGGCTCCGCGCCTCTCGGCCTCTAGGTGATCCGTCAGCACCGAGAGTTCTCGCATGACGATTTCCTTCTGAGCATCCAGGACCACCATTGTCGATCGTTTTTCACTGAGTTCTGTGTTGGCTTGTTTGACATCGGCCGTCGCATTCAACATTGCTTCCATTTCGGCGATCTTCTGCTCGCGTTCCATGACGCGCTGACGCTCCTTGCGCAGCTCACTGCGCAACCACGCCACTTCTTCCGAACCGCCACTCTCCGGAGAACCCGCAGAAGGACTCTGAGCTTCCTGGAACGTGGTTCCGTTGACCGGTGATTTGGGCGACTTGGGGTCCCGGGCCAGGCGAGAGCCCTTGTCGCTGAAGCTCCGGCCATGGCGTACCGAGTTCGACATGCGACGTAAGAAGGATTCGCTGGTCTGAGCTGCGTGGGCTTCATCCGAGCTCATGACCCGAGTTAGATCATCGTCCGTAGCGGCATCACCGCTGCCGTAGCGCATCAGAGACGGAGAACTCGCCCGGTCCAGTTGGTGAACGGTGTTGATCGAGTTGGGTCGCGGGGGTTTGGAGTACTCTTGGGTGGCATCGCCACAAGGAGTGCGGAGGGATTCGCCAACCTTGGGCGTGCTTCTGCTTCGTTCATGCCATTGCTCGATTGGGCTGGTCGCCTGCGGGCGCGGTGAAGCCGCGACATCCTTTCGGGAGAACTGATGCAACGAATCTCCTCGCTTAGGAAGATTTTGGATACTGTTGGAGGAAAGGAATGATCGTGCCGAGTCCAGCGATCCTCCGTTCTCGTGCAATCGACGAAGTTCATGCGATGGCCGGCTTGGGAGTGTGGTTGCACTCTCCACGGCTGTCGATCGCTGCGAGTCCGCAGTCGAGCCATCTCTCTGGAGAGTGGTCGACGATTTGGTGCTTTCCGGGCTCGGGGTGGAGAAAGTGCTCGTCTCGTTGGCGCCCGAGGGCAGGTCAGATCGCGAGCTCCGCGAGGAGCCATTCGGACCCATCGCAGCCTCGTCCTGGCGCCAGCGAGTTTGGTCGATGTCGGGACGCTCGCGGCCCTTTTCTTGGTACGCGATGTGAGGCGAAGAGCTCTCCGACTCGTATCCCTCCCTGGGCGATTTGTGTAGATGCTTGTTGGAGTCAGTGTTGGCATCATGAGGTGGCGGCCCTTGGGAACGTTGCTCCTCCGCAGGGTCGAAGGCAAGCGGTATAAGGAACTCTCCGCCGTCTGTTTCAGCTTCTCGCGGAACCACGGAGTGGCGGTTGCTGCGATACGTGCTCGAAGGGAGGATTAAGTTTTCTATTGACAAGGCGATCTAGTCAGTCACGCTGCTCAGGGATCATCGCGGGGCGATGCTGATTGTAAAGTCCTTACCCTGAGGATCATGCGGGCAAGAAGTCCTTCCAGCGTCCAGCGCAGGCCCCGCCCCTCGAGAAGCCACCTCGGTAGTTGCGCCTGCATAGGCATCGGCCGCAGGATCCTCGGCGGATCGTGCCAGGGATTCGGCCTCCTCAGGGGGCAATGACGGCAGTGACTTGTCCAGCTTCACGTTCGGGGCCTGTTTTTTGGAAGGGGGCACAGCACGATTGCGCTTTCGGCGCCGCTGCATCAGCGACTCGTGACAGTCCATGCAGAAGATACCCTGGGAGGTCCGCGCATAGCGCAGGTTTTCAATCTTCTTTTTACAGTTGCGGCATCGAAAACATTGGGAACAAAAGGCCTGTTCTCCCGTCAAGATGGCCAAGTCCTCGATCTTGTTGCCGCAGGAGCTGCAACTATAGGTACAGTTGCTGCAAATTAACGAGCCATCCCCGAGAAGCAGAAGGTGGGCGTCCGAATCAAGAAGGGTGCCGCAAGTGCTGCAGCAAAAACATTCGATATGCCATCGGTTCCCGGCTACAGAGACGGGTCTTGTCAGCGACTATTGTGCCCAAAGTCCAAACACACAAAGTTCCCATAGTTCGCTTACCAAGTTCGAATGCTTTTCCCTCTTCCAAGATCTAGAAAGGTGAAGCAAATGAGTGTCAGCGATACTCTCCCAACCTGTGGCAATCCCGTCCTCATCCCAATCAATCGGTCTAGCATACCTCACCACAACCCTTGCAAGGGACCGGTATTTCATCTTGCTCCATCGGAGATTCGGGATAGGCGGCGGGTGACTCCATTTCGACGGCAGGAAGAGTTGATAGCGACAGATAGGTCGTCAAGACACGGAATGGCTAAGACGTAAAAGTGACGACGCCCGGGGCGCGCCGGCGGAAGCTATAGCCAAGACGAGTTCGAGGTGGGAGGGGGAGGAAGAGAGGGAGGAGAGAGAGAGGGAGGGGTGGTGCTTCAGGTCAGAACTCGCATCCGACGGGAAAGGTGTATATTCACGAGGACCAGTAAAGACGAGAGGCACAAGGGGATGGACCGAGTCTAGGTCGAGATCAGGTTGGCGAAGGGAAATGAAACAGGACCGCGCGCGGGAAGACGGAGGGCAATTTCCACAGGAGAAAGCCAGGTAACGAATCGACGACGACTATCGAGCCTGTTGCGAGCACCAAAGCGAAGATCCACATTAGTGTTACGATCGACAAGGACCATTATTATGGACAACACCGAACAGGAGAGGGGATGGGGGGACAGAAGAAGGAAAAACGAATGAAAATGGTAAAAAAAGAAAAAGAAAAGAAAAGAAAAAGAACAGGCAGCGTGGGCAGCAGAGGACAAAGTGGTGTACCCCGGAATGCCACCCAGGCCAAAAAGCAAAGCAAGCAAGCAGGGGGGGTCGAGACAAAGTCCGGAGACTAGTCGGTTCTACACCGCAGAACCAACAACCCCGTAAGCAGAGAGAGGGAGGGGCCACTATACCATGCAGGAAGATATCTAAATGTCGATCTGGACGAGGCAATATGGAGGCAGGAATCGTGCCGAATGGAGGGGGAGGCTGTACGAGACAATAGAAACCGATGCAGGGTAAAGAAACAGAGAAAGAAAAAAAAAGAAAAGAAAAAAAGAAAAAATAGAAAAAATAGAAAAGGCCAAACAGGCACCAAATTCAGGGGAATGGGCCGAATGGCAAGAAAGGAAGCCAACGACAAGAAATCCAATCAAGCGAAGAAACCGGACAGGGTCAATGAATGATGAGACGACGGGGGGATGACGGAGGGGGGCCGAGAAGGAACAGGGGGGAGAAATAAGAGAAAAAGAAGTCGACGAGGAGGAAAGAAGAGGAGAGAGAGCGAAAGGCAGAAAGGAAGGGAAAATGAAACACGGTGAGCGACGGTTTCAGATAAACTCGCGTGAGCGGGAACGAGAGAACCCCTCGGCCACCTCACCCAACGTTAGTGCGTCTGGCATTTATTATTAGAGCGCCCCAGTCGATCCGTCCGGGTAAATACGAACTACGAGTATTCTGATCTGGATATCAACATTTAACATTAACAATCAAGTGCATTCCTGTCGCAACGCCAAAGTGCAAAATTCCCTATAGTCTCTCTCTCTCTAGAATAAAACAAAACGGTGGCTTTTGAGCTCCAGATCTATCTACCCTGCTCTCCATCTCCCTCCTTCTCGCTCTCACTCTTTGTTTTCCTCCTTTTTTAATTTTTTTTTTTTTTTCCTTCTGCTTCTGTTTCTTTTTTCTTTCTCCTCATCAGCCATCCACTCTCGCAATTATTATATGTCCATGGGTATAAAGTAAATGTATATAAATGCTTTTTCAAACGGGCTGTCGATCTCTAAGCATTGTGCGCCGTACCGAGATAAAGATAGATCATGTCTCCAGAGACTGGTGGATCACGCTGGTTCGGTACGTCTCACTGCGCTGGATCAACTCCTGATGCGTCCCCTGCTCCACACACCGACCCTCTTCAATCAAGAAGATCTGGTCCGCACGGTGGATGGTGTTCAACCGATGCGCAATCGCCACGATTGTCGTGCGGCCGGCCAACGTCGCCAGAGCTTCCTGAATCCGTTTCTCGGACTCGACATCCAGCGCACTGGTCGATTCGTCCAGCAGCAGCATGCGCGGCTTGCGCACCAGCGCCCGCGCAATCGACAGACGCTGTCGCTGTCCGCCGGAGAACTGCTTGCCGTCGTGACTGCACATCGTCTCGTATCCCTGGGGCAGTCCCGCGATCACGTCGTGGATGTTGGCCATCCTGCACGCCTCCTCGATCTCTGCCATCGTGGGCTCGTGTCCCGGACACGCGCCGAGTCCGATGTTGAAGGCCACGGTGCCCTCGAAGAGCACGTTCTCCTGCGGCACCAGCGCGATGTCGTCTCGGAATTCCGTTCCCAGTTGCCGCGTCACGTCCACGCCGTCAATGACCACCGATCCGAGCGAGGGTCGGTAGAACCGTTCCAGCATGGCGAATGTGGTCGATTTGCCCGATCCGCTAGGTCCGACCAGCGCGCAGAACTGCCCGGGTCGAATGTTGATGTCGAGACCCCGCAGGATCGGTCGTTCCGGCCGGTTCGGGTAGGTGAAGTGCACGCCGCGGAGCTGGGCGCCGATGGCACTGTCCGAGGCCCGCGAACGAGTCGCCCGGGCCCCGTCCGAGGCCTCCACGTCATGCGCCGCAGCCTTCTCATCGAGAAGACTGCCGGAGGGCTGGTGGCTTTGCGACGAGTTGGGGGCCATCTCCTCTTCGGCGGAGCGGGTGGTCAGTAGCTCAACGATGTTGGACGAGGCCACCTTGGCCTTGGAGATATCCGGGGCGAGAGCAAACATTTGCCCGCAGGACTGCGTACTGAACAGCAAGGCGGGCAGGACAATGAAGAATTGCGTCTGCGAGTAGAGCCCCGAGGCGATCTGGCGAGATCCCCACCAGTACGCAAGCGCGTAGACCAAGTTGCTGATACTGAACGCCAGCGCCAGCCACACGTTGCCATGCGCGATGGCCTTCATCGTTTCGCGGTACGGATGCTTCAGCGCCCGACCAAACACCTCGTAACACTGCTTCTCCAAGGAGAAGGCGGAGACCGCGCGGATATTGTCGACTGCCTCCACCGTGATCGCGGTGGCCTTCGCGAAGGCCTTCTGGTGACGCTCGGCAAACTTGGCTTGAACGCGGAGTTTCATCATACCCGCCACCAGTAGCACGGGGATAGTCGGGAACAGGACGATGGTGATCTTCCAGGCGATCGCAAACGAGATGACGAGACCGGCCACCAGGTTCACAGCCGTGGCTAGGAGGAGACCGATGGTAGAGCCAGTGATTCCGCTCAGCGCCGACGCATCGCCAGTAATGTAAGTGATCAGTGTTCCCGGGGTGCGATCCTCCATGCCGTGCCACTGGATCGTCTGACTGAGCAACGAGCGTAGAGACAAAACTCGGATACGGTAGAGGATCTTGTCGGCGGCCCAGCCAAAGGCAGCACCACCCACCACATTGGCGGTTAATTCGACCAAGGCAAGGATGAAGAACAGCAACCCGTACAAGTTACCGCTGTCGCTGATGTCTCCGGGCGATCTGCAGGGACTCAAGTTTCCTACGGTGTGACCAAAGACAACTGCCTCGGCCGAATAACTACCACCGATAATGCAAGACATGCCGAGACCAAGGAAGATGAGTGGCAGGTTTGCCCGGACAAGAGAGAAGATGAACTTGGTACTGAACCATGTCGACCGCTTGCTCTTTTTCTTCTTGTCCTCATCTTTGCCGTCCTTAGACCCGGGAGGCGTCTCGCCAACGACGGTGTCCTCCGTAACGTCCGATGGGCTAACCCCAACGTATGGCTCCTTCTCATCCGTGCGCTTAGACATTCCTGATGCAGATTGGTTGTCGGAAGAAACGCGAATGGCATCATCCGAGCCTTGAAGGTCTTCGGCGCTCAACTTTCCGAGGTTCTGCAGTCGCACCATTTCGGCATAAACGCCGCCTTGCGCGACCAGGTCGGCGTGGGGACCTTCTTCCGTGACCCGTCCGCTCTGGACGACGACAATCTTGTGGGCGTCTTTGGCCGTGGCGAGACGATGAGCAATAGACACCGTGGTAACGCGCTCGGAAACCTTGGCCAGAGCCGCCTGAATCAGTTGCTCACTAGTCGAGTCCAAGGCAGCCGTCGCTTCGTCCAAGATGAGCAGAGTCGGCTCGCGCACGAGAGCTCGAGCGAGCGCGATACGTTGCTTCTGGCCACCACTAAGTTGATTTCCTGCCGTTCCCACGCTGGTCGCTAGTCCGTAGGGTAGGGCTTCGATGAAGTTCAACGCATTAGACGAGGTGGCCGCCTCCTTCACCAACTCGACAACTTCGGCGACGGAAGCGTCGTGGTGGGTAAGAGCGTCCTTCTCCGACGTGCCGTTTCTGATTTCCTCCGCGAGCTCCGCCAAGCTGGAGTCCAGAATGACCGGGGCCAAGCGCTGATGTCTTTCATGGGCTGAAGAGACCATACCGTAGGCAATGTTTTCTAGGATAGATCGATCTAGGAGCGATGGTTCTTGTTGCACAAAACCGATGTTACCTCGTAGATAGCGAACGTTGAGATCGCGGAAGTCCTTGCCGCCGATGGTCACCTTGCCAGATTTGGGATCGTAGAATCGCTCGAGGAGCGAGACCACCGTCGACTTGCCGCCACCGGAAGGCCCAACGATGGCCGTGTGCTTCTTGGGCGGGATGACGAAGCTGGTTCCTTGCAGCACCGGAACGTCCGGGCGGGAGGGATAGGTAAAGTGAACGTCCTGCAATTCGATATCTTCTTCGCCAAAGGTGGCCGACTTATCGCCATCGTCGGACGTTCCGTCAATGGCCGAGGGCCGGTTAATAACAGTCAGAAGTCTTTCCGAGGCGCCAGCGGCCGAGGCGAAGACGTGGATGAAAGGTGCCACTTGACTTAAGATGAATGAAGCATCGATGAGAACGAAGATGACGGTGTAAACAGCACCAACCGAAACTCCGTTGTTGTCATTGGCGACGGAGCGAGAGATCATCTGCGCACCTTCCCAGAAGGCCAGGGCGTTGGCGGAATAGGCCACGAAGTAGAGAAAACCGAGCTGCGCAGCATGGGTGCAGGCCTTCTTGAGCGCATCCTTATGCGATTGGGAGAGGTAGGTGGCAAACCGCGACTCAAGACGATCGTTGGCATTGAAGGCGTGGACTAGAGTCAAGTGGGACAAACTGGAAGAGGCGATGGACGTGGCCGCGTTCGCATTCTCTGCGATGCGCCCGGCATATTTTTTGATATAGTGACCCCCAACCAGCGCCATTATCATGAAGCAAGGGACGACAGATATCAACATTCCAGCAATCTGGGGGACCTTGATAAAGGCAACAACGTAGGAGGCCACGAAGTAGGATATGGTTGTGATAACGAGGCCGACCTTTTCGGACGTGCCGGACTGCACGACTTCGATGTCACTGACCAGACGGGATATGATATCACCCGACGGAAGAGATTCAATGAAGTTTGCCTCCTGTTTGATGATACTCTCGAAGTATCGCCTACGGTAGCGACGCGCCAGCCGTTCACTCACTGTACACCAGCAGGAAGTATGGATGTAGATGAAGCAGAAGTTGGCGATTGTGATGTAGATGACGTACAGCACCTTCGTGTTCACGCTTGACGACAGTTCGCCAGAAGCATTGTCGGAGCTCGCGCAGGAGGTCGAGTTCATATCGTTGATGAGGTCACCGAAGACAATACCAAGTAGCGGGAAAGGAACACCACCGGCAATGGCGAAGATCACGCCAGCAATGATAAGGAAAACATCGGTCATGGTGTAGTCTAGGGAGAACAGAAGTCGAACATAGGAGAAACATTTGCCTATACTCGCCTTCGTGGGTATGTATCCCTTCAATTGTTGCATCTTGAAACAGACTCGCTGTCAGTGCATTGTCCGCTTCATTGTCCCGCTCGTCTTCCCGGGTCTGGTGGGAGGGGGGAACGACGTACAAACTTAGATTGCTGGCCCTCGCCAGAATCATTGGGGCCTTTCCGCCCAATTTCGGGTGGCGTCTCCTGTGACATGGTTGCTGGCACCGTATCCCGCGGATGGGATCAAAGCCGAGATTGCAGCCGTATATAAAAGTCAATCCAGTATCGGGCAGATCGAACGAGGTCAGTCCACGCGGATTGTGTTTGGGATGAGGATTCGAAAGAAAGATGAGAATCTTGTTTGTAGCACTATTTCAGGACGTCAAGAATCTTCTCTGCATCCCAACAGTCGCTAAACCAATGGCGACAAATTCAAACTAGATCAAGAGCGAAACAAATCACTCAGCTCATGCCCCCAAGGAGCATCCCTCGCTGACAAAGAGCAACGGTCAAGAGTCAAGAATTGGATGTGAGATGATGGTGTAGAGGAAGTAGACCGGAGGGAAGGGGGAAGGGGGAGGAAGAAAGAAGAGGTAGAAGAAGACGAAGAGGAAGGATAGAAAAAGACGAGGAGAAGAAAGAAGAAAAAGGAAAAAGGGACCCAGGTAGCTCGGACAGATGTAGGCTACTAATGACACACGTCTAGAGAGGGAGGGGGAGAGGGAATATCATTTTACCATCATAACGGCTCCGGTTGCGGCCCTAGCTAAGAACCGGCGCTGAAAGTTAGTCGAAGCCATGGGCTGCAGAGCGAGTACGCAAGAGTCTAGGAGACTAGGGAACGAAAAAGAGGGTCCTCGACCAGCACGAAGCGGAGAAAGCAAGAAAGCCAGAGGAAAGAGAAGAAGGGCGCCCAAGGAAGAAACTAGAAAGAGGGCATGATCTCCACTTGGCAGGGGAGGGAGGGAGCGGACGGGCGGCTGAAGGGTGAGAGGGAGTGGATAATTGTGGCCATCAGATAATAATGCCTCTGTGTCCGGGTGGGTTTTCGATGGGGAATCAATTTCTGCAGAGGTGCAGAGGGAAGAGTAGCCTGAGTAGGTTACTCTGTACAGTCGCGATTGGGCAGTCCTCGGTGGAGCGGCGGTTCGTTGCGGTACCTGAAATGGCCGTAACCGAGGGATGGTGACTGATTGATAATTTTTTGTCTCTCTTTTTTCCTTGGCTTTTCTTTCCTTTTTTGTGTTCTTTTTTTTCCTCTATTATTTTTTTGTGTGTGATTTCCTTTCCCTTTCTTTACCTTTATTTATTTACTTTTTTTGCTGTCCTCTCTGGCACTCAATTGTGTTATGAATAATAAATGTACAGGAAAGTGGTAGGTAAGGTTATCTGATCGCAACAATCAGGACCAACAACCCGCCAAGGTCTACGCCACCGCCAATCGGTGAAATCCAAAAGACTCTCGGCGTGGGACGTGGCCGGTCGGAAGCTTCTCATCTGATAACTCTGTGCACCAATCCTGGTCGCCCGACTGGGTCTCGCCATTTCCCCCCCTTCTTCCACCTTCCACCTTCGTCTTTCGCCTTTATCGGAATTATCTCCCTCTGCTACTGTGTACATATGTCAAACTTTGTCTTATTGCGAGATCACAGATGCGTCTGCAAGGTGACACGTAAATTTATAACCTTACCTCAAACCTGGTCTCGCTGCCCAATGTCATAGAGCGAAAAAAATAATATTAACAAGAGAGAATAAGAAAATCGATCGAGACGGAAAAGTTCTTCGATGGCAAGCCCGTCCGCCACGGATGATGAAATTATGGAGACTTTTCCTGTCTTAATTTCGATCCGAATTTTCTTTAATCTGATCCATCCGGCTGTGCTTTATTTTCTAATTTTATTTTAATTCCCACCCCCCTCTCGTCTGACAATTGGCACTAGGATCGATAGAGTCCGACAGAAAAAAGTAAAAAGCACCAAAAAATTTCTGTTCCTTTTATCTAATCTGATTGATTGATTGATTGATAAATCGTGGTGACTGGTGAACCGCCGCTGACCCCCTTATTATCCTTAGTCAATTTCGGGATGGCTTGCGACTAGCACTCATTAGTCTCTCTCTAAGTGACCTTGGGCGTCCCAAAATTGCTTCGACTTCCCAGTTTTCGCTCCGTGACAGCTCATTTGTTCCCTTTTCGTTGGTCTTTCGGCTTTCCCTTCCCTTCCCTTTTTCGAGAACGATTCGGGGAGACATCGGGGAAAGGGTCTTTGAATCTCCCCCCGGGGGTCTCTGATTTTCTCCGTAAATAGTGCTGGTTCCGGGCTTGGCGATGGCCCTCTCAGCTCGTAGCCTGCTTGACTAACTTGATCATTAACTAGTTAGTTATTGTGGAGGCGCTTACATAAACCAACATCATCTTGTCGGAGAAGAGTCGAAGAAGGCGAGAGAAAAAGCGAGCGAACGGATTAACCTTGAAAACTCCCGACAGTGGCCCTCTAACTTTTTCCGTGGTAGGATGATGCCAACGGTGGACACTTCAAAAAAAAAAGGGGGTAGTAGCTAAAAAAGAGCCAGGATCTAATCAGATCGTCATCTAATCAGATTCGCCAGGCAAACACCATTGGATACCGCCGATGATCGGTCCTGTCTAGAATCAATAATTCGCCTCCCCGATGCTTCCGATGTCACCTGTTGTGGTCGTTATACGCATGCTGTCCTAGAGTACCGAGTACACGGAGTATGACGAAAAGGTGATCCTCGGAAAGTTCAAGAAATCATCCGTATTGCTATCCTCGTGCTAGAAACGGTTGAACCAAATTGGATGCCAGTTCATTCCTTTATGTAACTATAAACACAAGCTCAATTGCAATGGATCTAGGCCATCTTCCGCCGCTTTGATTGATTAATTGATTGTTAAATGGAATTATGCGCTTTTCACTGGGCCAGGGATCTTTAGATCTAGACCCTATGATTTGTTTCTTCTGACAGCACAGTTACTCCTTATATAATCCACTATGTATACAGGGGTTGATTCCAAAGCTAGCTCTGGGTCGGACTATCTATACAAGCTATACTTGATAGATTGTGTAGAGACCGTATTCCCCTCCCACTGACTATGGTAGATACCATCCCTTGGGCCCAACATCCAGGTCCTACTGATTTCTACCCTCCCTAGGCTTTCTTCGTTGCCTCCGGGTAGAATAGTTGCCCACCACGGCAATCGAACCCGTAGCCCCTGTTTTTAATAAAGAGGACTCATCGTCCGCCATTAGATTTGCCAGACAACGGATGACTGAGACCAAAGGAGTAACTAGTTCAGATTCTGCTGGCAATGCATCGAAATACATTGAGGGTGAATAGAATACATAGTCCTGGAACATCTTCCTGCCCTTGCTCGGGAGTGAAGCACTCATAGTGGCAGCCATCTCATCGAGAAAGGATCTTCCTATTCTGCAATGGTAACACTGAGTCACTGACAGATCGCGAGACAGCCTCGGCTCCAGGGCTGTCAACGTGAACCTCTGGTTGTGACTTAACAGATTCCTGATTTTTAGCGTCGGTGTCGTCAACGTGAATTTTCAGTTCTACCCCAACAGATCCCTGAATCCTAGCATCTAGCCACGGCTCCACTCGAGTCTTCGGTAGGCTTCCACGATCGCCACTGGGCTGGGACAAGATGCCTAGCCAGTTCGACCTTGTGCGGAGAGCAGTGTCGATCAACTGCAGAGACATTTTGGTGAGTTTGACAAACGCAAATGGATCTATAGATGTGCGAGAAACGAGAAGAAGAAGAAGAAGAAGAAGAAGAAGAGGAGGAGGAAGAAGAGGAAGAGAATAGTGTTGACAAACTGCAGAGACATTTTATAAAGTTTGACACACAAATGGATCTGCACCTAACGGCTTACATTAATCGACTCCTATATGGCATATGCCCTTGTCGCTCTAAGGTAAAGCCGCTTCATTGCCCTGAGTGCGAGATGTCTAGGTACTTCCCTCTTCTTCTCGTTTCTCGCGTGACTGTAGATCCATTTTCACTTGTTCTCTGCTAGGGGATTTGTCGCGAAGAGTGAAAGGATCCAAGGTTCACTTCAGCTCACTTACGCTAATCTCTTTCTCTTCCTACCCCCGCTTGACCATCGCTCCTTCTCTTTCTCTCTTTCACTCTTTCTCTTCCTCTGTCCCCCCCCCTGTTTTCCTTCAGTCGCCTTCGACTTGAGTCGATACCATCAAGAGACTGACGCCCAGCCGATGGGTATCTTCTCCCCTTTCTTCTCTTCTCCTCTCCATCCCTCTTCTATTCTTCTTTTGCATGGTTGTAGAGCTCTTTTCTCTGTCAAGTTAATTAAAATGTCTCTACAGCTGTTCCGTCGTGTTCTCCTTACCTATCTCTCCCTCCTCATCTCTCTCTTCCTCTCGAAACCGGCATATTTCACTGCTGGCTTCAATCTGCTGTCTATCTGTTGTCTGTCTGTCTTCTATCCGGTACCACTGCGGCGGGATGGAAGAACATCCAACTGAGGTCCAATACAACCCAGTAAATCCTCGATTTGCCGTCTGTCGGTCGCCCCTAAAGGGCGTTCTTTCCAACGTAAGCCAACAACCTTTCCAGCGCATATCAGGCCTTTATACTCACGCTTCGAGTCTAGAAGTGGTACAATTGGTACATGTGAACGGACTCGTGGCGTCGAAAAGATCGAAGAAAATGCGAAGTCTCGTTCCTCCCCGTTACGAGTGACCCGTCATTCCTCGGTCGACCCCTTTTCTTCTCTTCTGTCGCATTACGATGGATCCAAATCAATGGGCCCAGCGCAGTCAGTCGGCCCAATTGTCAAACGTCAGACCCAATCTGACGAGGACTTCGTGCCTGGTGGGTTTTCTATGTCTCTGCTTCTTGAAAAACTACCGGGTCGTCAAGATTGGATCGCTTGCTGCTGAATAACTAGAGGGGGTACATGCCGAGATACGCCCTCTAGTTCAAGTCTGCATCTCCATGCCATGGCCTAGGAAGATGGGTATTGTGGGGCGCCCGCAATCTTCAGGTACACTGCCTGGACAGAGGCTGATCCTGTTTTTGTTCCTGTGTTCTTTTCTTTTCTTGTCTTTCTATTGATACCACGATGCCGTTGATTTTTTGTCTTTTTCTTTTTACGTTCCCTGTATATCTTATTCCTTGTATAACATAACAATCAAAAGCAATTCAGATCGCATTTTTGGTTATCAAATTTTCTTCTGCACTCAATTTCCAAAACCACGAATAACCGCAGCGAAATTGAATATGGTTCCCTTGCTCTAGCGCAGCAAAGCGGTTGATGAAGCCCCCAACTCAGAGGGCAGACAATCTGCATGACTGCGGCGGTGCAAGAATAGGGCGGTTGCACCCACATTTCACTGGTATATCATCCCTTTCATCATTCAATCGTTGGCATTCATGCCGTGACTGACGCCTGCACGCCGAAGCCGCCGAGATGGGTGGAGAGGAGAAGAAGAGAAGCGCGGAGAGTAGTAGTAGTAGTAGTGATTAACGTCCAAAGGACCAAGGTGCTCCGAGGGGGAGACCCGGCTCCCATGGGGTACTGGTGACGTGTCTAAGCTCAAACTATATACATAAATAGAGTACACAATTCCAGAAGACAATTTCGAACTACAGCGTTTGCATGAAGCAAGTTCGTTAGATCCTGTCCCTCCGTATGCCCGAGATCTGTGTGGTGTGGGTTGGCTTGAAAGCCGTGGCTTGATATAGCCGATTTTCGGGTGGTAGACATGGTGCCAGCGATGGGATTCGAACCCAAGTCCTCAATAATTCACAGTTGGCTCCTGATCAGTAACACACTTTGCTTCCTCCTGATCCCCTCAAATTAAGAATACCGAAGATTGCCCGGTGAGGGCGGAGAGAATGGTGAGGATGACACGGCGAATGAACTGTAGAAACATTTTGATCAGTTTCACGAAGGAAAACGAATCTACAGTAAGAAAGAAAAGAAGAAGAGAAGAGAGGGGAGAAGAGGGAAGGCAGCAGTCTTATGGACCAAAGAAGCGGGTTGGTGGGGGAAAACAAACGTTACTGGATAGGTTCATATTTCGTGACTCAATTCAACTTCCGTGTGTTATCGAAGAGATGATGATGGTGGTGGTGGTGATGATTGCAGTATACTCGAACAAGAAGAGGAGAGAGCGGTGTCGACCATTTCGCTAGATGCGAGTTAGCGCTATCATCAATGCAAGGGGTTCATACGTCCAGATGACTGGGACACTGACAGCTTTTGAAACATGCTCGAATTCTGTCATGCGTGCCACGATCTAGGTCCCAGAACCAAGGACCCAATTGTATCCAAAACTAGACAGCGTCATGCAGGTCTAGTATGAGGGATCTATACCAGTGGAAGCTGGAAAGGACCTTGTGCCATTGAGCTTCAACCCACTTGTTTAGATTTTTAATCTGGTGTTGATTACTCGTTTACTCCTGCACCCTCTAATGGGGACGTATTGTAAGCATTGATTACGACGCTGCCTAGGTAGTCGTCGTCCTCTGTGCGATAATGAAAGTTATAGTAAAAGTAATTACTATTCAATAATCTACTCCGTATTTTCTTCATGAAAGCAGAGAAATGAAGAGAGGAAACACCCTCAAAAGAGCCACCTATCTGGGGTCCTTGAAAAAACCGCTTGCCGATCACATACTACTACCTGTTGACCTGAGGAAGATTAGATAGACTACTTCGTTGTACTAAATGTTGAAATAATACATAAGACATAGGCAAATGTCTCCGATGTCCTCCGGGAGGCATCATCAACCTCTAGCCAGATAGTATGCCAGTAGATTGCGGGACCCCGTGGAAGGGGTCCCTAACAGCTCCCAAAACCTTTCCTCCTTGACCATCGCGTGTAAATGGATACAAACCTGAACAACTAGACGGCGTGCCTCGGCATGTACCCCCTCTAGCTGCTCAGCAGCAAGCGATCCGATCCTTTTCACGATGTCTTCCGCGAAGCATAAGCCAGATGCATTCTGATGGCGGAGAGCAACTACCAATAGTGATAGGCTCATAGTCATGATATTGTTGTTTGTTTGAACTTTTTCATTAGAAATAGTGTCCAAAATAGCTACGACTGAGTTACATGTACCCTCGACCAACTCGGCATGGACGATTCGTGTTGCAACCTCATCGAGCCTCACGGAAAAATAACACGACGCATCATAACGACCTCTCGTTTCCATAAAGGATACAATGGTAAGATAATATAATTGCGGAGTGAACCGATTTTTGTTGTTTTCTTTTTCTTTTCCTTTGATCGTCTGTTCGAAAACATCAAGCACGGGGAGTAGAGCGGTTTCGCTGGTGCCCTTGACTGTTGGGTGACCGCGCTCCAAAGTGTTCAATAGAGCCAACACTAGCTCATGGTGTTGCTCTGGTGAGATCTCTGTTTCGCCGCCGGACTCCAGCACTCTCCGCAGCCGTCTGAATCCATGGGGATCCATCCTGTTGCTACGGATTAGTTGGATGCCCCTATCGAGCAATTGCTGCGAGCTGTTGGGGTCTTGGGATGCGGGGGAGAAGCTTACTGGGGCACGCCGGTTCGACTTCTCTTCTGAACGTTCCAACAATGCCCCTGCAAATTGTAAATCTTCCTCCGGAGTGGGCTGGTAGACTGGCGCGTGACGGGGGTTTACCAACACTGGCCAACGTAACTTTTCCCCCGGGGGTAATTGTCGTGGATTGGGGTCTATTATGAGTTGCGTGGGGACTGGGCCCTCTGTGTACTCTGGACGCTCTGATTGCGCCGGGCCGGTTCCCGTACTGGGTCGAGTGCTGGGTTCGGGACTCTTGGGCGTGGGCAAGATTTCTGGGGCTCGAGTCTCCGGTTTTGGCGAAGGCTGCGGCGGCGGTAGCGGCGATACTGGTGACGGAGGCTGTTTCGGCGGCTCTTCTCTCTTCACTTCAACCGGATGTGGGCCACCGTCGGGGCCCCTTGTGGGCTGCATTCCGCGAATTTCTTCCACCCAGGGAACACTGTCACTCGGCTGATCAAGATGGCCCTCGGTAGGTTCCTGATCGGTGACAGGCTTTGCCCTTCGGTGGACTTTCAAATACTTGGGTTTTAAGGGCTCTGATTTGGCGAGACCCATCCAAATGTCACTCGAAGATGGATCGACATCACGATCCCCCTCGGGTGCGGCCCCCTCGGGGCGCCGAAATCTAGGCCTCATGGGCGCTGAATGCAGGGTTGATGGGCCTGCGACAGCAAGGGGTCCTTCATCAAGTTTGACCTTGAGTTGATGTGCTCGCCTATGGGCCGCAATTGCGGACTTGAGCGCGGAGCGGCTTTTTCCGGGTGGCGCTGGAGCTGGCGCCGGGGCCGAGCTCTCTTCTGCTGGCGGGTTGCCTAGCTGCTGCTCCTTGGGTTTGTGTGGGTCCTTTTCTAAGAGAAGCCTCGTTTTGCTGTCCAAATCGGACGCAATTCTGTTCGGACGTTAGCATACCATTGTCTGTAGAGGGCCTGGAAAGAAGCTCACGTATTCGCGGTAGCGGGCCAGGCCACGTAGAAGTCCCAGTAAGTATGGCGCATTTCGTTCCTCACGTCCGGATTAGCATCAGCTAGACCCTTCTTGATGCACGTGGCAATCAGGTTCAAGCTATTTCCATGTTCTATGGCGGCCCTGATTGATGTGTGCCGGTTGACGATTGTCCGCAGCCATTCTGCGGCAAACTGGCGGAGCTGCACGCTCTTATCGGTGGTCGCACTCTGAACGTGGCTCAAAAGACGGGGGTTGTATGAAACATTGGCAACGACGGCGATCATAGCCTTGTTTCCATTTTGGGCTGTGATCTTCTTCGACAGGACACAGACCTTGAACAAATTCTGGACAATGATCTCCACCATTCCGTCAATACCGGGTCCAAGCCAGCGGGCCATATCGATGACGAAGTAGCATCCATGCGAGGACAAAGTGGTGCGAAGAGACAGCACAGCCTTAAAGACATTGTCAAGCTGCGCCTTGATACCCGGATAGAAGGTTTGAGAGTAGTCTCCCGGTGCATTACCGATGACAACCTGTCGAAGAACGATCACATGATTCTCGCGCTTCTCCCAGTTTTTCTCCGTCTCGCGACCGTCGAAATCGGGAGTCATCGCATTAAAAATATCCTCCAACTGTCGAGACGACCGGATGATGAGCGGGGCAACTTCAGCTTCATCCTGGGAAGGGACGGTATGAGCGGACCGCTGAAGCTGCTGCGCATTTTCGGCAAGCGGTGTCTTCGATCGTGGAGGGTCCTGGCGCCGGGGTACAAGGGTCGTCTGGTCGGTGTTCGAGCTCTCGCCGATATGCAGCCTGTGTTTGAGCTTATCGGCTTGCGTCTGAGTCGCCCCAGCCATCAGTTCCCTGGTTACAAGCCGATTCTCATACGCGGCAAGCCGCAATTCGTCGTCTGCACGACGTTGATCCTTCCTGCCGGCGGCCTCCTCCCGCTGCTTGAAGGCTCTCTCCATACCCGGCGGGGCGATCTCCTTAAAGGGGCCGATTTGCTCTAGAATCCAATCGCGGATGGGCTTTCTGGGGAGGCCGTTGGCATTTTTCTCCAGCTCAGACTTGAGAAAGGTTTTCGACTCGTCGTTTTCGTCCCTAAAGCGCGAATCAGTCGTCATTTTCACGAATGCAAACAGAAGGAAGGGGAGATAAAGAGAGAAGCCAGGCAACAAGATCTTACATGAAAAGTTCGACGAGCGCATTTTTGGCCGTGTCGCGGACGGAGACATCGGCGTTTTCAAGACAACGGACCACGTCCGGAACATAACATCGGAACGCGAGTCCGTGGTTTCTAGCCATCTGTGACAGAAGATCAGTCAGGGAAAAGTGAGCCAAAAGACAAGGAACGAGGGAGCGTACATGCGAGAGCCATGAAATGGCGGTTTGTTTTGCACGCGGGTTTTTTCCCGTCAGGGCAGTGCCGAGAACTGCATCTTCGACTTCCCGTTGTGAGGCGGGCCAAATGTCGACAAATGCGTGGAACGCATGGGTTCGAATACGCTCTTTCTGATCACCGAGGCGATCGAGCAGGATGGGAATCAAGATGCGGGCAAAAGTAGCAATGAGACGCTGTTGCTCCTGGCTGAAGAGTCGCTTCACGAGATTGCCGAGTGTCGAGAAGGCGGCTCCGCAGTACCGGGTGTAATGAGAACTGATTCCAAGCTTGATTGCGTCGAACAAAGGCGGCAATGCGTTCTCGGGAACATTGTTCTGTTTGATGTCCGCTTTGATAGCAAGTAGACTTTCTACTTTAGCATCGATAGATGCATTCTGGTCTCGAAGGATTTGAAGCAGCCTGTCTGCTTTTGGCTCCATCGTATCCTGGAAGGACTGAACCGAACGGAAGCCTTCCACTGCCGAGTAAAGATATGTGGAAAAGCCAACGGAGACGAACTTCCTGGTGACGTAAGATGCAATAGCCGCGCCGATTAAGGCGGGTATGGCACAGACTGGTTTGCAAGATGCCCACGAGGACTTCAGAAATGAAGATACGCTCTTGGCGATGGAAAAGATAGAAGAGGAGGCTGTGGCACGGGTATTAGAGACAACAGAGGAGATCGAAAAGAAGATCGTGGCACGGATCCTAGAGACACCAGAGGAGATCGTAGCACGGGTCTTAGAAATAACGGAGGTGATAGAGGAGAAGACTATGGTATGGGTCCTAGAGACAACGGAGGTGATAGAGGAGGAGACTATGGCACGGGTATTAGAGACAACGGAGGTGATAGAGGAGGAGATTGTGGCATGGGTATTAGAGACAACGGAGGTGACACGGGAGAGGAAGAGAGAGATAAAGAGGGAGATGTAAGTAAGGAGAACACGACGAAACAACTGGAGACTCATTTTGGTGAGCTTGACGAAAGAAAACGAATCTACAGCCAGAAAGAAAAGAAGAAGAGGGGTGGAGAGGAGAAGAAGAGAAGAGAGGGGAGAAGAGTGAAGGCAGCATTTTTATGGGCGAAAGAAGCGGGTTGACGGGGGAAAGCACTTACCTGTGGTGATATGAAGGGAAAGAACGCAGACCGAGGAAAGCGTAGTCGCGGAGAATGATGATGGGTGACGACAGTCGCGACGAGAGATGGAGGATGGAGGAGAAAAAGGAGCTTGATGCAACGAGGCCTGATAAGCGCACTACGGCGGCGATAAGCACTCCGCACTCCGCACGGCCACAGCAATGAAGCACTCCAGGAATTGCAATGCAATGCAATGCGCAAGAAACCCGGCCGAGGTGGTGTGGTGGTGGGGTGACTCAGAGAGGGTGGAGGGGTAGCGGGGGGACGAAGAGGGAAGGAAGGATGAATGTTGTTGATGTTGCCATCCCTGAGCGCTCTTTTTTTTGGGGGACATTGTTTACCCGACGCAATTCGCCCGCGGAAACCCAACCAAACCAGACAAACCAGGCAAACATCGATCCCGCGCTTGGGCCAAGCCGGGCGGGACTGAGAGCCTCAGGCTCACGGACCGAGTGGGACCCCTGGCAGGGCCAATCTGCGTATGATGGCCTTCTAGAATACTCCGTAGTTATAGACTCGACTCGACGTGGTAGTTCTCCCCCGGTGAATACGGAGTCGGGATCGATCCGATAAAGGGACAATATTCTGCCAGTCCTGCTGATGAAAGCAGCGTCGTGGGTGAGAAAGATCAACCTCTACCTATGACCCAGGCACTCCAAACGTCACCTAGGATGGACTGGAAGGAAGCACGTGGGAATTCCGGTTTTTGCCACCATGATAGAACGTAGAACGCCTTTCAATCTTCTAGAGAGCTTGTGGTGACCTAGACACCTTTGACCTCAGCCAAAAAATGGTCCGTGTGCACTGAGAGGGTCCCTGGATTCGTCACCTCATCACGTGCAACTACGCAGTGCGCGTGGTAGTCTCTGACCCGTCAACTATGTTCGTTTGCGTGACCATTTCTCTTCTCATTCTCGAGGATGGAGCTTGTGAAATATCTACATAATATTCTAAGTACACGTACGGCGGCAGAAACAGGACTTGCAACGCCCATAAGTTGTTCTTAACAACTAGAAGAACCAAGGTGTCCACCGTCAGGCAATATAAGCCGCCGAGGCAATTAGATTCATCATTGACGGCATATATATCCAGGAATATCCATGATTTTCTAAACCAAAAAAAAAAGAGAGCAAAAGAGGAGGGAAAGAGGCACCGTTGAGCTCCAGACTAACCAGCGTGCTCGACTATTTCGTTCACGAGAACACCGTCTTTAACGTACGTCTTGATCTGCTCGGGAACGGGACACTCCTTGGTATCTTCGTCGGTGCCCTCTTTAGGAGGAAGCATGACGTTAATGGCGGAGCATTTGCTGGAGAAGACCTCCGTGCCCAAACTTTTCTGGCCGAGGTAGACCACGGCCCCGTCGACCTGATCGAGCAACAGAGTGGGGGCGATTCCGTCAATCTGGAGGGCGAATTTAGGCGACTTGATGACATCGAGACTGGAAACGAGGGAGTCGACGATGAGGGAGAGACCAGTGCAGTTGTCGATGGAAATGGCGTTCGCCTTGCTGGACAGCTTCACGATGGTCTTGTTGCATCGTGAAATGAGGATGGAATGGTTTTGCTGCGCGGGGATCTCGATGATCTCGCCGGGGTTGTCGAAGTTCTCGATGAACCACTTGTTGCCCTCCAATTCCTTGCGAGGGGGCTTGCGGGACCGCATGTTCTCGGGCTTGGGCTTCTTGCTTGGGGCCGGTGACCTGGACCGCGAAGCACTGCTACCCTGGCCCTCGGGAACCGTAGAGCCGGCACGGAGACCGGGGTTCTTGTGGGTCATTTCGGACTTGTCGACCTTGCGAAGACTCGAGGTGACGGCATCACCTTGGTTAAGCTGAGCAAAGACCGCCGACATGTCCGCGGATTGCGCGGGCGCGGGTGCAACGCCGGGGGGAGGAGGTGGTGGAGGCGGCGGGGGAGCTCCGCCGGGCACATTGAGTGTTGGAACGGGAGGAGGAGGAGGAGGTGGTGCTGCACCACCGGGAGCGGGAGCAGAGCCAGAGCCACCCTTGACCTGCCTGAGAGCCTCACGGGCATCAATGCCGCTCTGGTCATTCCATGTCAGGCCCTTCGGATAGTGTTGTTTGAGATACGCGGCAAGAGACTTGAAGATTTGGTAGTAGGCCTGGATGTACTGCACGTGAGTGCGGTCCCTAGCAGCGAGTCAGCGTCCATCATTAGGGGCGTACGATATTGGGGTGCCCACTTCTCCTTATAGTCCTTCAGAACCTTGTTGCCATAATATTCGATACCGCCCACAATCTCGCTCACAAAGTCCGCCGGCTTGGATTCGAAAAACCAACCCAGGGCGACGATGCCTTCGGCGACGGCGCTGAGGTGATTGAAAAGAGGAGAGGCCCTGTTAGACTCGCGGACCACGTTGATGCTATCGGACGCATTATGAAGCTCCGTCATGAGCTCTGGGGGCTGCGGTTCCGGTTTCTTCGCCTTTGTCGAAACGTAAAGGTAAGTGCGCTCCGCCTTGAAGGCCTGCAGGACCGCTTTCGACTATCGGCAGGTCAGCAACGTGTTCTTGTCGACACCCTAGACACGGTTATCCCACCTGTTCTCCAACAAGGCTTCCGATTTTGTCTCCAAGATCCACGAAATTCTGGACATCTTTGTTGATCAGAGTGTCGAAGTCTTGGATTTGCGGCGGGACGGTAGGTGCTGCAGGGGCGGGAGGAGCAGCTGGTTTGGGGACTTCAGCAGCAAGAGGGGCTGGTGCAGCGGCGGATTCCACGGCCTTTGGAGAATGGGGGTCGTCAAGCGACATCGCCATATCCTCCAGGCGGGAGGTTGCGGCCTCCAGTCTAATTGGTGACCATTAGTCAGTCGATGAAACACGAGAGGGTTCGGTCGATATCAGCGCAGAAAGGACAAAGCCGATTGGGTACAGCTGCACGAAAGACAGTGCGGTGCAGCTGGTGATACAGAAACATACCGCTTGATCAGAGTTGTTAGATTATGCATGTGGCTGCCAGTCGCCATGTTTGCAAGGCCCCTAGGCAAGGAGGCGACACCGTTCAGACTTGAGCTTGTGGAGGCGGACGCAAATTGCTATCCAGAGTACTGTTAGGGCTCCACCGGAATGATGATGGAACAGAATGGAGCCAAAGCCTTCTCCAGGGGGGTGGATGCAGCAGGTACCAAGTGACGGAGAGATCCAGGAGTTGCAACGGTGTCGGTTCTCAAAAGGCGATGATGCTCCTGAGCTCTGCCTGAGGCCGCCAAGCTCCACGAGGTGGGTCTTCTTACCGTATCATACACCACGAGATGGAGGTGGCCACGAATTTTTTATGACGTTTGCGTATCATACTGTAAGCAGCACCCAACTGCTACCTGCCTACGGTACCACATGTAAAGGATGGATGGGCGGATTGCAGAGTACTGCCTCAGGCCTGCTCCGAGGGGGTTGTAGTTGGTACCTTAGGTGGGTATGTAAGTCCTGCATGGCGATAAGACAACCTATTTCCGTGCAACCACCTCACTGACTCGAGAGTTGGAACTAATTTGCTTGTTTTCTTTTCTCTTTTTCTTTGTTCTTCCCTCGTTAGACCGACATTATTCTCGAAACATGGCAGAAGAAATGAGCCATGGTGCCCCGCTCAACAGTCATGTCGAGTTCTGTACGCTAGGCATGTTCATTCTCGGTATGCTCCCATGCGTCCGTCTGGGGATGAATAGGTCACATTGGCTTGCGAGCATACTCACAAAAATAATCACTGGCGAGCAGATGATATCGAGTTTGGCGGGATCAGACCCGACGTGAAGAATGTCCTCGGAGGCGCGGCCTCCTTTGCAGTCGTGGGCGCGCGTCTGGTCGCGGGAAAGGACCATGCTCGGTCTGTGAGTTGGATTGTCGATGTCGGCTCAGACTTCCCGCAAGAGGTCTTGGATACCATCAACGCATGGGACACCGACTGCATGATCAGAGAAGACCCTACGCGATTGACCACCAGAGCATGGAACGGCTACGGTCATAATGAGCAACGAGGTTAGTGCCTTATCTGCCTCCTCAAGAGTAGAATTAGTGGTCCACGGAATGGTAACAAGGAATAGCCTTCAAGTATCTGACCCCAAAGCTGCGATTGGAACCTCACATGCTATCGGATTCCCAAGTTCTTTCGAGGACGTTCCACATGGTCTGCTCCGCGTCTAGGTGTATCACCATCGTGCAAGAAATACTCCGACGCCGAGAAGGATTGCAGAGAAATGACCAGGTCTCTACTTCCCTGGAGCGACCGATCTTTGTCTGGGAGCCCGTGCCGGACCTCTGCACCCCCGAGGAACAGGAGATGTTCTTCGCTGCGAACCGAGTCGTAGACGTGGTAAGCCCCAATGAACTAGAGCTAGGACTAATGTTTGGTCAGTCCGGATGGAGCGAAGATGGACAGTTTGGCCAGGATATAGTGAGGAGGGTCCTTGCATCTGGGATTGGGCCCGATGGAACCGGGCACCTGGTTATTCGGGCAGGAAAGGACGGGAGCTATTCATATTCTAGAGCCCAGAGAATCTGGTTGCCCGCGTATCACCAGCCCGCAGCTTCCGAGTCTTCCCCTGTGGTTGATCCCACCGGCGCCGGGAACTCTTTCCTGGGGGCATTGGCCCAAGGTATGGTGAGTGCCGGACGAGACCCGGCTAGCGTTATCGAATCGATCTTTGCGTCGTCTGAGAACTGGAGAGATGCCGTGGAGGCAGACGGAGATCGTGGCCACATCTTAGAAGCTTTGGTGTCTGCCACCGTCGCCGCCGGGTTCGTGGTAGAGCAAATCGGGGTGCCCCGGATGTCTACTTCTACTGAAGGGAGGGAGCTTTGGAACGAAACTGAATTCACGGAACGGGTCCGTCTGTACACCCAGCGGTTGTATAGAACCGTCGAAGAGTCTCCTCAGAAGCACTTCCTGATCAATTGAACGGATTGAAGAACTCCCTTCTATTGTCGTACAGCCCACAAGAATATGAAACAAAAAAAACCTATCATTTGCCATAGTAATCTTCCTCGATTTCCAACCTAGTTTATATCTCGGTATGCCACCTTATGAATCCTGCTTCGAAGCTCTCTCGTGTTCGATGATCTGTCGGCTCCAGCTGCAAAGGGAGAATGGGATGGTCAGCAATTGTTTGTCGATATGGTGGAAGATTAGGACGCCCATGCCCAAGCGAAACAGAACAGATCGACTTACTAGCGACTAGGGAAGAATCTGCCGGGCTCTGGCATCTTTTCCCGATGCTCACGGTCGGCACTAAGGCTCCAGGTCACGGCAGCGACTCCAATGACAGCAGCGCCCATGATGGCCGTGTTCAGCCGCCAGTTCGCGGGCTGAGCGTACCAGCCTCCGGCGGGAGACCAGACTTCCTTGGGGTATCTGCGCATCCAAGTCGGTTAGCGACTACGCGCGGAAACGATCACCGGGGATTGAGAAGGACATACGGGATCTTGCCGCCTCCACCCATCTTGATTGGGCTAAATCGGACGTTCGAGAGAGATAGACGTGGGCAATGGCTCGCTGGAAAAAGCGTGGGTTGTTCTGGGCGGGTTTGAAGCCGAAATGGCCGTTCGACGTTCCTCCCAGACACCGTGACGCTAGCGCCCAATACGGCTTAGCGGCCAAAGGGCGCCTTTCTCTCACACGACCGCCAGACCCCGTGACTTCTACCGATGCTCAACTTTTCTCCAGCGGCCAAAAGTTCCCACGCGATTCTCCCCATCCGGACGAGCCAATCCCCTCCACACGCCTTGGGCAATCATCCCCTTTCGTTCTCTCGATTCCCTGTCGACAATTTGCCTTAAGTCCCTTCCGCTTCTTCTCCCCCCCAGTTGCCCAGATGAAGAGGGTGCAGCTCCTACGATGGAGCAGTTCGGCCCTCCGAACGCCGCGGGCCCGGACTGGTGGTCGCCTGCAGCAACATCTTTCTTACGGTCTTCGACACCAATCGACGGCTGAATCTTCAGCTCTTCCGGCTGAAAACGAGCAATTGGGCAACGAGCAATTGCTGGGAGCACGTCGGCCTCCGCCCCATTCGAAAAGACAGCCCAGGCATATCCACCCTTCTCCCCCGGTCGAGGCCGCCCGGGAGTCCGCAAAACTTGCTGCGCTTCATGCACGACTTTACCTTCCTTCGCGATTACCTCTCGAGACCCTAGCACGCTCTCTCGTGGACCCCTCGGCCGATCCCAACCCCAGTTTCAACAATGAATCATTGGCCACGCTTGGTCATGACCTCCTTAGCCACTACACGACCGAACACCTCCTTTGCTCATACCCTCGCCTTCCTCTCACGGTCATCTTCGCCGCCATGTATGCGTACGTTGGCCCGAAATCACTCGCAGCGATGGCAAGAGAATGGGGTGTTGAAATGGCGGTGTGTCCGGGCGGCGAGGTCGACCCTGGCCTGCTGCAGTTCAAGAGAGTCCTCCCTGGCACCGACCTGGACGCGGAGCCTCTCACCGGCACCGCGAGGCCCAATGAGCACCGAAAGTCGTGGAGAAAGTCGGTCACCTCCCGCGTGGTCTACGACAATGAATTCGGCGATCCGACCAAGGCGTCCGGCGAGGAGACTGCGAACGCTCAGGGCGTCACTGCCGAGCAGGCCAACGCCACGTTTGTGCGGGCCGTGATGGGCTCGATTTACCTGCACGCCGGCCGACCCGCGGCCAAGCGCTTCTTCGAGCAACACTTCCTCTCGCGACACCTCAACATCTCCGAATTGTTCAATTTCCAACAGCCAGCTCGTGACCTATCTCGCCTGTGCGCGCGCGAAAACTTCGAGCCGCCCGTTGCGAAGATCATCAGCGAAACTGGTCGTAAGAGCAGACACCCCGTGTTCATCGTTGGCATCTACTCCGGCAAGGATAAGTTGGGCGAGGGCGCTGGCGCCAGTCTACTCGAGGCTCGCTCCAGGGCTGCTGTGGCCGCCCTTAAGGGATGGTACCTATATAGCCCCTTGAACGTGCGGGTCCCCAGCTCGATGGAAGAGGAGGGAGCCGCTCCTTGGAAACCTGTCCATGTCGACTTGGGTGAGGTTATTGTATAAGATTGGAGGGGGATGAGACAGAATGATACGTTTCAAATGTGAAGAGGATGTTATATCATTAGATCCGAGTGCATGGCGGCTGGATGGCGGCAAGGCACTGACAACATATTGGTCTATTTCATATTTACTTTTTGCAAGATCAGGTTTTGTACAGTATGGGAAATCTATTCTATTCTTACCAATGTCTTCTTTGGTTTTTTTTTTTTTTTTTTCTTTTATTTTTATATTACTATCTTCTTTTCCGTTTGGTCTCGTTTTGCTTTTTCTGTCATTTATGCTTTATATGGTCGATTCATTGCTTCTGCCTCTTATTGCTTCCCATTTCTCTTTTATCTTGTTGTGGAATAGGGATGATTCTGCGAGGCATTCCTTTTCCCAAAAGTCTTGCTCTGTTGGCATTGTGGATAGAAGATGAATTGCATTAGTGTATAGAATATATTCAACCAGTGCTTCTTGAAACACTATCGTGCTCGCTTCATGGTCAAAAAGCTCTATAAGAGGACAGGCATTACCATATACCCACACCCATCACAAAAAATACCGAAGATCACTTCATCTTTCATTCATGATTAACAATCCCCCCTCCCATCCAGTACCCATCATCCCCGCACTAACTTTCTTCTCTATGAGACCCCCGAATTGATCAAGATAGACCCCATACTCCTCCCAAAGCACTTCAATCCTTTCACCAAACAAACTTTCCCAAAAATCCTTCTTACATGATTCGCCCCCCTCGTCCCTTTCTTTATCCTGAGCACAGTACCCCTGACGCAATAACCGATCATTCACCAACCCCACCGCGCCCGTCCCAATGCGGACATCCTCCAACCAAGCCAAAAAGTACGCCGTAGGATGATACCCCTGATCCCATTGCTCCGGGCGATCCCTCGCAGACACAGGTCGTTTCCAATGCGGCGGGGCCAGACCGGCCCTCAGACGGACGAAATCGGCAATGCCTTCGATGAGTCCGAGGGGAGGACGGAGATCGTTTGGGTGCAAATGTGCCAAGTGATGTGCCAAGTGTTGGTAGCAGTGGGCGAGCTCGTGAGTGAGTACGCCGCGGAGCTCAAAGGCGGGGTCTATCGCGAGGCGGGTACTGGTCCTGTGGATGTCGGATAGGGAGAAGTGGATCTCCTTGTGGTATTCGTCGAGCTCGGTGCTCTTTGTGTGTGCCAGGTGGCGGATATCTGAGCCATGGCGGAGGAGGATGGTCACGGAGCGGGTGGGGGGAAAGCTAGGGTAGAAGGTCGGGAAGGGCCGCAATGCGCCCTTCTTATCGTTGCGTGATGATGGGGCGGTATATAGGCTCTTCTTGATGACCCATAGGGCGGACTCGAGGACGCATTCGAGGTCGGGGATCAGAGATAGAAAGGCTTTGGCACCGGGGTGACGAAAATCGTTGATATGAAGGCGGAGCTTATAGTCGGGGAGCCCCAGGCCTACTGCCCGGGTTTGACTCTGGGAAGGCTCGGTCATGATGCTGGCGGTTACGGAGTTCCTGTAGATATGTATATAGACAGCAGTAGTGATAGTAGTGATAGATGGAGAGAAGTCGAGCAAAGAGAAGAGCGTTAGTTGTAAGCGCAGGGCGGAGCATAGAACTAAAGATTGAAAATGGATCATAAAAATGACGAGGCCTACGTGGATGGTCGAGAGAAGGAAGGCACGAGGCAATCTGTTTGTTCAAATACATTCAAGGCAGGTAGGTATTCAGGCATTTGACAAGCGGTCCGATGGGATCTATACGGCGACACGGGCAGGTGATGTGCAGTGCTGGACCAACATCTTTTGATGCTGGTTTCAAACAATACAGAGAAAAGTGTTATGGTTGTAAGTCTGTGAATTGTGCAGCTGTAGCTCTGTTTCAATACTCAAACCCCAGAGACATCCTTCGCCATGACTCCCACAAAAGAAATTCACAAAGCACCTTGCGCGAGGCAATGCGTGAGATGCAGCAGTGATATTAATAAAGTTGAAGATTGAAATGGAAAAAGTTGGGTGGGTATTGTTGCGGGTCCTGTACGCCTGACATATACAATTTGAATAGAGAAAGAAAAAGGAAAGAGAGATGCGCAGTAGTGGACAGGTCGTCGTCAGCAAAAAGTCCGGCTGAAGATCGACGGGAGATGAGCCTGCATCTTGTGTAGCTAATTACTGTCTTGTTAGTTGAGCCCCAGCTGTGTGTCCTGCCTCAGGATATGGTTTGAATGATAATAATATACCGACGAACGATTGAAGGTAAATATAAGAGAAATGAAGATATTGTCCACACCTCGGTGGCTTGGGTATAGAAATGATCGTGCTCACTGTTAGTTCAGATCTGGGCAGTCATGCTTGTGAACATCCAGCCCTCGTAATCTTTTGGCCAGCAGGCTTTCACCCGCCTCGATACCACTGGCGGAGCGGTAACCACCGTAGCCGATATCTCCTTTACTGAGCTTGTGATATCGACCTTCATTGAAAGAATGTGATTCGATTGAGTCTAGATTTTGCAAGGAGAACGACTCCTTTCTCAAAGACGGGATGGGTTGGAAAGGATGAGCAGTATGCTGTGTTGAGTGATACTGTCCAGGACTCATCGTGTTTCGTCGCAGTGAGGACGTGATCGCGAACGAACCGTCGGGAATATCGGCATAGGGATGGGGAGCGTCATACGCTGCGATCGGCTCGTGGTTCGCGGCCGGACGTTGGGGTGCTTGGTCCGTCGCCAATCTGGGGGCCATGTGCGAATGATGGGCGTCTCGAACGGGCTTGTAGGGTGTGTATCGAGGGTCGGGGTGCTGGATTTCATTGCGAAGCTGTTCCTTCCCGTCGGGCACGCGGTTGGCAAACACCACGCGAATGCTCGAGTGGAGGTAGAACCGGCCCCTAGATGGACAGCAAATGTTGAGGTGAATCAAGTATCTTAATACGGGCTTGTCTTTGGGGTCCTCGGAGGCATTTAACGATGCCTCGGGGCGATCAGTACCGTAATTCTTTCTAGCGGTTAGTGGCATGTCAATTACAGGACCGGCAGAGTAGCTTCTTTGCCGGATAAATGTCTTCGTGCCGGGTTCCATGTCACTCAAGTCATAAGGAACGAGAAACAATTTTACAGCCGTCTTGTTCGGGTTTTTGATCATGATCTGTAACTGGCCCTGTTGCGGGATTCTGTAACAACCACCGGGAGGGCATTTGGGAGACTCGGCCCGCCTGTGTCTCTTTTCGCGTTTACGCAAAGCGTCCTGGTCGGTGGGTTTCGATGACAGATCGTTCTCCGCGCCTTGATCACCATAAGGACCCGCAGGGCTCTGATGGCGTCGGCGACGTCGGCTGCTGGCCGACGTGTCCCTAGGAAGAGAGTTTTCCAGGTCGATCAGGCCAACGTAAGGGCTGGGGTTGTCGTCCGAGATCGTTCGTCCGTGCCCAGAAGTAGGGTAGCAGTAGAAGACCGCTGGGAAAGGAACCGTGACGTGGGGCGGACATTTGAGACTTGATTTACATTTGCTTTTACCGAGCACTCCAATCTGCGCGGTGAAGTCCAAGGGCTTGGACGGATTCATTGACATTCGCCCACGGAGAATCGATTCCTCGTACGAGCCGACAAGCGAGGCATGTGGCCGGGGCGAAGATTCCGAGGTAATCGACAGTCTCCGAGCCCTTGGAGAAGGCGTCTGCACCGATGACGCTAGCTGGAGACTATAGGTCGATGCTAAAGACCGCCGGGGAGGATAGACTCCGTGAGAGGGTTCGTTCCATCTCCCAAGAGATTGACCATTTTGAAAGATCGAGCCTCGGTGAGCAGTAGGTGATGATTGGAGGTGCCGGAAAGTTTCTGGAGGCAGCGTTCGGCGACGACTCGCTTTTCCCGAGAATCCTGTCTGATCCGCAGACTCTGTCCTAGGAGAAAAATCCAAGTCTGTGTTGTTTGCCTGATAAACCAGCGGGCTTGTGGGAGCCTTCAGGACGTAGCTGGAGGAGAATGACCCCAAAGAGGGTGCTCGGGAGCGACTTGTCGGCACCGTTTTCCCAGCAGACGGACGCGTCGGTACCGCAAACCAGGGCGTTGTTGGAGAGGAACTCAGGGGAGGGAACTGTGGGACAGTGCTCGTTCGTGGTATAGGAGATGGAGGTATTTGTTGTTGGCCGTTCTGCTCTCTGGCGCCTTCTCGAAAATCGCCCGAATGTAAAGCTGATCGAGGACGTACTATATCGGCCGGCGTTCCTAGTTCCTGGTCTTCCTGCTGGTGGTTATCGGTGGGTAGACTCCGTTCAAATGATTGATTCGCCATATAATCGGGGTTTTCAGAGGTAAAGTGGCCGGCACTCGGTTCCCCGAACTATAGAATGTCTTCAATGAGTAAATGCGCAAAGAGTAGCTCACCGCTAATGACAAACAACGGGACGCAGGAGAGAGTGGTACGAAGAAAAAGTTAAGACATACCGTAGTCTGCGGTGCCCACGGCGAAGCATCGCTGCCCTTAATATAGCGGATTAAGTCCTCTCGATCACTCGCACGCAGCCCCGATAGAGGATACTCCGACCACGACTGGTCATCGGAGAGTATGTCACCCCTTTCAGGACGGCTAAATTTGGAATGATTGACCTGGTACTGTTTCCAAGTGGATATAGCATGTTGCCGAGCATCCTCGCCGGAGTCTCGGTGGTCATCGGACCATAAATCGTAGAATTGTTGGCGATCCGGATCCTGAAACATAGGCATGATCACCGATAGTTGGGATGGGCGGAATCGGCGGACAAAAGCTCAATCATCGCAACCGCACGGCGGGTTTTCTGGAAACGAAGTTGGCCAAGAGGGGGTGAGCGTGTAAGAGAGGTAGATGATGTAGTGTGTCGGTAGCACGCAGGGACCCGGTGGCGGAGGTCACTCAAGTTTCAAGCACGGTGGAGTAGGATTGTATGACCGCAACAGATCGGCATCGGGGGGGGGGGAGAGGAGTTAGGATTGGAGCGATGAAAGAAACAGGAGACTGACAAAGGGGACCGGGGGAGAAAAAAAGCTAAAGGGGAGGGGGAGGGAGGGAAATAGGAGAAAGGAAGCAGAAGAATGAGTCAAGGATGATCTGATTATGATCCTTACTCTCTTACTCAATAATAACCGTTTATTCAATTTTAATTCCCATCCGGAGATGCGGCAGGTCATGAGGGCGGATTCCTCAATTCTCAGGCAGCAAAGATACGATCCCTGTAACTTACCGTATCTGTACGTCATCGGGCAGAACAAACCAGTCAAACCAGGCAAATCAGACAAACCCGCCATACATTTCTGTATTGACCGATAAGCCTTCGCCAGCTTCTTCAACTTCCATTCCTTCCTGCTTTGACGTGGCCCACGGATCTCCATATCCTTGTTCCTTTTTGAGGTGCAGCTGTTCGAGGCCCGCCCAAGGCGCCAAAAATCTCCAGTTTGGTGTCAAATTGAGTAGTACCTCCATTTACTCCGGACTCCGTCCCGATTTTTTTTTTTTTTTTTTTTTTTTTTTTTCCGTCCGGCTCAGGTTCAACAAAAATCCCTCGCCACGTTGACTGCGACAATTGTTGCCCAACTCACCATTCCAATAAATTTGTCTGAGCCAGTTGTACAGGAACCCTGAACAGATTTTTTCCTGATCTCCAGCTCATCATGGCGGCCAAACGCTCCCGAGACACTAATGCAAACGCCGAAACGCGGAATAATACAGAAGCTCCGATCAAGAAGAGAAAGGGCTTTTCAGTCGGCCCTGCAAATCTACCCGATGGCACCTATCGCCGAAAGAGTTAGTCTTATACCATACCATTCTCCAGTATACCCAGTGTGGTTGTGGGCGTTTGACGCCCGATCCCCGTGCAGTCCAGCGAGCTAACCTCTTGCGACTATTCAGCCCAAAAGATCAAGTCCGACCTGATCCAAAAAGCCAAGGTCAAGAAAGCCTATGCCAAAGTCAAGGCCGAAGAAGAGCTTGCCAACGCTCAACGCAAGCCTACCTATGCGGTTGCCGACGCAGATGCCGAGAGGAACGAGAAGTCGCCCGAGCCTGAACCCGCCGCCCCCGAGCTTCATCCGGATCGACTGGCGATGTTGAATGAACCGGTTCCGGAACCCTCACCCAAACCGGAGCGCTCGCAAAACCGGGAGCGCCGACAGAAGAAGCCCAAGCGATCTGCGTTCACCAGAGAGATGGAAGCCGCCGAACAGCGTCGTCAGGAAGCGGAGAAGCGGAGGAAGGACCGAGAGTTTAGACAGAAGAATCGAGAGGACATGTCCCGCGCGAGGCGGCCGGACCAGTTCGGTAATAGAAGGCTGGGTCGCGAAAGCAAGGTGCTGTTAGATCGCGTGCAAAGACTGGTTGGTCAGACGTAGAGCTGGCTTGCGGTGGAAACAAAAGTTTTGTAAATGATACCCTACATTTTGATTATTCTTCACCATTTAGATTAAACTTGCGTCCATGATGTTGATGTCGCGGAAATAGATTCCAGATTGATCTACGGAGTAAATCGGTTTGAGACCAATGCTCTTGACCAGGTACAAGCTTATTCTATATATACAACTCCTAATCCGCAACGACATAACTACGCCGATGCCTTCTGACCAGCACCGCCTCTTGCTCTCCTGAAGCAAGCAAACTCTCCCTTGGTTCTTTCACGCAATCTTTTCAGAATGCCCCTCATTTCACCCAATTCCGACTGAAGTCGGGCGCGAGCTTCGTGAGAGGTACGATGGTCCAGTTCAACGTAGATTTGACTCTGCAATGCCGATGCCTCATCGGTGGAGTATTGCGACATGGTTTGTGCAATGTATTCCGTGTCCAGAGTGGCCTGCATTAGGGCGGGGAGCGTATACGAAGACCGCGAACTAAACGATTTGAGAAGAGACGAAGAAACTTGCGTTAGCAAGTGTGTAAGCACGACGGAGAGCAGGGTGGACGGTGCCGGTGTTGATGTCGTTGATGAGCGCGTGGAAGCCGAGGCGCTAGAAGGAATGGTAGTCGAGATCTCTGTATGAACAAGCACCAGGGTTAACAGGGCGTTGTACACGTAGGACCGGACTTGATCAGGACGAGCGTTGGAGGAGGGCTCCCAATCTGCGGCGGTAATTCCATGGAAAATCGTCATGTGCAATGCCTCAATAGTTGGATTGGTGTAGGACTGGAACAGGCGGTTGTCTATTTGATTGAGCACGTCACGAATGGTTTTGGCTTCATCCGTCAACTTCACGGAGAAAGAGGTTTCAAAGTTCGCGACCAATTGGGGTACCAGTTCGGTCTGGAGGGCTTTGATGTTCGAGAGGGTCAGGAGAATGCGCACATTCTAACGACTTGTCAGTATATTCGCCATGATACTAGGAAGTGATTGGGAGAACGTACCCTGTTCTGGGCATCAACAGCGTCTGCCACAAAAACGGAAGATATTCCAGTGCGGTTGCGCGCCGTCGAGCCGGCGAGAATCCATTCGTTGTCCTCTTCTGGAGCGGCAGGATGCTCCGCGTTCTCCACAAGACCGCTGAGGGCTTTGTAGACACTGGAGACGAATTGGGTGCGCACCATTTGAAGGAGCTTGGTAGGTGGCTGCGTCACGATATCTACATCACCGGATTTGACCATGGCCTCTGAAATATATAGAATCTTTTGCATCCCCCCGATGATTGCATTTTCAAAGGCCACAAATAAGCTTGGCATTTTCGTGAGATCCCTGATCTCGGGGTCTCGTGTCCAGTCTTCCATCAACTTGCAGATCTCTGCGTCTCTGCCCCAGGCAGCGCAGACCACTCGCACCGCGCGCTCACGGGCGACACTGACAAGCGCCTTGAGAAGACTGTGTGCGTTGCCATTGCTTGATACCGGGCCTAAAGCGGCCATTTCGCTCGCCGCCGTTCCGATGATGACCAGGAATTGGCCCAAATAATGAACACCACCGAGCGCATTGGAAAATGGGGGCCAGAACGCATACTCTTCCCAGTGTTCGCCGCTCTTTGGAGTGGGAAACGGCATATTTTTGGGATCGAGCTTGAACCGGGACTCGGTGGGTGTCACTCCCATATTCAAAGGGCTGTTGGGACTGGGTGGCGATATAGGCGAGGTGAGCAGAGAGATATCCTCCAACGGAGGGTCGGCAAATAAAGATAGAACACTTTCTCGAATGAGGTTCACCAGCTCGACAACACCTTTCTGCAGATCCCTCGAGTCGGCGCCTGAAAGCCGATGGTGCTTCCGGCTTTCCCCTTCGAACCCGGCAGGGAGTAGTTTTTGCTTGCCACCATCGAGGAAAGACTGGGCCGCCTCCCAAAAATCAAGCACTTCCCCAAGAATACCTCCCTGCGACGACAGCAACCTATTGAGGTAGGTATGAACGCAATCCCAGAGTTCAATGATCTGGTCAGTATCCAGCATATCTTGCGTATCTTTGGCATTGTCGCGCGGTGCTAGTTTGAGATAGGATGCAACGGCTCGAGGACTTGGTTTTTCGCCGCTGGCGAGCCTGCGTCGGAGGATCTCGATTTCCGTTTTGCACCGTTCGCAGAACGCAGTTATCTTTGTTTTCAGAAAGTTGTACCGACTGAGAAGCCAAACCCAGATAGGGTTGTCATCCACTCCCAGCTCCAGCAAGGCACCTATGAGTTCCATGTGTTCTTCAACTGGCCCAGATGCGGTCACTGTTGTCGAGGTAGTAGGTGCGTCGCCGAGACGTCTCCAGAGGTCACGCTTGAACGCTTGTAGTTGCTGATCGACATCCATCCACATCCGCCCCATGGCTAGAATTAGATGCATATCTGGGTCAGTCAACGGTCGCTGCTTGCTAATCGCCCTGTCCGCGATGGTTTTGGCTTCCTTGACAAGAGCTCTTGCCTTGTTATATTGTTCGAAAACGGAATCGTAGTCTCTCTGCTTGATGGATTTTGAAAGCATCCCGCCGATTTCATAGACATCACGGTGTTTCTCCATCGCGTCAACCACCGATTTCAGAGACTGCTCCCTTTCACGACCTCCTAGTGCAGGACCCCACACTTCCTCGGCTTTGACAGAAGCCTCGAGCAACGGAACGCGGATGCCCTTTATGCCGTACTCACTCTCTTTGGTGAGAGCATTCTTCCCTGGTGCTGAGTCCGACGGAGCCGGAGAGGGACCGGATTGTATCCCTCCCGAATAATTCCGGAAATGCCCTGACCTGCGATGAGCTTGTTGTACGGACGTGTTCTGTTCCCTTCCCTGATTCCTCATCTCGGTATAGACACTATCGATGGTCGCTTTGGCTCGAACGAAGCGCTCGAAATTGGCTTCAACGAGAACCTTCAGCGAGGCCGATTTCTGATCGATGGATCTCGAAAGGAAATCGAGTCCACTGAGGAGTGACTTTATTGATGCATCCGAGTGCGCCTGTGAGAGAAAGAGAGCGGGCGAGAACGAGGTAGACGAGAGCAGGAACCGATTGCGCAAACGACCCTCTTCCTCCAGGGACAACCCTCTTTTCTTCAATATTTTGAACACCGTCTCCCCAGACCCGAGCGGATCGGGTTCATCCATTTTCACGAGATTGTCCCTCCCATTTTTCCCTTTGAAGGACCCGAGATTCGGTCCTTTCCGACCACTGTTGGTGCGTTCGAGGGCGAAGTATCGGGATCGCGAACCACGGCGTTGCAGGGTCTCATCCTCGGAATCCTCGCTCTCTTCCAGCTCGGCGGGCCATTCCTCGGGGTATTCCGACGGGAGGTTATAGAAATTGGCGACCTCAGAATCGGCCATCGTTTCTGCGACGTGTCGAGGGGGAGGCGCTTGGGACACGAGGGAAGTACCGATCTCCGACGGTTAGAGGCGATCAGTCAACAAGGGCTCAATCGATAACATGCAGGGAAGAGCGCGCAAGCAGCTGCAAGGGCGAGAGAAGCTAGAGGCGAACGCTAGGGTAGATAGTAGGGGTACTCCGTCAGTAGTTCTAGCTCAATGAATAATGATGCCAACGTGCACCGGAGAGGCTGGCGTTATCTGATCTAAGGAAGACACCAAGTGGACTGGGGGACCGAAGACGGCAAGCATCCAAGCCGGACGGACCGGGTGCCGAGAGATTGGCCTGATGGGAACTTCTTTCGTCCTTCCCGCACACCCTCCTCTTCCCACCCTCCATCCATTCTTCCTCCCACCTCCCCAATCTCCCCTCTTCGATTGTTTGCTGCTGTCCTCGGGGACCCCATCAACATGTTTGCCGCCAGGAACTTCGCTCTCCCCGCCCGCCAATGCTTGCGGACGACCCGTGTCTCCCCTAGAATCGCTTCGCCTTTGTCGCAGGTAACTAGCGACCTATCTCAGTTGGCCCCTTCTGAGCGAGGGTTTGGCTGTCCAATGCGTGTCTCGTGCTGACTTGAATTATTAGCTGCGTGGCTACGCTGCCGCTGCCGATGAGCGTGTCGCCAAGTTCAAGGGACAGAAGGATACCGATGTATGTCTCCCGACCGATATTTTACTTTTTTTTTTTTTGTTCTTGGATTTTCTTCCCTTGGCCCGAGGTTTTCCGACCTTGCTCTACAACACAACCATTCCAATCGACTCCGCAAACAACGTTTTAAATATGACTGGAATAAGGATTCTGACAATGTGATCGCCTTGCTAGGGAAAATACACCGTGACTTTGATCGAGGGTGATGGCATTGGCCCCGAGATCTCGCAGTCCGTCAAGGACATCTTCGCTGCCGCAAACGTACGCTTCGACTTCAACCCGCCCTTCACCAACTACGATGGATTTTGGAATGCTAAAAAACTGTACAGGCCCCCGTCAAGTGGGAGCCCGTTGATGTGACCCCCATCCTGAAGGATGGAAAGACCGCCATCCCCGACGATGCCATCAAGAGCGTGCAGAAGAACTACGTCGCGCTTAAGGGTCCCCTCGCTGTAGGTTTTGCCCATGATGGCATTTCTACTGTGCTTTCGCTGATTTCCTCTTCTTTTTCCCGTAAAGACCCCCGTTGGCAAGGGACACGTCTCGCTGAACCTTACTCTCCGTCGTACCTTCAACCTTTTCGCCAACGTTCGTCCCTGCCGGTCCGTCGCTGGCTACAAGACCCCCTACGACAACGTCGACACCGTCCTGATCCGTGAGAACACCGAAGGTGAATACTCTGGTATTGAGCACGTCGTTGTCGATGGTGTCGTGCAGAGCATCAAGCTTATCACCAAGGAGGCCTCCGAGCGCGTGCTGCGCTTCGCCTTCCAGTACGCTCGTTCCATCAACAAGAAGAAGGTCCGCGTGGTGCACAAGGCTACCATCATGAAGATGTCCGACGGTCTTTTCCTGAACCTTGCCCGCGATATCGCCAAGGAGTTCCCCGATGTCGAATTCGACGCTGAGCTGCTGGACAACTCTTGCCTGAAGATCGTCACCGACCCTACTCCCTACAACGACAAGGTCCTGGTCATGCCCAACCTATACGGTGACATCCTGTCGGATATGTGCGCCGGTCTGATCGGTGGTCTCGGTCTCACCCCCTCCGGTAACATTGGTGACGAGTGCTCGATCTTCGAGGCTGTCCACGGTTCCGCACCCGACATTGCTGGCAAGGGTCTTGCCAACCCCACTGCTCTTCTTCTGAGCAGTATCATGATGCTGCAGCACATGGGTCTCACTGAGCACGCTGCTCGCATCCAGAAGGCCACCTTCGACACCCTCTCCGAAGGAAAGGTACGATACTCCAGTTCCCGCTCCCCCCACCGATCTATCCGATGAACTAACACGCGAATCACAGGCTCTCACCGGCGACTTGGGCGGTAAGGCCAAGACCAACGAGTACGCTGAGGCCATCATGAAGCGCCTGTAAGGGATTCGTTCACATCATGTACTATTTCCCTTGATTGTCTCCTTTTAGCATGTGAATAATTTTAGACCATATAATGTGATCTATTATACGTACTCAAATGTATTTATCAAGATGCTAGGCGCATTGACCTTCAAGACTTTCCATTGAAATGTGCTGCTTGACAAATTATTCGCCAGGCAGAACAAACGATATGGTACTTGTAATTTCAAGCATTTGTAAGAGACTTGAGTAGTATTTATTGCGTTTAGACCGCATGGGTTAACACAGGATACGCCTTAGCTGCGATGATGAGACCCAGAAAATACAGAAAACGCCACCCTTATGTTCGCCAAGGTATCATAGAAAAGAAAAGAGAGAAAAAGGAAAGGAGAACAGAGCCTGGGAACCCGTTTACGCTAGCGCCTTCGAGAGCCTCTTCTCGGTCCCGTTGGCGCGCCTCTTCCCTTCTGTTTCGACCGGGATGTTTGGGCACGCGTACTTCTCGTGGTGGGAGAGCCTCCGCCTTCGTCGCCTTCGTCCTCCCCCTCGCTATCGTCCTTCGCCCCGTCTGTGCCATCCTCCTCCTCATCATTTGCAGCGGTTTCTTCAGAATCTCCCTCCTCCTCACCAGTGCCCGATCTCTTCCTTCTCGGTTCAACCTCCACGTGGAGTCGCGACGAGCGTGTGCCACGCGTAGATGGACGACCACCACGACCTGGTTTTCTACCTCGCGACGGAGCAGGAGAGGATCGAGGCTCTATACGCAGGTCCAAGAAAGACGTAGTCAGTAAATTTGAGCGTTCAAATGAAGTTGTGTAACGAACCGTCTGTATCCGCCACGGTGCTGCCTCGTCTGGATTCAGGGTGAGGACTGTTAACGGGAGACACGGAGCCTTCTGCTAGTCGCCTTGCAAACATCAATTCACCATATTCATCCTCGGGGAGATCGAATGGACAGTATAGCTCTTTCGAGTTTTCGACGTCATCGGATGTGTCGGTAATCAACGAGTCCTCCTGTTATCCCGACCGAGATTATTAGCGTAAGAACTTCTCAGGTCGGGCGTTCGCAATCGATAAAAGCTACATACCCGCTCATCAAGCGCAGGAAGATTGTATAGCGTCCCGAGCTTCTTCCAGATCCCGGGTATTCGAGTATGTTCCGCGTGGGAGGGCGCATATCCTTGGCTCTTCATAAACTCCGAGATAGCAATCATGCGAAAATGCTTGTGCATGCCTTTGATAGAACAGCCGCCGCATTAGCTTAAGATCCACTGGTCCAAATAATGGAGGTTGAACGAACCGACAGGCTTCCATTTGATTATCCCCTTCAACAGGGCCGTCTCTTGTTCATCGGTCCACGGGTCCGTGACGGGGTCGTAATCCGCGTTTGGCTGAGCTGCGCTTTCATTGCCGGGGGTGGTCGAGGATTCGGACTGAGTCGCGAGCTTCGGTTTCTTCCGAGGAGGCATCGTGGGTGAGGTTTCGAGAGGACTCCGTACTTTGCAGATACAATGGAAGCAAGGATGGCTTGGAGACTCCCAGCAAACGAATTCATTCTGCGTCGGTTTCCCGAACAAGCGGTGGTCCGGGCGCAGACCGGGGAGGGGCTAGTCCTGTTCGGGCTAGTGCGGCGTGATCTCGCGCTGCCCACGCGTCGGCCTGATGCTTCAAGCGATAAGAGTAAGGCTTCTTTCTTGCCCGTGGTTCTGGCTGCGGCATGCGCCATGTATCATTGATCATGGATCGCGAGGATGATGGCATAGATCCCTTTTCAAGCGATGGTCTTTGGAAAATCTCCAATTTCACGCTACAGTCCCTCCAGCCGCTGGAGCCCTTGTCATGGAACCAAGACTTGCCTGGTACTCACCTATACTCCGGACTCCGAGAAACTACAATTGGAGAGCTGACCGAATTTTTGCATTTTAGATATCACATGCGACTTCTTCAAAGCCCCACTCGACCTCTTCAACGACAATGGACCCAAATTTCCGAGTCTGAACTCCTTCGAAATTGATCCGTCTAATGAGGATCAACGACCGGAGTCGACTGTCGATGCATCCAGCGATGGCCTATCGATTCTCGACCCTGACTTACAAGAAGACGATGTATCGGAGGAAATATGGGCACCCGAGAACTTAAATTACAACCCTGGTAACCAGAGAATATTGAAGTCATGGGAGAGCTACCAAGATCGATTGCACCGCGAGCCCACCTCCGCGTATTTCAGCGAGTCTGGCGCGAAGGGCTTTGATGGATCGTTGGCCCATCAGGCCGCACAGAAGGGCCCCGGAGGTACGCAACGTATCGTGCGAAATGACGTCCTTTTTCAATCTCTGTTCAAGCTAGGATTAGGCTGGAGCTCTATCTTGTTTCGCTACAACCAAGAAGATCAAACATTTGAGCAGGTACTCGGAAACCTGCGCATAACTGGCGTTAGCGTTTTGGCTGTGCAGAGTTTGGCAGATGAGTTACTTGTCTGCGGATCAAATATGCAAAAGATCCGGGGTTTTCTCGGCAAAAAACCTTCCAAATCTCACGACCTTTCGGCGCTTTCTACGCTTTCGAGTGCAACTGCAGTGATCATGTACACAATTGAAAAGGAACTCACGAAATACTCGAAGCATATCACCTCGCTCATCCAGATAAAATCATTGTTCCAGCGAAGCGGTGAGCTGGTAAGTGCTCTAGCGAATATGGTCGAGGCTGCTGAAAAGGCTATCTCAGAGGCACATTTGATTTCCATTGTGCTTGAAAGAGCCGCTCATTATTCACATGCCTTTGGTCAACTAGAAGACCTCTTCCGCGAGGTTGTGGTTCGATTGATTGAGTCTTTTTTGAGCTATGTGGAAACTTGGATTGGCTTCCGTCCCGAGACCTCGACATTGATGGAGTTGGCAGACAAAGGCCAAAGTTTTATCTCCCTCGAATACCATGACGAAAGCGGTAAGGCCGCCTCCAAGGCACCAAGACTCGATTTCAGATATCGCCCTGACCAAATGCCGTCCTTCATCCCCACGGATCAAGCACAGTTGATCTTCGAGAGCGGGCGAAGCCTTCGACTTCTCAAACGATTTCATCCACAGCATCCTGTCATGAGTAGCAATAGATCTACCGTTCACTCTGCAAAACTTCAATGTGTCAGTGCTTGGAACGACATTGAGAGAATCCAGAACAAGGCCGATGAGTACGAGAAGAAACTTCGAGCTGAAATACTGAGGTACAATAGCGGCGAGGACTCGGAAGAGGCAACAATACAGCCTACTATAGATACCTCATCATGCGACAATGACAACGAGGTGATTGCCAATACCTTTGGTTTGTTTGATATCGACAACGAGCAGAGTCTAACGGGCCTACTTGCCAACTCGTCCTCCATCGAAAGAGATAAAATTGGCCAAATTCTTGAAGAAACAGGAACGGCAAACCTAGGGTTGTATCAAGATGGCAAGAGTTGCTTTGGCCCAGACTTGATATCCTCGCTTTACTTGTCACTTGCGCCGTTACTGTCTTCTCAGGCACTGCTCATTGACTTCTCTTGTCTTCATCTTCTGTTCAAGGAACACAAAATCAGGTATCATCTTACCTTGCAATGGCGTTTCCAACTCCTCGGAGACGGCTTTTTCACGTCTCGTCTGTCACACGCGCTTTTCGACCCAGAAATGGAAAGTGGCGAGCGCAAGTCTGGAGTGGTCCGAGGCGGCGTTCACACCGGCTTGCGCCTGGGGAGTCGTGATACATGGCCTCCAGCAAGCTCGGAGCTACGATTAGTCCTAATAGGTCTTCTCAATGATTGTCGCAATGCAGATGATCGCTCAGAGAGTTCAGGAAACGCCGAGTTTCGTAGAGACACGGAATTGCCGGGCGGTCTCAACTTCTCAATTAGGGAGTTGACGGACGCGGAAATCGCTAAATGCAAAGATCCGAATGCCATTGAAGCTCTCGATTTTCTCCGATTACAGTATAAGCCGTCAGATGTGTTGGACGCTATCATAACTCAGCAGTCCCTGAACAAATACGACCGCCTGTTCAAACACTTACTCCGACTCCTTCGTATGGTTTCGGTTGTCAAAGGTCTGATTCGTGATTCTACGGCCAGAGACTCCCTCGCGGGCGATACGCGGAATGTATTTCAACGATTCCGCGTGGAATGCCAACATTTCGTCCTTGCCCTGAGCGACTACTGCTTCCACATCGGGGTAGGATCAACGTGGCTGCGATTCCAAGATACGCTTTCCAAAATCGATTCTTGCCTCGACCGGGGCGACGTCGACGGCACCATCGAAGCGGCCCAGTCCGTTCATAGATTAAGGGACTACCATGAAGACATTTTGGATCAAATGCTTTTTGCCTTATTTCTTAGCAAACGGCATACGGAGGCAGCGAGGCTACTCGAGGGTATATTCACCACAATCCTCAACTTTGCCCCCTTGTCAAGGTTGGACGGCATGCGTGGCGTGCGCCATGAGAGTGAAATCACCGTGCATCGGCTTTTTGCTCTTTTTCGGAAACAAACCTCGGCGTTTGTGGGCTATCTACGCAATCTGGATGGCATTAAAGCGTCTTCGAAGTCTCTCGGTCGGTCTGGTACAACCTTTGCTTCGAGAGGAGATCCTACGAGCGTTTTCGATCACCTTTTGGCACGACTGGATGTCAAAATGTATTACTGATATCGTTCTATACGAGGAATAGAACGAGAAGGATGATTCACACTCTCTGGGAGGATATTATAAGATTCATGTCAGGACACAATATAGATCATTTGATAAGAATATTCATATTTCTATGAAATGTGCATCAATGCGTGTATTCATGTACATAAAAGCCCTGCCCCAAGAAACGCCAAACCCATCATGTCAAACGTATCATCTTTCCAAAAATCATTCCCTAAAAGAAGTGAAGATTCTGTTCTGCCCACCCTTGCGTCAGAAGAATCTCCCGCGCGGATTTCTCCATGGCCTCTGGTCCACAGAGAAGCACCATGCTCTGCTCATCAAACGTTGCATACTCCTTGAGGATATCTGCGGAAATACGCCCTCGACGGCCTGTCCAAGAATCTGGAGCTTTGCTCAGAGTATGAATCACCTTGCATCTATTGCTGTCAGACGCCTCGAATGCGTCGAGCTCTGACTTGCAAAGAATGTCCTCCTCCTGCCTGTTTCCGTCGAGAACAATACACGTAGTGGGATCCTGTTGATCTTGCATGACAGCACGCAGGACCTGGAATATTGGCGTGATACCGGTTCCACCGCAGATCATGACAAAGGAGTTGACATGTCGTTCTTTGCCGCTGACGAGAACTCGGCCGTTTCCGAGGTACTCGAACCTTCCGGTCGGTCCTTTACACTCGATCACCGAGCCCAAGGAGAGCTTGTCAAGAGCCATGGTCATCTTGCCGCCAGGAACAGTAGGGCTTGCGAAGTATATCTTGACCAGCAAGTCCATCGTTCCTTCTTGGGCGGTTTCGGATATCGGGGTGTAAGAGCGAATGATGGCTTCGTTCCCTGCTGCTGAATCTAAGACCTTGATCATAAGATGTTGGCCTATTGGCAAGCCCAGTATCTGCTTGTCATGTTCTAGCTGGAAGCTGAAGATGCGAGTATCCCATGATATATCGGTTTTCTTCGCAAGAGTTGCTTTGGTCCATGACCTTGACTGGAGGAACTCTGCACGTGGTTCGTCCGAGCCTGATGAGGTGTCGTTCTTGAGTGCATCTAGAGATGCCTTGTCCATTGTTCCGATGTGATAATCGGGCATCATTGCTTTCGCTGTTTCGCTGTCTACGTAAAGCATTAGTGACACGCTCACGGTTTCTGATATAAGAAGGTACTTACGGATTGCCAGGAAGTCCTCAGAGACATCAAGTCCGGCAGAGGAGATAATACTCTGCGCTCCTCCGGGATGACCTTCAAGGAATCCCGTGCCATCATAAACTTCACCATTAACGATAAACAATGGCTTTTGTTCACTTGACTGAGACTTGAATTTCTCCAGGCTGATCTCTTGATTCAACCCAGCTTTTTTCATGTTAATTTCCTTCACGGGTTCGGGAGCAATTGGTTCCTCTCCCTCTTGTCTTTCGCCCCAGTTTCCGTTGAGCAAGTTACCTCCAGACTTCTTAACGCGTTCCATCCAGCCACCGGGCATGGTGGGATGTGTTGGATGCTCGAATTTCAAGATGCCGTTCTCTTTGGTAATTGTGACCCGAAACCAAGGGTTGTTCATCATGCCCAAGACAGACCAGTACATGTCGCGCGGCTGTATACTCAGTGCCTCGTCCATTGCTCTAACGACAATGGCATCGCTGTTTTCGAGCTCCGAAATAGCGATGCTAAGAGACCAGAAGCACCAACAGAAACACGTCTCTCGCAAGGACATGTCTACTTTCCCGCCGAAGAGGTCTCCTTCGAAATCACGGTATTTGTCTTCCGCATAATGGACGTCGGCCAACCGCCAAGCTGTGAAGTATGTTAGTTGAGTATGACGGGGATCGATTCCATTAGGGTTCGTACTCTTGCCCTTGTCCAACGAAATTTCCACCCTCGTGACTCTGCGACCACCTCCTGCGTACGCATATCCTTTCACGGTATAAGATGGCCCCGCTGAAGCAATGGTTAACTCTTCGTTGTTTTCCGGATAAACAACGGAGGAATTGACATTGAGGTCATAGATGGCGTAACGGTCATCACGCCACCACTTTGGATCGCTTGATGCCATTTCAGGAGAAACCGTGGTTCTTTCATATGGTTAGACCGAGGGTCGAACAAGGATATTGAGCAACATACGGTAAGACACGGTTATCATTGATATGATACCAGTTATCGCTTGGTGCGTCCGTCAGGATCAATTTTTTCAACCACTTGACGCTTCGACCACCGATTTGACCCGGGACAACAGCTCTCAGCGGACGGCCATGGTCAGGGGTAAGAGACTCTCCGTTCATCTTATGAGCAAGCATGATACCTCTGTTGTAGTCCATAGCCCAGTTCAACTTGACAGATGTCCCATAGTGTCCATTGGGCTAAAAGCACGGTCAACATCGACGCTCAGCGTAATTATCATGACGACATACCAGTTTGTCTGCTCCCTCCATGCAGACATATTTGGCCTTGCGCAGTGGTTTTGCACTTCGGAGGATATCAGCCATCAAAGGGCCAGTGAAGAGGGCCGTTGACAGCGCGGCCGAACCCCACGAGAAGCCTTTAGATTTTCGCACGGTGTTCTGCTCTTTTCGCCTATTGCCGGCACAAACGAGGGTGATCGGGGCTGTGATTTGGTCATACTGTTGTAAGACCTGACGGAAGTTCAAGATCAATGGCTTCTCAACCAGCCTAATAGTCGTTAGTTTTTTGGGAGCCGCCTAGGTGGTGAAGGGCTGCCTACCCTTCGATGCTGATCTCCCAGTTTGCGATATCGTCATCCTTCACGAAAGGAACCGGGCCATGGTTTCTGACATAGAAGAGTTCCGGTGAGGTGAGGAACCCTTTTGAGACGTAAGCAAGATTGGTCTACAACTTCGACGAGTGGGTAGGGTTCCACAGGTAAAAGAATCTGTGAATAGAAAGGTGATTGATACCTTCTTTGTAAAGGTCTGTAAGAGGAGGCTCGACGTTGAACGGATGCACACCCGTCAATCGGAGAAGTCGAGGATCGCGAGGGACATGATTATCTGGTGTGTTTTTATCTATACTCAGCACCTCCATCGGTCTTCTCGAAGGAGGTGGCAGAGGAATATCTTGAAGATCAACATTCGAAGTCTCTTCCTCCTCGACCTTGATTGCGGTCGACTTGAGTAAGAGATCACTCGGGACGAGTGCCTTCGTCCAGACCTCAGTGACAGTCGTCATTATTATTGTGGGGTGTGGTGGAGGGCAAAACTAGAGTACAAGAGGAGACATCGGTTAAGAGATGTTCGAACGGCCTCGCTCATAAAACAAATTTGAGGGACCCCTGTTGCCACACCGGAAAAGTCTACGGCACTAAAAGAATGTATTCACATTATTATGGCGTCTCACCAGCCCAGTCACCGGCGTTTGAATAATTTCACGGCCTGATAGCTGGAAATTTGGACTATCTGAGGGCCTCGGAGAAAGACAGCAGTGCGGTCTAACGGGGCCGACTTTCCAGTGATCCACCCACGGACGGTCTATTTCGAATTCTCGATGGATCTCCGCGGATGAGCCGACCCATTTTAGGGTTGCGAGTGGGTTTCCAAGGCACGGTGGTCTACCCGCAAGATCCGGAAAGCTTAGCACGACCTGTTGGGGGGAGTTGTGCTTATGGCACCGTTATAGCATGTCCTACTGAGGGATTTTCTCGCCAGCCATCTAGGCCATCTAGACCGACGGCGGTGAAATGGTGGCAGCCGCCATCAATGTTTGCACATTCCAGAGACTGCGGGATTTAAGCTCATGTACAAAGCACAGAATACCCCGTACATATTGACTCAATGCATGCATTGTGCGCTTGTGTTGAAGTGGCACTAATTCCCTCACCAACGCCGCATTCCTGCTGGATCAAGGGAGGGTCAGTGAGCGAGCGGGTAAAGACGGATGGGAGATCCTCGTAGTCGCTGGCTTCCCTGTCGAAAGCGTCATATTGGGTGGCGAAGCAGCTTATCGTCGAGTCGAAGAGGAGTTGGTCATCAACGCGAAAGGAAGGACGAAAGAACGACTGAAGGACCGAACTAAGAGGTGATAGAGAGATAAGCACGTGTCGATCATGACTAACCCGACAGGTGACCTCCGCGGAGATGCAGCGACCTTTTACTTTCCCCTTATCGATCCACTCACATCGTCTAATTCCACCTCGCCTTGCGTTGTGCCCCGGTGTTCTGACAGATGCAATGCGTGCTGCGAGATCGCTGATTACAATCCGACATTGACCCATTCGTTCTAGTCATTGTTCTAGTCAGACATTCCATTTCCTTGTGTATCAATTGCCACGGAGTACGGCAGTCCACGGAGAAATGAACCGCGTCGGTCTCCTGATGGTCCTCGGAGATGCTTTCGCCCCTGGGCGAGGGTGATTAGTCTATCTATAATCTATATACATAGCTGGAATCGATTTCCTCTTTCTTTCATCCCAAGTATTCTGTCATACTGGATTCTACCGTGTGCTACAATGCCCTTACTAGACGGGCTCAAGAACGCGGAGGCCGTCAATGGCAGCGCCCATAACGGCCTGCAACCGGTTCAACCCATCGATAGTCTACGTCCTGTTCAGCCGGTCGACGCCATTCTAGATACAGACGTCAACAGTAATGGTCCGAACAAACGGCAGAAGATTGTAGTCGTGGGCTTGGGGATGGTGGCTATCTCATTCATGTAGGTTGACTGGCAGATGATGGCAGCGAAGCTGGCTATCTGAATCGATTCCTCATACTAATCACATTCATTTGTTTTTAGTGAGAAGATTGTCAAGCAAGATGCTGAGAGACGCAATTACGACATCGTTGTGATCGGAGAGGAGCCGCACATCGCCTACAACCGTGTCGGACTTTCCTCGTTCTTCGAACATCGGAAGATCGAAGACCTATATCTCGAACCAAAGGAATGGGTACGCAGTTCACCATATCTCGTTTCTTATTAGATTGGCTCTCTAACTCTCTCAACCCTGGCAGTACGGATCTTTCAAGGACCGTTCATTCGATTACCATCTCAATACCAGAGTGACCGATATCTACCCCGAACGCAAATCCGTCAAGACATCGATCGGCGACATCATCAGTTACGATATTCTGGTGCTTGCCACCGGCTCCGATGCTGTGCTGCCTACGCACACCCCTGGTCACGATGCGAAGGGTATTTTTGTCTACCGAACAATCTCCGATCTCGAGCGTCTAATAGAGTTCGCGTCCATGCATAAAGGAGAGACGGGAGTCACAGTAGGGGGTGGTCTATTAGGTCTGGAAGCAGCCAAAGCAATGACCGATTTAGAAGATTTCGGCAATGTGAAGCTTGTTGACCGCAACAAATGGGTGTTGGCAAGACAGCTCGACGGTGATGCCGGCACTCTAGTGACCCGGAAGATCAGAGAGCTTGGTCTAGATGTGTTGCACGAGAAGCGAGTGGCAAAAATCAATACAGACGACGATAACAACGTTACAGGCATTGTGTTCGAAGATGGAGAGGAAATCAGCTGCTGTTGCATCTGTTTTGCCGTAAGTGACTAGCACTCCCTGTCCTTCGCAGTGCTTTAGTTTGCTGACACAGGCCCTAGATTGGTGTGCGCCCTCGAGATGAGCTCGGTAATGCTGCGGGCATTCAGCAGGCAAAGCGAGGAGGATTTGTGATCAATGAAAGGTACTATTTCGATGCACCTTGGGTACTATGGCCGAATACTGATCTCCTTGCAGTCTACAGACTTCTATTCCCAATATCTACGCCATTGGAGAGTGTGCTAGCTGGGAGAATCAGACATTTGGGATCATCGCCCCCGGCATTGAAATGGCCGACGTATTATCATTCAACTTGACTAATCCAGACAAGGAGCCCAAGGGCTTTAAGCGACCGGATTTGAGCACGAAGTTGAAACTTTTAGGTGTTGACGTTGCCAGCTTCGGTGACTTTTTCGCAGACAGGGACGGGCCCAAATTTCTTCCCGGTCAGCGTCCGCCAACCACGACAGGTCTCTCAACAACCGACGAAGGCGAGCAGGAATCGCCTGTAAAGGCTCTGACCTACAAGGACCCCTTCGGTGGTGTATACAAGAAATACTTGTTTACCATGGATGGGAAATACTTGCTTGGTGGGATGATGATTGGGGACACCAAAGATTACCTCAAGCTGAATCAGATGGTAAAGAGTCAGAAGCAGCTTGAGGTACCCCCAAGTCAATTTATTCTTGGGGCGCAGAAAGATGGAGAAGAAAATGCAGACGATCTGTCAGTGTCACATGCCCCCGGATGTTCGTGCCGGTCATCACGCTAATGCAATACTGCAGAGACGATGATACCCAGATTTGCTCATGTCACAATGTAACAAAAGGTGACGTTGTCTCCAATGTCAAAAATGGCACATGCAAATCAATCGGCGAGGTCAAGTCGTGTACCAAAGCAGGAACCGGCTGCGGTGGCTGTATGCCTTTGGTACAGTCTATCTTCAACAAAACCATGCTGGACATGGGCCAAGAAGTATCAAACAACTGTATGTGTCTGCCCATTTTTTCATGTAACCCTATGCTAACTTTTACCCAGTGTGCATTCATATTCCATACTCGCGAGCCGATCTATATAATGTCGTCGCGATAAAGGGGCTGAGAACCTTTGAGGATATCATGAAAGCCGTCGGCAAGAATCCTGATTCTCTAGGATGTGAACTTTGCAAGCCAGCCATCGCATCAATTCTTGCGAGTCTTTTCAATGGTCACATTATGGATAAAGAGTATCATGAGCTCCAAGATACTAACGACAAGTTTCTTGCCAACATCCAAAGAAATGGAACCTTTTCCGTTGTTCCTCGGGTTCCTGGTGGGGAGATCACAGCGGACAAGCTGATCACCATAGGGCAAGTGGCGAAGAAGTTTAATCTATACTGCAAGATTACCGGTGCTCAGCGGATCGACATGTTTGGAGCCAAAAAGCAAGATCTGCTTGAAATCTGGACAGAGCTAGTCAATGCTGGCATGGAGAGCGGTCATGCGTATGCCAAGTCTCTTCGGGCCGTCAAGGTGTGTATTGTGCTCTTATCTTTGATCTGGGCGCCCTGTTGATTTTCTTCTATTAGAGCTGCGTTGGTACTACTTGGTGTCGGTTCGGTGTTGGCGACAGTGTCGGAATGGCAATTCGGCTGGAAGAGCGCTATAAGAGTATACGAGCTCCCCATAAGTTCAAGGGTGCCGTATCTGGCTGTATGAGAGAATGTGCCGAGGCACAAAACAAAGAGTAAGTTCTGAATCATGATGTCATGTTTTTTTGGCAAAACTAACCAGCGCCAGCTTTGGTTTGATCGCGACTGATAAGGGGTTCAACATCTTTGTTGGCGGTAACGGAGGCGCAAAACCGCGACATTCCGAGCTACTCGTCAAAGACGTACCCCCAGAGAAGGTTACTCAAATCATTGATCGATATCTCATCTTCTACATCCGCACTGCAGATAAACTGCAGCGGACCGCGAGATGGATCGAGAACCTTCCCGGTGGAATCAACTACTTGAGAGAAGTCGTTGTTGACGACAAGCTGGGCATAGGCGCAGAGATGGAACAACAAATGGAGGAGCTCGTCAGCAGTTACTTCTGCGAGTGGACTGAGACGATCAGAAACCCCAAGCGTCGCAAGTTTTTTCAGCAATTTGACAACACGGAGGAGACACTTGAAACGGTTGAAGTCATCCAAGAACGAGACCAGCAGCGTCCCACTTATTGGCCGAAGGATACAGCTAATAATGAAGACTTCAAGGGTCATCAGTGGTCTACTCTCTCGTGGCAGCCTATGATCAAGGCCGACCATTTCTCGGACGGGCCGCCAGCGATCTCATCGGCTAATGTGAAACGCGGAGATACTCAGTTAGCGATCTTCAAGGTCAAGGGGAAATATTACGCAACGCAGCAGATGTGTCCCCATAAGCGTACGTTTGTCCTTTCGGACGGGCTGATTGGTGACGACGATGGGGGCAAATACTGGGTTTCTTGTCCCTACCACAAACGCAACTTCGAACTCAACGGTGAGCAGGCCGGACGGTGCTCCAATGACGACAGCATGAACATCGCTACCTTCCCCATCGAGGAGCGAGACGACGGTTGGATCTATCTGAAGCTCCCTCCGATCGAAGAGCTTGATTCGGTCCTCGGAACGGAAAAATGGAAGGTGAAGAAAGGGGAGGCCGCGGATCCGTTCCAGAAATTTGACAAGAGATACAAAGGGATGCGGGGGAAGAAATCGGGCGAGAGGGCCGGTGAAGTCTGCAAGACAACGCAACCAACCACTAAGACTATTGACTGGTAGAGGGTGGGCTTTATGATTTACGGTTTGAATGATAGTATGTAATTAGCATAGGGAGGAGCGTAATAAGCATGGGAACGGTGGTTCATCTGCAGAATGAAATTCAATGCTCTTGAGAAATGATTATCCACCATCGGCACCGTTTCAGCCGTATGCCGTATGACTACCTGACATACCTACTATAGGGCGTACTATAGGACATAATAGGGCGTACTAACTACCTGTGGAGCATAATCTGTCTGTATACGTACCTAGTAAGGAGGGATAGAAGGCGATGCACGTGGTCGCAGAGTTTAGGGCAAGGGTCCGTCACGTTACCGGTAGCCAACGAAGAGCTTATCTTTGACAACTGCTGGACTTCGACTAGTCAATTATTCGCTCCTTTATTAACGAGATAAACGGAGATAGCGGTGGACCTGGTCTCACCACCTTATCTCTTCCTTCTCCATCATCCAACTTAAAAGAAGTGGACTTCTGCCTCGAGTATCTCCGCGGAGCTCTGTTCGATCCTCTTCGTCCTGCTCGTCCTTCTCGCCCTCCTCATTCCGTCCCGGGACCCGGTAAATCCATACGGACGTGATGACTGTGGCTCGGCTTCTCTGACGATATGAACGACCCGAACTATCCGAGCGTGATCCAATAGGGTTCCATCGAGTTATCATAGACCAAGAGTTCTCAAGATTATCGATCGCTGGGCTGGTTCTCGGCCCCTTAACCGCCAGAGCATAACCAGAATACTTTGGAATTGATTGGCGAGAGAAACCTAGCCTTATCTCCAGGCCAGTGTAGGAGCATTGTTTTCCTTCCCTCTCAAACACACATGTCAGGGTCTGGGAGGCGCAACGCCTAACGAAGCTCGATCCAATGCCATGAGTCCTCTTTGTCAGAGCTGAGTCCACCGGTGGGTCGTCAAATCAGATGAGCAAGATAGAGCTCTCATTTTGTTCTCGTTACGAATACCCAAGAGACATCGAGCGCCTACAATCACAGCAATCTCCTTTTTCTTGGAGACCATCTGTGATATGCCGTGCAGGTACTGTCACTCCCGGTAGATAGGCCGCATTTTGTTCCACACGGGGGATTCAGGGACGTTTGAACGTTTGACGTCAAATATCAATGCGATGTGTGGCCATCCTATTTATATGAACCCAAGTTTCTTCCATCTCAACAATATCAGAATTCAGTTACTTCTCTAGCATCTATCTGTTTCGCTTTGATCAAATATATTACCGTTGGTTTCGCCCTGGTGGCACAGTTGATACCCTTTTATTTATAGGTTTCTGTCTGATACATCGTTCGTCTAAATCTGTCTCTTTTTCTTCCACCATAATATTGAGTGTCAACTCAATCCGACGATGGAATTCGTCAAAACACTTGTCGTCTCTCCAGAGATCAACCCCAGTAACCGAAAGGCCTTGTCCATCCCCGTTCTCAACCCGTTTGACCAATATGGAAGAGTTTTCTTCTTTTCATGGCTCGGATTCATGGTGGCATTCCTGTCGTGGTATGCATTTCCGCCGCTGGTCAGTAATCCCCATGGTCTTGTTTTATCTTGTTGTGACAACGCTCCTGACTGGAGGAACAGTTAACCGTCACGATCCGAGAAGATCTCCATATGACCCAAACTCAAGTCGCCAATTCGAACATTGTTGCTCTCCTTGCAACGTGAGATTCTTGTTCGAGGTCTCTTGGGGGAATATTACTAATAATGCTCCTTTAGATTTCTTGTCAGATTTGTTGCTGGTCCGCTGTGCGATCGTTATGGACCTCGATTGGTTTTCATTGGGCTGCTATTGTGTGGTTCCATTCCTACCGCGATGGCAGGTCTCGTCACAAACTCCCAAGGTCTGATTGCACTACGCTTTTTTGTTGGTATTCTTGGAGGCACTTTCGTCCCCTGTCAGGTATGGTGTACAGGGTTCTTTGACAAGAAGATCGTTGGAACTGCCAATTCTCTGGCAGCTGGGTGGGGAAATGCAGGTGGTGGAATCACATAGTAAGTCTCGGTCCTTTGAAGAGCTTTGATAGAATCCAAACTAATAAGTCAACTTCGCCAGCTTTGTTATGCCAGCTCTCTACGATTCCCTCATCTCTGCCCAAGGCCTTCCTCCGCACAAAGCATGGCGAGTTGCCTATGTGATCCCCTTCATCATCATCGTGGGTGTGTCCTTGTGCATGCTTTTCACCTGTGAGGACACGCCCACAGGTAAATGGTCAGAGCGCCATATCTGGGACCGTGAGAACAGACGACCAGAAGAAAACAACAACATCGTCGATCTCAGCTCAGGCAACCCCTCTACTCGGCCTTCTGGTCCTCCTTCTATCACAAACGTTGTTGCCGATGTAGAAAAGAAAGGCACGCAATCGCCTTATTCGGTTGATAACGAAGGTCAAATGATCGGGCAATTCGACGCCCTGAAGAACGACGCCATCGTCGCCCCAACCCGCAAAGAGGCCCTGAAAGTCATTTTCAGTCTCTCTACTGCAGCTGTCGCTATCCCTTACGCCTGTTCGTTTGGGTCTGAGCTCGCCATCAACTCCATTCTAGGCGAATTCTATTCTGAAAATTTCCCTCACATGAGCCAGACCCAGTCAGGCAGGTGGGCCGCTATGTTTGGCCTTCTCAACGTGATTTTTCGACCGGCTGGAGGCTTCATCGCCGATATCCTCTACCGCTATACAGACTCGGTATGGTCGAAGAAACTTTTGCTTTCATTTTTGGGTATCGTCATGGGCGCCTTTCAGCTAGCAATGGGCCTTTCAAACCCCAAGAGCGAAGCAATCATGTTCGGGCTCACAGCTGGTCTAGCATTCTTCCTCGAAGCGTGCAACGGTGCGAACTTCGCCGTTGTCCCTCATGTCCATCCCTTTGCCAATGGTAAGGAACCACCTCGCCTCAGCTCATCACATCTGTAATCACGGCGCATGCTAACAGCCATTAACAGGAATTGTCTCTGGTGCTGTCGGAGGAATGGGTAACCTTGGAGGTATCATCTTCGCCATTATTTTCCGATACAATGGCAATCATTACGCTCGATCGCTATGGATTGTTGGAGTTATTGCCATTGCCGCCAACATCGCTGTTTCGTGGGTTCGACCGTTGCCCAAGAGCCAGATGATGCGATAAACCGATGCTGATATTGATCCTGATGTGACGATTCTGGGCCATGACTATAATGATGTTTTCTTATTCTAATTATTATTTTGAATACATATATATGTGTGTATGTATATATATAGTATACTGGTAGGTCATTGATAGATACCAAGCTTTCTCTACTTGTGCACGTTTAGACCATGAGTATTCCCAGTAAACCATCCCATGGAGTGGAAATAAGAGCTCAATCCCTACAGCACTAAAGACCACTCAAGCACGCAGATCCATGCACGGTGCATCCAGTTCAATGACATAACGCAGCCGGGGACGGAGAAATGATCTAAACATCCCACCTCTCGGGTTAAAGCACCCCGAAAGTGGATTATAATGAGGGGAAAGAGCGAGACCAGCAAGAACAACAACACTTTGCAACTAATTCGACTCAACCTTACCATCCATTTCTTTCCAATCTCCTTGCTTAGAATTCCTGAACAGACGAACAATCTGCGAAGCTATATACCTATATATCCAATCCACCCGGAAGACAAATACACATACACATAAAACTACTCACCATGCCGACCAAACGCATCGCGCAAATCGTCCATCTCAAGCCCAGCGCCGTCGTCGCATACAAAGAATGCCACGCAAACGTCTGGCCCGAGGTCCTGAAGCAGATCGAGGATTGCAACATAGTTGACTGTGAGTGATTGCGTGTCCCGTTTCGGGGCCACCCATCCGCCTCGCTTTCTGCGTACGAAGGGCAGAGCGAGAGTTCAAGGATGATATCCATACTGATGAAGAGACGACAGATTCGATCTTTTTCGACAACGACAGGACCCTCTTCGCGACATTTAAATATGTAGGAGAGGATTTCGACGGCGATATGCAGCGCATGAAGGCGAATCCGAAAGTGAGGGAGTGGTGGGCTTTGACGGATGGCATGCAGGTAATTTCTTCCTTCTCCCTTCCTCTCTTTTTCTCGTCCCCTGTGTCTTAGTTGTGGAATGTATATGTGATGGTACTGATTTCGGTTCAGGAGAGTCCGATTCCCGGTGCGGTGAACAGTGCTGAGGGGCCTGGGTGGTGGAAGGTTCTGGATGAGGTGTTTTATAAGGAGTAGAAAAGCGAGCTTGGGACAAAATGTATATATGGGAGGACATGGCTACTGGACCATATAGACTCGGTCAGAGGATGTTGTACTTGTTCGTGGGTTTCCCCTAGACAGTTTGAATTCCATCAAGTGAAAGAGCCAAGAGTGCATTCCCCAATTAATGTACATATACTCCCGCAATGCAATATACAATGATGCATATCTCAATGTTTCTCAGTTCCCAGGTCATGCTGGATGCCCAAAAAGGTAGCCGGATCAAAGATCCTGTCGGATAGGACATGAAAAGGGGGGAACGCTAAAAGAACAGGAAAGAAAAGGAAGACATGATGGTATATAGTTATAATACAATATGCAAAGATAAAAAGGGTATCTTCACCTGAAACATGCCATGTCCGTGCTTGCCAAAGAATCGCACCAAAACGCCTTGTCAAAACAAAAACCAAAAGATCCGTCAAAAGCTGTCATCTCTCATCTCATTCGAGACCTGCCGGCACATCTTTCAAAACCTCCCATCCAAACTCCTCCTCAGGCCTTTCCGGCTCCATGCCGAGAGCATTGCGATAGGCACGGACTTCATTCTGCAGACCCGCAATCACACGGACGGGCATTTCCTCCTCCTCGCAGCGTAGACGGTAGGCCGTGCGAATCATCTCGGCGCACTTCATGGTCTGTGCGTGCCAATAATCACGATCCAATCGACTATCCAAATGCGCATCTCGTTCGGCCTGAAGAAGGTTGTTGAAGTGACGCTTCTGGGCCAGGTAGTTCATGTTGTTATTCTGGCAGTAGTTCCGAATCTGTTCCACCATAGCGCCAACGGCCGCTTCGTAATCCCCAATGAGTTTGGTATTCTCCATTTGCTCGTTCTTGAGAACTTCAACGGTACGTTTTTCCTTGGCGAGGGCGCGCTCAAGTTCAGCGATCCGGGAGGCTAAATGACACGTTAACGACGTCTTCGGAGTTGACCAGGATAGGATTTACCCACCAGTGATTTCGCCGTTGACCTGGTGGAGATTCGGACTCGGTCCATCGGAGGAAGATCGTCTCTATAAAATTTGGTCAGCCAGTAGGACGTGTCGCTCGAACAGAACAGCGTACCATAATCTCGTCCGCACTCGTGACTATGCTCTTGGTCATCTCGCGGTTGTTCTTCAGCACCTCACTCAGCTCCAGCACCATGTCGTAGAGCTGATGTAGATCCATCTGGTGACCCGCATTCATCGGTATTCCGCCGTTCATACCGGCCATTCCGCCCCCGTTGGCCTGGCCAGGGGTATGCGGCATTGTGGGGGACATCGACGGACGAGGCACGTTGGCCATGTTGGGAGGACCGGAGGAATCGACGTAGCTGGCGAACATGCCGGAGCCGGGACTGCTGCTTGTCATGCCACCGCTGCTGTTCAGGGACATGGCGGCGTCGTCAAATGCCCGGTTCAGAGTATCGAGCTGCGGATCCTGAGCCGGGTTGGGGGCGCCACTGCCGGAGGTGTCGAGAGCGAAGTCGAATTCGGGAGGTTCGACGCCCAGGACCTCTTTGCGGAATTGCTCAAGGTCACGACGAGTAACGTGGGTAGAGCGACGACGGTGCCCACGCACAAAAGGTGCCTTGGAAGAAGGGGAGGAAGTAGACGCGTCGATGGTGCCGGATCCACGTGGGGTCTCACTTTCAGGCAGGTGATTGGTAGGGGGGACAGGGCCAGGGACAGGGCCAGGAGTGGGAGTGGGAGTAGTAATAAGATTAGCCGTAGCGGTATTAAGAGTAGTGGTAATACTATTCTGATTAGCGGAGGGAGAAGTGGTCAAAGGAGTCGTAGTCGGCGACGCTAAAGCTGGGAAAGGCAGAGGACCGCGGGATGGTGTCCTCAGGCTGCCACCGTCCAGGCCCCATCGGGTAAGCGCCGGAACCTCGGAAGCGGAGCTCCGAAGGGCCGGGTCGAGGGCGCTGATTGGCTCCATCATTGGGGGCAGCTATTCCGGGTTTAGCGTGCAGAACAGGCCGAAGAGCAAAGAGTTGCGGAGTATGAGACTATGAGACTATGAGAGAGAAGTAGGAGTAGACAGAAGAGAAAAGTAAGCCTTCGAGGAAAAAAGAAGAAACATATTACCATGGGCAAGAGACGGCCAGGTAAGTAAGTAGGAAAGGAAAAGAAACCACTCCCCGGGTCACCAAGTCGCATTGGGTTTTCTTGCCTATTTGATTTGATTTGATCAAGCATGTCCACTCCAATTTTATTCGATTGTGTTTTTATTTTTATTTTTAACCTTCTGCTCCGTTTTTTACGCTCGCGTTCCTCCTTCCTGTCACACTCCGACGACCTGGGATTGCTGCAGATGCAATCAACTTGTTTCCAATCCTGCACCCCTTGCACTCGAACAGGAAAACAAACGATCGTGTGAGGTTTGCAGCCTGCAGTGCAAGGAGGTGGAGGGTGCGTCCCATGCATTTGTGTTACTAGTCTGGCCAGATAGTTTCGGCTGTATACATGACTTTCCAAAAACGAGGGTAGGCATGAACATGTTTCCTCGAATATTATACAACGAACGCCGTAGTTGCCTAATCCTTGGGCTTCTTTTCATCTTCGCCTTGTCTAGACTCGCCTTGTCTACCTAGCGTCTCCTTGTCCTTTTTTTTTCGGGTTGTGTTCTGTTTCTTGTCGCTGCTGTTGGTCCAGATCCTAGCCCAAGTCTCCACTCGTTTCGTTCCTCTTCTCGACCGTTGTATGTAGACGTTCCGTGTAGTCATTACATCATATCAAACAAGGCTGCTATCTTCTGGTCGGACCCCAGCGAATAGGTTGCAGTGTTCTCTTGGTCATTGCCCGGCCGCTCCGTTTGATGAATCCGACCTCCAACCCGTGCAACCAACATTCTCATTTTCTCCAATTCCTTCATCAGCTCTCCGTCCCGAGTGACCAGGTTCGGTTGGATGTTCTCCTGGGGTTCTTGAAACGGTTCGAGCAGGTGTTGTAACTGCCGCAGCTGGTCTAGACGTCGCTGTCGCTGTTGTCGTCGTTTGTCAAGGCCGATCAAGCGTTCGCGGAGTTGCTGATACCTGCATGGTCGCCGTCAGTCAGATGAGAGCCGGGTCCATCATAGCTGAAGAGCGATAATAGCAGACCTTTGACGGTCTTCCTCGCTTGCAGAGGGATCATTTACTTCCACCGGTAACTGGGTGATATTCCTAACACGCGTCGCGACGAGTCAGCGAATCGATTTCCATCGGCAAGGGAGAAGGCAAACGGGTCAACCGCACATATGACTTGACAAATCTACGGTCTTCTCGACCCCCCTCTCGAGAGAATTCTGGCTGCGAGAGGCCTGGGTGATCGATGTCCAGTAGAGACTGGCGATTTGCTGTGCGACATGATGGATCGCCTGCGACGAGTAAACAATCCGGTTATGCTGCTTCAAGGCCGCGTTCACTAGAAGCAGGTTAGATTGGAATTCGAATGCCCAGATTCACCACAGTAGAGCCGCCGGGAAATCCTGAGCAATATCAAAGAGAAACAGTTGGGGTCCTAGAGCAGCCGTACATTTCTGTAAGGCATCCCCCACCACCTTATCGGTCAGTTCATCGTTGTCCGGATCGGTCGCGTATTGTTTCCAGTCCTCGGGCGCCTCGAGGCTTTCTGTTAGAATGCGCACTTGCGCCCGGAGAAACGAGGATTTCAATTCGGGTATGGTTCGAGTCGAGTCCATTGCGCCATCGCGATGGCATTGCGCGCGGTGGAGAAGCCAAAAGGTGGAACAAAAGGACGAGATGCACGATCGCCCATCGATAGGTCACGCCGGCACGTGACTAGTGACCTTGTTCACGGGACTCGCATTTGCATTTTTCGCCTGACTGTCTACTGTCAATGCGTAACATGATGCGCTGTACATCTTTCCATCAGGTCTTCCATTCTTAGTAAGTCAGAAATCAGAATGCTTATGGCCTTGCTTTGCTGATCCGGTCGGACTTAGTTACTGAGTACTATGTCTAACTATGTTCTGCCGGTCTTTTACAAACCGCCTTCTGAACTAGGTAATAGGTAGCCATCGATAGCAACATGCCAACAAGGAATAAGATTTATATGGAATGACCGAATCCCCGTGTCATGTCGCGAAAAGGGCAAGTACGGTCGCTACAATTGAATACAATGTAAGCCAGGAAATCCCATACTTTGGGAGGCAATAGAAACCTGAGGCAGGCAAAGCAAATCAGGAAAACAGGCAGCCTGAGGCAGAAATGTTATAACCGCGGCAAAGAACTTGCCTTAGATAACTGAGTATATCGCTGCTATCTAACCTCGGTAATCCTCGCCTTTAATCATCCATTGTTTCTCCGCAAAGTCATGAACGTCAACAGTGACCAGCTTGGTCTTCATATATGAACTAGTATAGCCAGGGCTCTGGCAGCTCCATATTGCTACTTTGAAACATCACTCATTCTCTCACATAACGAAAACCATCATGACGGACAATCAGAAGCCGCTAGGCTTACTCTTCGACATTGGAGGCGTGTGTGTAAGGCTAACACGTCCCCAGTCACCAAACCCTCAACCTTAAAGCTAATCATATCATAGGTTGTGTCGCCATTTCAAGCAATTCTGGACTATGAAATTGCCAACAAAATTCCCACCGGATGGGTAAACTTCAGCATCTCGCGCACCTCGCCTAACGGCAGCTGGCACAAACTAGAGCGCGGCGAAATCAAGCTGGACGCCGACTTCTTCGCTGGCTTTAATTCGGACCTGAAAAACCCAGAGCTATGGCGAAGGTACCATGAAACCCGCCAAAGAAAATCGACAGGCGATGCCTCGGTACTCCCTCCCTTGCCGGAATTGGATGCAGAATGGCTCTTCTGGGAAATGATGCGGATATCCCGCGAGCCGGATCCCTATATGTTTCCTGCGCTGCGAAAATTGAAAGAATCGGGGAAATTCATTCTCGGTGCCTTGTCGAACACGGTTCAGTTTCCTGATGGGCACCCCTATAATAACGACACCGCCAAGATAAGGGCGCCGTTCGACTTCTTCATCTCGTCAGCGCTTACGGGACTCAGGAAGCCGGATCCGAAGATCTACGAGGCTGCAGTGGATGAGATGGATGCGATGGCGAAAAAGAAAGGGATGAAGGGTGCCAACGCATCCGACATTGTTTTCTTCGATGACATAGGAGAGAACCTCAAGGGCGCAAAGAAGGCCGGGATGAGAACGGTCAAAGTCAACCTTGGGAGGACAAAAGATGCAGTCAGGGAGCTCGAGAAAATCACCGGCATACAACTTCTGGACAATCAGAACAGGGCTAAATTGTGAGGGCTTAAAGCGTCCACTTGGCGCCCGTGTACAGACCTGCCATGCGACATACATGATTGAGTAAACGTTTTGGATACATGTCAGAATTCACTGAAATGGTACACTTTCATAAGCATAGAAATTAGAGCTACCCGGTTTAGAGAGTGCGGTTTCCATTAGGGCTCTTAGTGCAGGATCAGACTCACAATAGTATCGATGCAGACACTTTGAGTTATTTTCAAGTAGGTCCCTTCCGTCGATGGTCATCTCATTCAAACTCGGCACCATACAGCTTCTACTGTACAAAGCTCTTTTGATGGAGACCCGCTTCCTTGCCAATTTTTGACAGAAGCAAAGCCCAGTTCTGAAGATCCGATCGCTCTTAATATTTCAGACTTTCTTTCAAGCGTATCAACTTCACTCCAGCATTATCCTGTGATCCACTCTTTCTATCCTCATTGTGTCTCCTTTTTATTTTTTTCTGGAGCAGATAAATATACACGACGCTGGAAAGCCATAATCAAGTTGAATGAATCAAGGTAGAAGTTCAAATTAGAACTATGGAGCATTCTCTACTCCATAACCAGCGCCTTCCGTCTTTCTGCCTGAGGCCACAAATTTTCGCACTAAGATAAGATCGGGTGGCGACAGGGAGGGGGATACTAGATTTCACCATAAGACATGGGCAGAGTGTTGTATTGAGAAGAAAGAAATCGAACTAGAAATTCTATAGGTAGTTTGAATGTCTATGTACAAATACAGGGGAGTATCAATCCTCCCAGCTTATTCCGAGAGTAGAGACAAAATCCTGTGGTGGTCGTCGCCGACCCCGGTTTTGCGACGGGATGCAGCCACGCTAAGCGAAGTCATCCACAAAAGCAGCCCACGAATTTCTCTTTCTTTTCTTTCCCAGCCAACGTCGACATCCGGGTCATCAGCCAGCGGCAATAGTCAAGATGGTGAGTTGAACTCTCATCCAGAGAGGATGAAGCCCCCTATATTATGATTCAGTTTCCTCTCCATGCTTTTGAGAGTTGCGAATTTCGCGCTCTAGGGCTGGAGTTCTACGGGTCCCCGCAAGTTGCTTCGGACGAATTTTCTGAAGCGTGAATTGCTGACTCGGCTGTTTCCTTGTAGCCTTTCCACAAGACTGTCAAGAGCAGCGCGTACTTCAGGTGAGTCTTCAATCAGATTCTTTTGAAAAGGGTCAAAAAAAGGAATCTACTTACTAACGTGTCAATTTACAGCCGCTACCAGACCAAGTACCGCCGCAGAAGAGAGGGTAAAACCGACTACTATGCCCGTAAGCGCCTGATCACCCAGGCCAAGAACAAGTACAACGCCCCCAAGTACCGCCTCGTTGTGCGCTTCACCAACCGGGACATCATCACTCAGATCGTCTACTCTGAGATCTCCGGTGACAAGGTCTTCGCCAGCGCCTACTCCCACGAGCTCAAGCGCTATGGCATTACCAACGGTCTGACCAACTGGGCTTCCGCCTACGCCACCGGTCTGCTCCTTGCCCGCCGTACCCTCAAGAAGCTCGGCCTGGACGAGCAGTTCACCGGCGTTGAGGAGGCTGACGGCGAGTACACCATGACCGAGGCCGCCGAGACCGACGACGGCAGCCGCCGCCCCTTCAAGGCCTTCCTCGACGTTGGTCTTGCCCGTACCTCCACCGGTGCCCGTGTCTTCGCTGCCATGAAGGGTGCTTCCGACGGTGGTATCTACGTCCCCCACTCCGAGAACCGCTTCCCCGGTTTCGACATCGAGTCCGAGGAGCTCGACGCCGAGACTCTCCGCAACTACATCTTCGGTGGCCACGTTGCCGAGTACATGGAGGGTCTTGCCGACGATGATGAGGAGCGTTTCCGTGGTCAGTTCCACAAGTACGTTGACGCTGGCATCGACGCCGGTGACATCGAGGAGCTCTACACCGAGGCCCACAAGGCCATCCGTGAGGACCCCTTCAAGGCCGATGAGGAGGCCGGCCCCAAGAAGACCAAGGAGGAGTGGAAGGCCGAGAGCAAGAAGTACCAGCAGAAGAAGCTTTCTCACGACGAGAAGAAGGCCCGCGTTGAGCAGAAGATCCGTGAGCTTGCTGCTTAAGCGGCCCATCGTGCTTAATATCTCTTATTAAATGGGTACGATAGTCAAAACAAAAGTTTACTTCTAAACCAAAACCAGAGACCCATTGCAGAAGGAAAATATGTTTCTTGCTGCATTTCTTGTAGATTTGATGAATCGTTTACGACCGTGTCTGTTATATCCAGGGAATTTTTATTTTTTATTTGTTACTTCGGAGCATTTATGGGATGGGACTGCAAGAATTTCATTTTACCTTGAATCATTCATAATCTGCACGGGTCGTAAGTCGATGGGTAGTCAGTAGGAAATTCTAGATTCTTTTTACTATTGATTAGTATTGTTCAATTTTCACACCCCACCAAACCCTGGCAGGCGGTGTGTAAAATGCAAATGGGAAGTGTCACACTAAGCTAACCCTAGATGTCCTAGCCGATTCCCGTTCGAGTAGCATGCATCGAGGTCTCCATCGGAACATCTTCCCCAAGACGCCATCCTGCCTTGTGCCAGACAACGCCGTGATCCGTCGTCTGTAAACTGTAACCCAGGTACTACTCCGTCAGAGCGTCCCATGTGATTCAGCTACCTCATACTCTGCACGTTGTACACTGTACGGCCAAGGAAGACAGGCCTCAAGAGCTCTAACTCGTCCCTCAAAAAGTCTCTCGTAGTCCTTTCAAGGCTAGACCAGACCGACTGGCGTTTGGGGGAGACTAATTTTTTAGTCCTCCGCTCCACACGCATCACCTGATCTCTGCCGACGATCTTCAGGTGCGGTTGGGCGGTCATTACGCCATTGACTCGCGCCATGACTTGGTCGGCTACTTTGACGGTTTTCCTTCCTGTTGCATGCGTCGACGGATAATTTCCTGCTGAGATGACAGTGATACATACATACATGCCGGCCTGTGAACTCGGGATACCTATCACACGCGGGAATCTCTAGCGAGCTAGTTAACGGCTTTGGCCTCGTCTAACCCACCAGTGCAATTGTTTCAACAGTAATACCTAAGGAGGAACACTTCGACTTGAGATTCACCGACATCCGCCGCTCGAAATGAACAACCGCCCCGCTGTTCGGTATGGCACCAACACGGTGGACCAGAGGAGAAGAAAACATCAACAACACATCCAATAATACCTACTCCGTATAAACACTTGTTTTGTAATTCAGATGCGGTCTGTCATACGGATACTTTCAAATCAATCTGACACTGGATTTGTCACACACATGGAGAGAGAAACAGAGAGGAAATTTTCCGGATTTGCCGGGTATAGATAGACCTTCTCGCTGATTGGAGAAGACTCAATAAGTAATTATATGAAAACCACGAACGATTTGATAGCAGAACACCTACTAAGGTATCGCCTACATACAGGAAGTATGCAAAGGAGTCCCGATACGGGATATCACTGACTCTATTGGAGATCATGCAACAAGAATCTCCTTCAACGCTAAAATCCCTACGTCATGCCAAGCCACCGCTGGTTTATCGAATCTGAATTCTTTTTGCGAAAAAAAACCACCCACACACACGCATTCTCTCTCTCTCTCTCTCTGCTCCTACCTACAACAATCTGTTCTAATAAACTAATTTAATGCCTTACTTTCTTGTACGCAGAATCTAGAGAAGGGGAGTGAGCGAGTAATGAATGCCAACGGAATGCGCTTATATTCCGGCTGCCCCCTTTTAGAATGCGCCATCACCAGGATAGTGCAGTGAGCAAAAAAAGATAATAGTTTGAAGGTCCTAGCCGGGTTCGAACCGGCGATTTTCGGAGACAGTTTTATGTTCACCCTAATGAAAGAGTGTTGAAGAGAGCTTCCAGCTCATTTACTTCAAAACCGAACGTCCTAACCACTAGACTATAGAACCACATGGGTGTTAGCAGGTGTACACGGCAACTTATAAAGAAACCTTTTAGTAATCCATGGGCGGCGACAGCCGGAGTAGAGGGCAATACTCCGACGGTCCGTAGATGATACCCAAGAGGCCCATCATGGAAGGACTATCGATTGATTTGTGGGGGCAGCAAAGGACTAGGAATGTTCGACCCTTCCCGTAGCAGCCGTGCGTGTTCTTGGCAGCGTGTCGAGTGAATGAATGCCGATTGTACACCGTCGAAGGCGCATGTACATACACCTACTCCGTCCGGAAGTCCACCGTATTTTATTTAAGTTATTAAAATTACCTGCCTTATTACACAGTCCCGGCGGTCACCTGCGCCCGCCGTACCCAATTTTTCTTCCAGTCTCCACCAGGAATTCCCTCCCTTCCCGTAACTACTTGACCGTACTACCCGTTATGATCTAATCATCGAACCCTCCACTCTCTCTCTCTCGCTCTCTCTCCTGCTCTCTATCTCCGAAGTCGCCTCGTCAGTCCCTTCTCAACGTTTTCTTTTCTGTCTTACCCTTCATTTCCCCTTTCCTCCCACCCCTTTTCTCCCTCCTTGGTTGTCTCGATCCCCTTTCCCGAATTTTCCAGCATTACCTGCGCTCCACCTCCGCCGCCACTGTTCTCCTTCATACACATCATGTCCAACATGCTCCGCCGCCATGCCGTAATGGAACAGTCCTACCTCGAGTGTTTGTAATCTTCGCCGGAGAGAAACGCATCTTATCGCCTTTTATGGGAACATTCATCGCACGATCGTCTTGACATCATTTCGCCGTCGATTTCACTTAGCCTAACTCTACACGTCACCCGGAGTATGCGCTGTACATGAGAGCAACTATCATTCTACATTCGCATCCTATATACTTTACCATCACTTTCGTTGGACCCCTCAACCATCCTCAGAAGCCCTAGCTCCAGCAGGCCGGTAGCCTCGATGTTCATTATGGAGGGAGTTGAAACCGTGGATGTCAGCTGGCTTCATCACACGCAGAAAGGTGAGCGTGGACCTCGGTCGCCGACTGGCTCGCAGTACGCCTTGTGTGTACGTTGATGAGCGTGACTCTAATTGAACCCTAGATAATTTGTCTCGGTGCAAGTCAGCATCCTCTGTCGTTAGCGATCGGTCGAATATCGACTGCGAGACCTCCGTCGCATCGAAATCGAACCCGGAGAGGACAGCCTCTGTCGATCGAAGACTCGCGCAACCTCCCCAAGCGCAGCCAGCACCGACGACGGAAACTAAACCTAACTCTCAGACGGAAGATGATGCGAAACCCGACGACAAACCGGCAGATGGGAAAAGTGCCGGGACGACGCCGCCCCTTCAAAAGAGTGCGCCGAAGCCGATTGCCGGGAGGAGGAACTCATGGATCTCAAGCTTAAGTTCCAAGTTTTCTTCGGGGTCGACGCCTCCGTCGCAGTCTAGTTTCAAGGCACAACCCAGCCCCAAGACTAACTCGCCGGCCTCAAAACTCGATATGCACAATCCGTTTGGTGCCGCTTATTCTCCCAGAGAAAAGGAGGACGAGAAGAAGGATGATCATAACTCGGTCGCTTCGACGTCTCCTAAGGGGCCTTCGTTCCTTCACAATGCGTTTCGGAAGCTCTCGGTTGGCGCTGGTGGATCGGGGCGGTCGACTCAGAACGGCACTATTTGTGAGCGCCGCGTGATGAACCTTGACCAGGACCGGGACCGCTGCAAAATCCCGGATCTAAATCAGGCCAAACTACGTCGTGTTGCTTTCTCGGTCGATGTCGAGATTGCTGGGATTTCTCGCCGAGAGTCCGATGAAGAAACCCCTTCTGCGAACAGCAAGCGACGGATAGTCCCCAATTCGAATGGCCAGAAGGTCAAAAGATCGAACTCGAAATCCAAAGAACGAGACGAGGCTTCTACTCTGAAACATCCGCAGGCAGCGGCAGTCGATAAGGATAAGCAAAGTTCAGATAATAACACCAGTCCCTCCAAAACCGCATCCGTATCAGAGAACTCCCAGAATGACGCCAAACCAGCAGGAGAGAGCAAGGAACCTACGCGAAAGCAGGAGAAAAAGAAGCGGTCCGAGGAGGAAAGAAGAGAACGAAGAGAACGAAAACGGAGACAAGCCGAGGCGAACGGCTCGATACCAATGCAGCTGACTGCTGATGACGAAGATGACACTCGACCACCTGTACCTGGCGTCTCGCGCGCTAAAACACAAAGTCATCCCACAACCGATCCTGTCCGAATCTACCGACGGTGCTGTCAGCTACGGGAGACGCCAGTCCTGAAGAGAATTGTCGACGAGATATCTTCGCCATCCTCCACCCTTGCAGAATCTCCAGGCACCGTTGGTGTTCTTGACTTGACCAACTTCCCCATGACCTCCCAGGATACTGCCACCTTCAGCGACTGGCTGGCAGTCGTTCCAGTTCGAAAACTTATCCTTGATAAATGTGCTTTGACAGATGACTCGGTGCGGGCGATTCTTGCTGCCCTTCTCTCGACGAAATCTGCCGAACACATGAGAAACAGGCGCAGACGAACCCGAAAGTCCGACCCTCAAACTTTAGGGAGGCAAGAGCGGTTCAGCGTTGTGGAGAGATTATCGCTGAAGGACAACCCCAAAATTGGCAAAGAAGGATGGCGCCACATCTGTCTCTTTATCCACCTCTCAAAATCTTTGAAGGCCATTGACTTGTCGGGCATTCCATTTCCAAAGTCGCCTGCTACGCTCAACGATGCCAGCCCTACCGATAAGCCTCTTGATCTTGCAGCTACGTTCGCTAATTCACTTGCTGAACGCTTTGGCGGCGATCACTTGGAAGAGTTGTTGATGAGCGAATGTAAACCCACCACAGAGGGGGTCAAGAAGATTTGCGATGCAGCCACAACCGTTGGCTTGAGAAGGCTCGGCTTTGCCAACAACGAACTGACAAGGGAGGGCTTAGAGCATATCGTTCGCTGCTTCAAATCAGGAAAATGCGAGGGATTGGACCTGGGTGGAAACGCCATCTGTGATCATTTAGATTTGATTACTTCCGCCATTGAGCAAGGCCAGCCGCTGTACGCGCTCAGTCTGGCAGATTGTGCCCTGACACCATCTGCCATATACCCACTATTCCAGGGATTGACTCGCCTCTCGGATCTCCGGTTCATTGATTTTTCCCATAATCCGGAACTTTTTTCGAGGCAGCCAGATGCACTAGCAACATTCAGGCGCTTCCTGCCGAAGATGCCTTCGCTTAAACGAATTCACTTGGCTGATGTGAATATTTCTGCGGACCATGCCATTGCTCTTGCAGAAGTGCTTCCGGAATGTCCAAGTTTATGCCACTTGAACATCTTGGAGAACCCATCGATCACATCACTGGCCGCTGCGACCGACCCAGCTAGCCAGGAGGAAGCTTGTGCCGTTTACGCTTCCCTGATGGCAGCTGTGCGGGTGTCGCGGTCCATCATAGCGGTTGATATTGAAGTACCCAGCGCAGAAAACAACGAAGTTGTCAAGGCTCTTGCATCTCAGATCGTGGCCTACTGCCTTCAGAACCTGGAACGGGGTGCTATCGAAGCGGAACTTTCTGAACCGGCCGACACCTCGGCGACACGGGACACGGTACCGGTGCCAGAGATTCTACAGCATATTGTCGGAATCAATGGTGGGGATGAACCTTGTGAGGAGGATGATGAACCCGCTCCTGATGAGGATTATGTTATTGGAGGTACGGGTGTCGTTAAAGCTCTCGGTGTTTGTCTCGGAAACCTGGACCATCATTTGCCAGGAGATCAGTCCGGTCCTCCTAGCGGTACGACGACGCCTAGACACAGAAGGTCCAGGCCCTACATGACCAAGCGTCCTCGCGACATGTCAAAGAATCTACTGGATTCGGCTCGGAATATTCGGACTAGGATTCAGTCGGCTCTTGTTCGTGAGGACAAAGCCGGGAACGACGCTAACTACAGTAAGCTTTCCCTTGCAGAGTCCTGTCTAGGCTTCGATGTGGTGCTAATGATTTTGGCAACAGGACGTCTCCAGTTCCTTGACTTCACGTTGCACAGGATGATCCAGCGATTCGAGGATGAATACCCCGAGACGCGCATTGTCCCGCAGCCCGTTATATCTGTCAACGCAGAAACAAGCTCTCAAAACTCCGGCGAGGGCGGGAATGGGCTACTTGTTCCTGGCATCCGACCTTTCGCCAATTCGGCCGATGAAACTGCTGTCGATGACGAGGACACCGATCAATATGCCGTCCGACTCTCTCGATCCAGCTCGATCACATCTTTCCACTCGCGGGCGTTGACATCCGAGGAAGGTCATGCACACCGTCTTGGACAAAACATCCGGCGCGGATTCCTTAGTCCAAATTGGGATCCAGCGGACGAAGATTCCTGCCTCTCCAATGATTCCCACGTGTCCGCCCTTCGCGAGAAGCTCGATCGTCTGCATGAAGACCAGGCCCGGTCCCATTTCGAGAGCGTCGGAGCGGACAAAGCTTTCGGGGAGCTTGGCTCGACCGTGGATGAACTGTGGGCAATTCAGAGACAAGATACCGAGGCGTTTGAGAAATTCAAACAGAGCCAGATTGCTGCTCAGATCAATAGCGGGAAAAGACCCGCCTCTCCGATGCCCGGCCATGGGAGCCAGTCTCACCAGGCTACGCCGGAGGGATCATCATCATAATCATGAGGAGGAAAACCCCTCCAGCGACTATTGTCTCGCTGGTCCACTTGTTTTGCCATGTATTACTTCTTCTATCGGCCGTCGGGAAGCGACCGGCGTGGCCTTGATCTTATTCTCGTTTGTAATCTACGTTAGTTTCGCGGTCGAATGCTTCTGTTTTTTTGTTCGGGCGGGAGAGAAGTCTCCCGGGTCAATTCACCAATCTGTACATATTATTTCTTTCTTTTTTTCTTTTTTTTTCCCCCGACAGATTTCTACCATCTTGTAAGCTATACCTAGTTAATGATGTATGAAGTATGACTATGAACTGGTTGAAGATCCACTCGGCGGGAGATCCACTTAGTCAGTCGTCATCCTCGGCTCCCTCGCGTTCCCCAGAAAGCCGGGGAGACGTTCACATGTTAGTCACTTGGCATTTCCCCCATGTCATCACTCTCTCCTCCTCCTTCTCCTTCTCCTTCTTCTCCTCTCCATCCTCCTCCCCCCCTTCACCATCGCCGTTCTATCACACTCCCTCTTGTACCGTGTCTCTCCGGTCATGGGGCCCTTCGTTGATTCTGGTTAAGATTGCATTTCTGTCTTCTATGCGCGGTCCTTAAACCTGCCGTCGTGATGGCTGTTCAGTCCAAACTCCTCCCCCCCGAGCGCTCGATCCGCCAAACCCTCTCCAGCTTAACATCGCTATACCTTCGCCATCGGGTCGGGATTACTCGTGCCGCCTACGTGGCCTTTTTTGCGTCCCTAGCCAAGCGCATCCATAATGCCATCTCCGAACAGAAAGCCGCTTCTCGGCACCAAGTGGAACTACGGAAACGACCAGGCACCAACAGTCTCGACGATGCCGAGGAACGACCGCGGAAAAAGGTTGGAGTCAATCGCGAATTCTTCCGGAATCTTCTTCGATTACTCAAGATCGTGATTCCCGGCTGGCGGAGCAAGGAGTTCCGATTGTTGATTGGTCACAGTGTGTTCCTGGTGCTTCGGACGGTTCTCAGTCTGTACGTGGCCGAACTAGATGGCAGGCTCGTCAGCAATTTGGTTCGGGGACGGGGGAAAGATTTCCTGCTGGGGCTGGTATGGTGGATGATCGTTGCGGTTCCTGCGACTTTCACGAATTCCATGGTATGTCAGACTAGCGGCCTGGCCTGGTTTGTATGGGATGAAGTAACATCGTGCTAACCCGACACTCAGCTGTCCTACCACCAATGCAGACTTGCCCTTAGCTATCGCAAACGTCTCACGGACCACATCCATGAAAAATACCTTACCAACATGACATTCTATGCGATCTCGGCTTTGGACGACCGAGTGAAGAATCCCGATCAACTCATCACGGTGGACGTGTCTCGATTCTCCGACAGTCTGGCAGAGCTCTATTCTAACCTGGCCAAGCCCGTTCTCGACATGGCTATCTATAATTACTCCCTTTCCAAAAGCGTGGGCAGCGAAGGCTTGTTTATTATGGGTCTTTTAGTCCAACTGTCGGCCAATGTCATGCGTGCACTGACACCCCCGTTCGGCCGATATGTGGCTGACGAAGCCCGTCTGGAGGGAGAATTCCGGTTCCTCCATTCAAGACTAATAGACTATAGCGAGGAGGTGGCCCTCTATCATGGCCATGAAGCGGAGAAGGACACGCTCGACAAGGGCTATTTCACGCTGATCAAACATGTGAATCGCATTCTGCGGAGACGATTATATCATGGCTTTATGGAAGACTTCGTCATAAAGTACTTCTGGGGCGCTCTTGGGTTGATCCTGTGCAGTGTACCTGTCTTCGTCAAGATCCCCGGCCAAGTCAGCCAGACCATGGGTGATCGAACGGAAAGTGAGTGGTTCCTCAATCCATTATCTACGGACCTTGGAAGTTAACCCGATCCTACAGGTTTTGTCACGAACAGAAGAATGCTCCTCTCTTCATCCGACGCCTTTGGTCGCTTGATGTTCTCCTACAAAGAAATCTCCGAACTCGCAGGCCACACAGCCCGCGTCTCATCCCTCATGGAGGTCATGGACGACCTCCTGGCCGGGCGCTTCGAAAAGAAACTCGTCTCATCCGCCTCTACCGAAGAAAACGCCGCCGTTCTCTCCGGCCGCGGCGTCATCAAGGAGAGCGACTCCATCGAATTCACCGACGTCCCGATCGTCTCCCCCAACGGCGACGTCCTGGTCCGCAAACTCTCCTTCACCGTCCACCCTGGCGACCACCTCCTCATCGTCGGCCCCAACGGCTGCGGTAAATCATCCCTCTTCCGAATCCTCGGCGGCCTCTGGCCCGTATACGGCGGCACCGTCAAGAAACCCCGCTTCGACGAAATCTTCTACATCCCGCAGCGACCGTACCTTTCCCGCGGCACCCTGCGCCAGCAGGTCATCTACCCGGACGGCCTCCGCGAGATGCGCGCCAAGGGCATCACCGACGCCGACCTCTACGAGATCCTCTCCATCGTCGAAATCGCCTCGGTCGTCGACCGGCCCCACGGCTGGGACGCCGAGGAGGAATGGCGCGACGTGCTCTCAGGCGGCCTGCAGCAGCGCATCGCCATGGCGCGGCTCTTCTACCATCGTCCTAAATTCGCCATCCTCGATGAGTGCACCTCCTCTGTCACCTTGGAGATCGAACGCGTGATGTACGAGACCGCCAAGAATCTCGGCACCACCTTGATGACCGTCTCCCACCGTCGCAGTCTCTGGAAGTATCACAAGATGATCCTCCAATTTGATGGCCAGGGCAGCTATATCTTTACGGGGTTGGATTGGGAACGAAGACTGAAATTGGAAGAGTATGTCTTATATAATACACCCCTCCATGCCTTACCTCACCTACCTACTTACTACTACCCCTTGCCAAACGTCACATGCTAACCCACAACCTCAACCACAGTGAAAAGGAAGAACTAGACCTTCACCTCCGCGCCGTCCCGGATCTACGGAAACGGGTAACCGAACTAAGTGCTTCCTAGAGTGGGAGACTCATTAAATGGTCCTTATTAGTCCTTTTTCTACATTTCTCTTAGCTTTGGGGCGCTAGAAAGCCGGAAATGGTCCTCAACAGAGTCTATCACATATATAGTTAGATGTTAGCCATCCTTCCTTGATTTTCCGTTCTCGGTGCTGTTTTGGCTAGTTTACGATTACATGTACCTTACTTAGCGCCGTTTTGGCATTGAATATCTTAGGGTTGTTGATAGTCACATAGATACTTCTTCTACCATTACAGTATGGTTACTATCTGATGTCTGGATTGAATTAAGACAGAAAAAAATAGTTGATTGCGTTACGAGTCATTGAGTCTGAGAATGCGATGACTTGGTCGTCAAACCAGCTGTCATATGCTATAAACAAACGGGAAAGTGCATGCTCGATAATTCAGAACAAGTAATGAAGGAAGTTCCCATGAATGATAACAAATTGAAAAGATAGACCAGAATACTGTATGCGAGGACTGCAATGGATTCAATCTTTCACAGCCAGAGGCTCCACGTTCCAGATGCTGTCCGCATACTCGTTGATCACACGATCTGTGGAGAAGAAGCCCATGCGAGCAACGCTGGTTATGGATTTAGCAAGCCACTCATCTCGATCGTTGAACGCCTCGTCCACCATTTTCTGCGTGGTAATGTACGAGTTGAAATCGTCAGAGACTAGATAGTAATCGCCATGCTCTGCGATGGATGCGATGAGCGCGGAGAAATCGTTGGGGTCGCCAAATGTGCCTCCTCGAATGGCATCAAAGACCTTGGCGAGATGGGAATCGAGCTGGAAATCGCCGTACAGGTGTCGGTGGCGCAGCTCCTCGACGTCCTCTGCAAGGTTTCCGAACAAGAAGATGTTCTGCTCGCCGATCTCACGGGTGATCTCGATCTGTGCAGTCCTGGGGTCAGTTTTTCATGCTCATCTAAAAGGGGTAGGGGTAGACATACATTAGCACCGTCACAGGTTCCAATGATCAAGCCGCCATTCAAGACGAATTTCATGTTGCTCGTTCCGCTGCCCTCAGTACCGGCTGTCGAGATGTGCTCGCTAATGTCCGAGGCGGGGCAAATCAACTCGGCTTTGCTAACGTTGTAGTCTTGAATGAAGATCACCTTCAAGAGGTCACCAATATCCGGGTCGTTGTTCACGACGGATGCGACGTTATTGACAAGATGGATCACCGTCTTAGCCATCCAATAACCTGGGGCCGCCTTTCCACCGATTATGGATACTCGCGGCAAGACCTGCTTCCTTTCCTCGGGTGACATGGCCTTAATCGTCAGGTATCTATGAATCACCCCGAATATGTTCAGCTGTTGGCGCTTATACTCATGGATACGCTTCACCTGGATGTCAAACAAGGCAGTCGGGTTGACGCTGTAGCCGGTAGTGTCTTTGATGTGTTTGGCAAGGCGAATCTTGTTGGCCGTCTTAATCTCCTCCCACTCCTTGCGGAATTCTTTATCGTCGACGAACGCCTCCAGTTTATCGAGCAGCGTCAGGTCGGTCAAGAACTCACGCCCACCAAGCTTTGAAGCGATGAGCTCCGAAAGCCGCGGGTTGGCCTGGTGTAGCCAACGGCGAGGGGTGACTCCGTTGGTGACATTGGTGAACTTGTCGGGGCCGTAGATTTCAACGAAATCTTTGAAAAGCGTGGTCTTGAGTAGGTCAGAGTGCAATTCCGCCACTCCGTTGACCTTGTGGGAACCAATAATCGCTATGTAGGCCATGCGGACCATCTTTGGGTGCGACTCTTCGATAATTGAAACACGAGAGAGCAAGTCCCGGTCCTCGGGGAACCTCTTCTCCACCGAGTGAAGGAAGAATAGGTTAATATCATAGATTATCTGCATGTGTCGCGGGAGGAGGTTCTGCATCAACGGGACAGACCATTTCTCCAATGCCTCGGGCAAGACCGTGTGGTTGGTATAGCCAAACGTGTTAGTCACGATGTTCCAGGCCTCGTCCCATTCAAGACCCTCCTGGTCAATCAATATGCGCTGCAACTCCACTATGGCTAGCGTTGGGTGGGTGTCGTTGAGCTGGATGGCAATTTGATCGGCAAAGTCGCTCCACGGCCTCTGGGTCTTCTTGAATCGCCGAACAATGTCATACAACGAAGCAGCGCACCAGAAGTATTGCTGTTTCAGTCTGAGCTCTTTACCTCTTTCGAGATTGTCGTTCGGGTATAGAACGGCCGAGATGGTATCTGCGCGCTGTTGTTCAGCCACGGCATTCTCGTAGTCGCCAGCATTAAACTTCTGGAAATCAAACTCCCCGCTGCTGGCTTTGCTAGACCAGAGCCGAAGGTTGTTTGTAGTGCTGGTGCCATAGCCCGGGATGGGCATGTCATAGGCAATGGCTTGCACTATTTCACCATCTTGCCACGAATGGATGGTTTTCCCTTTCTCCTCGTATTTCCTCACCCAGCCGTAAAACTGGATGTCCACCGTGATCTCATGTCGAGGAAGCTCCCACGGGTTGAAATCAAGCCAGTAATCTGGGATCTCCACCTGGTAACCGTTCACGATCTCTTGTTTGAATATTCCGTAGCGGTAACGCAAGCCGTAGCCCCAGGCCGGGTAGTTCAGCGTCGCGAGACTGTCGAGAAAGCAAGCTGCCAGACGACCTAAGCCGCCATTTCCCAAGGCAGCGTCATGTTCCTGGTTGATAATGTCTTCGACCCGGAAACCGAGATCCTTCAAGCCGTCTATTTGTATTTGTCAGTCATTGCGGTCCGCTAATTGGGTTCTTGAGGCAAACTATACCTCTAGCAATATCCTTCTTTTCAACGTTGAGCATAGCATTGTCCAGTGCCCTGCCCATCAGGAATTCGAGCGAGAGGTCTAGGGGAGCCAGTCAGCGATATTGCTTGCCATCTTCTTCTGTCGTCAAGGTTGTCCACGGAACTACATACAGTACACCCTTTTCTGGTCTGTGAAGGACTGGCGCTGCTGGGTCTTGTTCCAGTCGATAATCAAACGGTCTCGGAAGGCAAGTGCAGTTCCGGAGTATGCGGCCCTGGACGTATGTTAGGTCCTTGCTAGGTTCATGAGAGCAATGCGCGACCGCAGGAGACAGGACATACAGCTCATCACAGTTGTACAGAGACCGAGCCAGCGTGGTCTCGACATGGCGAATCAGTTCTTTCTAGTGCAACCATTAGCAAGCTAACCATTGGGGCCGGTTCAGATCGCATACCTCAAACTCCTCCTTGCTGGTAAAGCCTTGGATAGACTAGCAGGTTGTGGTCTCGTCAGTATCGCGATCCCCAATGGGACTAGGCTACCCTTTTGGCGTCGACCTACGTAATTTCTCCATCTTTGTGCGACTTCAGGTTAGCTAGGGTCGCAGGGATTCCAGTTGTCTTTCGGGGCAGGGGGTTGTCGCGACGTGTGCAGGGATGGTGGACTCACAATTCTCGCAATGGCTCGGGGATACTGGCCTCGACGCTCTTGGTATCAGCGGGTCCAAAGCCGGTGTAGGTTCTCTTGTGCTTGGGACGACTGAAGCCGGGACCAATGGGACCCTGGAGCTCGGAGACAGGAGCACCGACGGAGGGTCTTCTCTCACGACGTTCACGTTCCTCGGTCATGATGGTGGACGTGGCTGGGAGGATGTAATGATATGGAGGGGGATGACAGATGCCTGTATGTATGTATGCTTCAATGGAATGGTTTAAATCTAAGGGAATAGACACTGGGGGGCTGATTGTAGCAAAACGATGGACCGATCCTGAGGGGAGAGAGAAGTCAAGGAAGGCTCCTCCCGGTGTCGCGACAACGAAGGAAAGAGGGGGAAGAGGCCTGGTGGACGAGCGACATTATATAACGACCGCCCCCTCCCGTGACATGGGAGGAGGTCGTGAACAGGGCGGGGTTTGCGAGAAGGGAAAACAAGGACAAAGACGGAGGTTGAGGAGCTAAGGCAAGCCCCAGACGTCAGGTTTCTAGACCCCGGTCGACGCTGGGTGATCTGCCCATTGCGACTGACTGCAGTGACGGGCCCGGATAAGTATGGAAGTACTAACGGCCCTTACGTGATCTGATAGTGGCCGACAAGGTACCTAGTCCGGTTTTATTGCCTGATGTCGCCAGGAAGTTCGAAGATATCGGGCTCCTTCAGCGTCAGAGCTCTCGGGATGAACACGAAGCGGGGGAGAACGAAGGGATTTGCACGCACTTCAATTGAGATGGAGCTCGATCATATCATGCGATCTCCGATCAACCGCCGCTGCTGTCCGTGCAGTACATGAAGTCTGGCGCCCACCAATGCTCGCCCACCGCAGCCCTCCGTGGTCGCTGCAGCTCACTGACGTTTCCCTCGTCAAAGCTCCTCTGCCCCCGCAGTGCCATCTGCATGTCTTACCGTCCGTGATGATCGTAGCCGTTGTAGAATTGGTCATGGAATGGTGTAACTCGTACTGAGTCCTTGACGCCAAAGGCATTGTGCGCCATCGCTGGGAGACTATGATAGGTATTACATGATGTCAAAGTTTAGGAAAATTCCCACAGTCAATCCGATATGGTGTAACGGCTAACATCGCCGCCTTTCATGAACTGAAAGCAAAGATCCGCGGCAGCTCGGGGTTCGATTCCCCGTATCGGAGTCTTTTCTTTTGTCTTTTTTTTTTTTGTCTTCTCTACCTCTATACTACTTATTACTTAGTTACTTATTTTTTGTCTACCGTTTCTGCTTCTTGCTTTCCTTGTTTTGATCTCATGTCTCTAATATCTTCCAAGTAGTTCACGAACCCCTCAAGTTTAAAACTCATGGGCTAAAATTAGCACAGCACCGGTAACTGTAGATCCAAGGCCTGGATCCAAATGACAACCCTCCGTCCGTTGGAAATATACCTCAGCCCCTTGCCGCATGCAGCACCTCGTCATGGAAAAAAAAAAAAATTATATTTCCCTTGGGGTTGATTGAGTCCGCGTTTTGGATCTCCTGTCATACCTTGGTTAATCCAGGGCACTTGATCATTTACTTCGGCGTTGTTCGGTTCCCGGTATATATATCCGATCCCCTTTCCACGGGGTAAAGTGCCGGTAACTGACCGGTACGCCAGACGATCCACCGCGGACCGCAGTACTTCGTAGGAGAAGACGGATGCTGTGGTCCCCCATATACCCATATACCCGCCCCTAAAGATCCATCTAAACATATACGTGGAAGAAAAGTGAGAGAAACAACAATGACTCGAAGATCGAAATGGAACTAACCCTCCACCAATCCGATAAATGCGCCGGATCCCCTGTCTTGACTTCAAAAATCCGAGACGAAGTGGCCTCCGTGGTTCTAGCAGACAACCCACCCACCACGCTGTAACGTAGGTAGGGTTGATCGGGATCCTGAAACCGCCCAGTTCCTGGACAATGCCTGGCATAAGAATGGATGCTGGGTTTTCGTGAATGCGAAGGGAGAAGAAATCCCGGATGCAATTCGACTGCTCTGAATTGGAAAATAACAGATACTTGGCCTATGATCAGTATTTATTGTTGCTAAAGTAGCGGGTGGATATGTAACTGCTTGTAGAAAGATTTATCATGCCTCATAATCATACTTAAGGGAATCCTCCCACGTACTTTCAAAGTGCCTTCTTATACTCAAAGTTAATGCAACTTTTCATCAATTCATCCGATATGGTGTAACGGCTAACATCGCCGCCTTTCAAGTACTGAAAGTCAAAGATCCGCGGCAGCTCGGGGTTCGATTCCCCGTATCGGAGTAACAATTTCTTTTTTTGGTTTTCTTTTTGCCCTCTGTTTCAAGATTATCTATCATCCATTCAACCCACCAATAATACCAGTAGTTATAGTTACTGCTGACTTTTTTTTTTATAATGCCCTTTAGGTGCCCAAGCCAAGAAGCAGCGCATATTATCATCGCGAGTCATCTCATTCCCACTACTGCCCTACCTGATGTATAATTGCCGGGGGCAGAAAGGGAGGATCTGGAATTCGACATTCACGCATTGTCATTGTAGCTGATTAATTAGTCAAGACCTCGTCGAAGCCGGCCTCTCGACCTGATTCCAAAGGTCATGCATGCTGTTTAGAAGACAAGGAAGATAAGGATAAGATCGTAGAAAAATTTTGATAAGTAACACACTCGGTGGAAAAGAACACGCTAAGATTGAATGGTATAAGTCGCAGGAATTGCAAGCAATTGTCAAAAATGAGAAAGACCACCAAGAAATGCGAAAAATAAAAGTAGAACATCGGAAGCCAGACAGAAAGTCAAAGCAAGCTGAGACAGGACAACACCCCTGCTGCGCATCGGAAAGGATATCGAAGGAGAAAAGCAAACCAAAACCTCGCACGGGCTATATGCAAAAAGTGTGCTGAGGGCAATAAAACTTTTCACAATAACATGCTCATCAAATTCCACGCCCAATAAAAGCGGGAAAAGGGTGGGAAAAGGAAGGGAAAGGCGGATAAAGAAGCCAATCGGTGCCGATGCGAATAAAACAAAATAAATAAAAATGATACCCTCCAAACATATCCGCCTGAAAGAGAAAGAAAAACCCAAAACCGATGTGGGATAAGGAACACATAGCCACAGTGATCCCGACATGGCCCAACCCAGCGCCTTAACATGTTGAACTGAGATGAGATTAGCACCGCAACGCCGATGCCTATCCACTGAACATAAGAGAGTATTTGGTGAAGAAAATCAGAAGCAGGGGAAATGAAGCCAAATAGTGGTGATTAGTAGGAAAGAACGTAAAGCCGTGATCAGAGCGTGGCAGGCTTCTTGGTTGCTGACGACCTTGCCATGAAAGAGACAGATGTCTCGAATCGAAAAATCCGAGCCATCCCTATAAGATGCCCGAGTCTTTCAGGGCATTCTGTAGGATCGTTTCTTTAACAGCCGCAAAAACGAGACGAATATTCGTGGTGTCGGTTGCCTGCGTCAGACTGCGGTGAAATTGATGTTAGATCTTGACATCTGATAAACGAGGGTCATGTTCATTGGAGGCCAGAACTTACTGAGGGTAGAGATTCAGGTGTGCCCGATTTACCTGATTGAACCTCCACAGAAGGTACTTGGCAGCGCGATTGACGTCGTTGCCACCGGAGTAATCCGGAAAGTAGGTGCTCAGAGGTGAACGGGGAAGCTTTTGTCGGAAAAGATCGACCTTGTTTAGGAAGAGAATAATACTCGTTCGCATAAACCACCGAGAATTAACGACAGAATCAAAAAGTACCAGGCTCTCCATCATCCGATTCTTTACAATGTATTAGCTGGGCACGTGCTGGCGACCGATTCTAGCAAGACTTACCTGGTTGCTTTCTTCCAGCAACACTTGGTCATATTCACTCAATGCCACGCAGAAAATGATCGATGTAACATTTTCAAAACAGTGAATCCACTTCTTTCGCTCGCTGCGTTGACCGCCCACGTCGAACATGCTGTCGAGTTTGTAAGTATCAGGGTGTTCAGTAAGACAGGAATTCCACATACTGTATACTAAGTTGACCCATGGAGAACCTGGTTTCGTATATACCCGTGGTCTTCGTTCTTGCACGAAGCACATCGTTCACATTGGGAATGTAATCCGCGGATGCGATCCGTTTTGCCTCTTCGAAAAAGCTGGCAACAAGCCCCTGTTAGCACGCAGCCCATGATAGCAACCCAGATATCTCCATTGCTTACTATGGCGCGGAGTCCATTAAATAGAACTCGTTCTGATGTTCCAGTGCTATCGAGGTACATGGATCGCTCCATATATACGTTATCGCATCTCCGACCTTAGGGTCTAACGCCGTGTTCGGATCTGGGTCGATGTTGTAATCAGAAAGATACTCGATATAATCTCGGACCTTCTGGCTTGTCGGTTCGAGATTGAATTGGTGGTAGGCTCCGATGAGCGATTTGACGCAATCCATCAGGTTCTTGTATACCGTTAAGCGATATAAAGCCAGTTCCTCCACTGTATAACCATTTTGATGGATGATTTTCATTTGTTTGACGATCGTCGATTTGCCGCTTTCTCCAGACCCTAGTAGCACCCAGCAAAAAAACACCTGTCAGATAAAGGGGAGATACCAATTTCGGGGAAACCGCAAACGTACCAAGCAGTAAGATCTTGCATTCCCGCCGTAACTTTCTCGAGTCCTCATCTAGCCTGCGATCGATCGCTTGACTCTTCTTTCTTTGCTCCGAATACTCCGACGACTCTGAACTCATACACGAACCCATCTTCTCGGCTATGTTCGATAACGAAGCGTTAAATCATGAGCTGCCCGAGAGAATGAAATTCATCCAATTTATCGAGACACCGACGCCCGACACTGTCGGCTGGGACTGTCACGGACTGCGAGATAATTCTGGGTAAGGACTCGGAGGAATTGCCGGCGAACGAGCGGAAGCGCGGTCTAGAGAGGAGCGGGATAGCCCGACGGAAGCAAAAGGGGAGGAGTTGTTTTCGGCGCTCAACGATCAAACGTGACTAGGCTGGAATCAAACTCGGCGCACAGAGAGCAGATACAGGGTGACGACGAAAGGGGTCTGGGTCTGTCGAATGGAGGCCTGAGCGAGGACTGCAAGCTCCCGGGGGGGGCGGAGGTCAAGGCTCGTGACGCAGGTGATGAAACCAGGGAGACGAACGGCGGCAGGGGGGTCAGAGGAGAGCTTGGAGGGATCCGGTGGTAAGGAAGAGGAATTCGTCCAGGTAGATTGACAGAGAAGGAGGGGCGACAGGATTTCGACTGCGGAGCAAGAGGTTGAGCGAGAGCGATGAGCCGACGCTAAGAAGGGTAGCTGGACGATCGGGGGGGATGATGTGGGAGGGCGGATGGGATCGCGGATCTCGAGTGAGATAATGTAAGCAATGGGGGGGGGGGTTGCAAAGGTTAATTGTCGGTCAGAAGGGAGGAGTAGAATCGTAATAAAAATAGTTAATGGAAAGAAGAAGAAAAATTATGGGAAAGGCAGATTAAAGAAGATATGGGGATGATCCGTGACCCGGAAAGTAGATCAAGTCGTTCGTATGGCGGTGATTACTTATTATTATGGCCTAATGGTGTGGGTGTACTTAATCGTCATATACATGAGGAGACCCGTTTGGAGAGTGGAGAGGACCCGACAGAGGGAGAAACCGACAGAGAGGGAGGGAGAAAGAAAGAATAGAAAGAGAGAGAGAGTGTGTGGATTACATTGGAGTACCAACTCGTGACCTGCCCCAGTAACTTACAGTGAATAATACGGGATCCCTCCGCTGGACTTTTAGCGGGACTTGACAACTTGACAGTCGTAGGCGTAACCCCCTCTGGACTGGCCTACACAATTAGCGGACGCCACAGTTCATCATTGAATTCTCTCCCTCCCTCTCTTTTCTACTTCCTACCTGCCCCTGCCCAAAGGTCCCAGTTCTTAATATTCAATAGTAAGTGCAGCGAGCATGGTAATAATGCCAAACAGAAATCAACAGTGCAGATGTAACAATCTCATGCATCTCTGACACGCTCAAACTTCAAACAAGACCTGCCTGGCCTGAACCTGTTGTACTACCTCCTACTGGACAGATTGGGTACCCGGTACATTTTTCCTCCCACCGGGGCGCAGATGCGCGGTTTTGGGGAATGTCAGGACTGGGGCTATGTCGCTCGACCCTCTTGATTGGAGAATTGCGTCCTCGGGGATGGTCGCGCCAGATCTAAATTTATTCACCTGCATCCCAATAATCATTAGGCCCGCGGAGACTAAAGAGAGAGAGGGAAAGAGAATAAGAGAGGGAGGGTAATACAGCAAGGGGCATCACATAACGGAACCTACGATGGTCCTCGCTACGGTGTGGTACACGAGCTTCACGTGCGTGGGATCGAACAGATGGTCGTTTTTGGGGGGATCAATATGAAAGAAGGAAGAGGACAATTATTCCCCTACGAAGCGTCCAAGCTGGAATTGTGATTACACGGTATTACGTACAGTGCCCGGTATCTTCGAAGTACCAGTACTTGTTTCGACGGTTAATCCAGTATGTTCAAGCCAAGAGGGCTTCGAGAACTACTAAACCTAAAACAAGAGGCAAAGAAAGGGGGAGGATGGTCGAGGAAATTTGGATCACATCCCCCGATTAAGGGGCGAGGGACCAGGAAAGGAGAAGAAGCATCAAAGAGAATGGCAGGAACCATCGTCAACTTGACACCTCATTTCGAAGCTCGATATAGTACACCAAGTTCTTTGTTGTTCGGGGCGCTTGGACCCGCCGACTTGTTGAAAGAGGGGAAGGGTCGAAAGAAAGGCGACTAGTGCTTAGGGAGGCTACAAAGTACCTGAAAATAGGTCCCCTTCAGGCGTTACTGTGTAGCCTACCGAGCATCCCGTCCTGCTGGCAGACATGGTTATCCTGAGTATGGGAATCTGATCGGAATCTAACATTATCGGTTCCAGTCATGAATGATATGATGTGGACAGTTGTACACGAAGCGAAGTGGGTGGAAATATATGCAAGTTGGATCGCGCCCCACAAACTGATGATGAAATTGACGTATGTACCCCGTACACATATCTGGTGCAGTAGACGACGTGCCCGTTGCTCGAGATTCTACTCCTACAGCACGGCGCTTTCCTGGATTAGTTCGCATGAACAAGAGTAACAAGAACTAAGATATATATCTCAAAGATATACACCACGCGAAACAGGTACATACAAATTTTCAGAATTGCCTACCACAAGATACCCGCTGAATTCTAACCCCCTAACATGTGGCGATCAACATCAGCCCCTATACTGGACACCCAGCTTTGCGTTTCCCCGGCTGAACTCCCCGGACCCGGGGAGTCGGTACTCGGTGGCCTGGACCCTTTTTAGAGATCGGTATCTGCGCAGAGGCTATATTGCCGAAAGACAGCTTAGTTCTATAAGATCTGAAAGGGGTTCTCGATGAACGATTCAGATGAAATCTTGAAGTTTGCACGCCTAGTACACCTCGAGGCCCCGCGGCTCTCTGGGCATAGATCTAGACAATGAATGAATGTATGGATCCCCGAGGGCTATCTTATGCACATACGGGAGTGGAATTTCCTTCATATTGTATGGCATACCCTAACCTTGGAAAATAACCCCGTCGTCCAATGGTGGACATTGCTCTCCATGGGCCCATTTCTACCGTGGGAGCAGCATGAATTCCCAATGGAAGACCTTGCAGAATGCTTGATTATAAGATCCGCATGTGGCTTTATTTGGTCCCTGAATCGACGCGAGATTGCCACACATTAAAAATAGCAGGTGTCAAGGATGGTGTGGGTACAGGGTTCATTCTATAGCGCAGATTGTATCTGGCAATCTGCAACGAACCCATCTAAAGTTGAGAGGAACATCTTGCAGGGGCAGCGATCCAATGACCGAACGCTAACTAGAGGAACGTGCTTCTTATTTATTATGGAGACAGGGAAGCCGAAGATGCTGAGATCATAGAGAGGAGATGACATCCCTCCAAAATATCAAGGAGGAACCGGAATACTAGGGAAACCACAGAATGTATGAGCCCCAAACTACTCGGCATAAGAATCTTAGTTAAAAATCGAAAAGGGTTGGGCATTATTGGGGGTCCAGTCATCCCGTCTCCTTTTTTCCCATTTCCCTGGCATGGGCGAACTATGATATCATAGCGCAGTCACTGCTTTACCGCGTCAAGTGAACATGGCCTCGATGGATTTCGGGGAACATGGATAATAGCATGTTTATCCCTAGGAATCCTTCTAGTACATTCACTTTATGCAACCCTGCAAGATCCTACCCAAAGATTGCCGGTGTTCTAGCGACACATGATGAGCTGTACACCTGAACGGAATGCAACGACGGTTTGGACTTTGGACCTTGGTTGGAGAAGCCTCTCGGGCGCTTAGCCTCTGAGAGAATGTATAGTGTAGTGATGCAAAGGGAATAGGATCATTTATTGAATAAACACCAGTTATGATGATTGTGTATCTTCTTCGAGAGAGTATGCAAATGAACCGATAGAAAGAAAAGGCCAAGAGGAGGTGGTCGAGGATGCATGAGTCCGGGTCGTCGTGCCTTGAAAGTTGAAACAAGGATCCGACCGCCGGTTAGCTAAGCCAGTGCATACGGAGTGCCACTGGACCAGATAGTTCCAGGGTAAAATGAAAAGAAAAATGCCAAAGAAAAGGGAGATACACCGCGTGGCCGACAGAAATTGCAGCGCGAGATTTGGTCGCGGACGTCATCGATTCTTGAGCCTTGGAGCCGGAGAGTCGAAGGGGACGGAGCAAATCCAAGAGACGCTCGTTTTCCCCACACACCCTCTGCTGCTCCTCTTGGTCTCTGCTGGCCGCCACCGACGGCTTTTGCTTCCTCTCTCTGCCGTCAGCGTCCTTATTATTATTATTCTCCTCAGGCCTCGCTTTTTCTATTATCCACACCCCCCTCTCTTCTTTCTCCCTTCTACCTCGTCTCCTTCTGGTTTTATTTTCGCGTCGACGCGAGATAAAAAAGAAAAGAAAAGCTTTCTCTCAGCCCCTCCTGATTTTCTCCCCTCCCCCTCCGCAAGAAACACTTCCCTGGGCTGTGGTCTTCCACCCGTCCGTGATTCAAAATGGCGGAATTCGTGCGTGCCCAGATCTTTGGCACCACTTTCGAGATCACCAGCAGGTATTGCTACGAGAAATCCCTCCTCATCACCGCAACAGGCTAATCGGTCGCTCTGTGGATAGGTACACCGACCTGCAACCGGTGGGAATGGGGGCGTTTGGACTGGTCTGGTATGGCTGAGAACCCCTCACTTTGCACGGCACTTCCCTGGTGCCCCTCGTTAGGCATCGTGGGCTGACACGCAACCACCCCCGCGGAGGACAACAGTTCCGCAAAGGATCAATTGACTGCGCAGCCGGTCGCCGTCAAAAAGATCATGAAACCCTTCAGCACGCCGGTGTTGTCCAAGAGAACGTACCGGGAACTGAAGTTGTTGAAGCATCTGCGCCACGAAAATGTCCGTCCGCCACTGCATGAACACGCCTTCCCCCGCCATCCTCAAATAAGTACTAATCAACCCAATTCCGAGTAGATTATCAGCCTGAGCGACATTTTTATTTCCCCGCTGGAGGACATGTATGCGGTCCGGTCTTTTTGATTCGGAACTTTGTCTTGCTGACTCCCCGCGATAGCTACTTCGTGACTGAGCTGTTGGGAACCGACCTGCACCGACTTCTGACCTCCCGCCCGTTGGAGAAACAGTTCATTCAGTATTTCTTGTATCAGATTCTGGTGTGTGGCCGTGACAGTTCCCCCTTTGGGTTCCTTGGTCCGTCGCTAACTGGCCGCAGCGAGGGTTGAAATTTGTCCACTCAGCAGGCGTTGTTCATCGAGACCTCAAACCCAGCAATATCCTCATCAACGAAAACTGCGATCTGAAAATCTGCGACTTTGGCCTGGCCCGTATCCAAGACCCTCAGATGACCGGCTATGTATCGACGAGGTACTATCGCGCGCCCGAGATCATGCTAACATGGCAAAAGTACGACGTGGAGGTGGATATCTGGAGTGCAGCCTGTATCTTTGCGGAGATGCTGGAGGGAAAGCCCTTGTTCCCCGGAAAGGACCATGTCAACCAGTTTTCGATCATCACAGAACTTCTGGGTACCCCGCCGGACGACGTGACCCAGACCATCTGCAGTGAAAACGTGAGCACGATGCTTGTTCCAGGCTCAGCTGCGTCCAACAGATCGCTAACATCCGGCTTAGACACTGCGCTTCGTCAAATCTTTGCCCAAGCGAGAGCGCCAGCCTCTCGCCAACAAATTCAAGAACGCCGACCCGGATGGTATGTTTGACACCTGTTCATTGAAGGATGTGGGATCGACAGCAACTGATATCATATAGCGGTTGACCTTCTCGAGCGAATGCTTGTGTTTGACCCCAAGAAGCGAGTCCGTGCCGGTGAAGCCCTTGCGCACGAGTACCTGGCCCCCTACCACGACCCGACCGATGAACCCGAGGCGGAAGAGAAGTTCGATTGGTCATTCAACGATGCTGAGCTACCAGTGGATACATGGAAAATCATGATGTGCGTATCTCCATGCTGAATCTTTTCGGTCATTTTTCGCTAACTCCTGCTCGGTAGGTACTCCGAGATCCTCGACTTCCACAATATTGAACAAGGCAACGACGCCGGTCAAGTTCTTGTCGAGGGAGTTGGGAATGGTCAGAGTTATGCATGAGAGGCTTCACAATAATTAATATTACTGGCAAAAAACATACCGACGGTGTCGCGTGATAATGAGGATTTCCTTGTCAGCCTACGAATGCAGTCCCAAAACGTCTCTGCCACCTCTGGATTTTCTTTTCCTTGCATCTTTGTCTCTTTGCCCTCATTCTGAGGCGTAAATGGATTTGCAGTTGGGGACTTTTCTGGCTATTTATCCTTCGACATTATTAGAGTTGGGATGAAATGCGTTTTGTAACACGACTACATGTTTTCTCTTGTTTTCTCTTTTCTTTTCTTCATTTTCTCATACATATTATTTTGTCCGGTCCATGACTGATGACCACGTGGATTTCTCTTGTGTTGTTAGCCTCTCTTGATTGAATGAAAGTGATAGATAACTGTTTATCTAATAACAACCCTTAATCTACTTCCCTCCCCCGCAATCATTTCCTCTGTAGTATCCACCACCCACGGCGTATTCCCAATTCTTTGAAGAAGGCTTCGGAGTATTCCTTCAGCCCTGATCGTCCCTCGAATACATCATCGGCCCCATAATTGACTGCGGGGCGAAGGCCATCGTCAATCAATCTCCGACTTTGTCACCGCCCGCCGAGGCTCCAGTCCTGCTGCAACTCATTTCCCCTGGTTTCAAGGCGATGGAACCATTCTCTCGACTCTGGGGTCAACGGGCGATTGTTTAGTCTGGTCGCACGTGAGATCACGCCGGCTTTCCTCGTGTTCTTCGTTTTTTTCTTTTTTCGCTTCGAAGGGTGTCCCCCTTTCTCTTGGAAGGCATTGGCCCTTGGACGTGTCATTTTTTTCGAGTCTTAACTATATCGCGGACGGATTCTACGCCATGTCTCGCACCCCAAGTGGTCAGGAGCCCATTGTTTTGGTCATAGATTTTCACCATGCGAGGTAAGTGGCTGCAAAAGCTGCACGAGAAGAATGAGCATGTTCCATGCATTCTTCATCGGTGCCCCTGCCTCATTGACTTCCTTCCTTGCGACTCTTTTCGAGGAGAAAACCCCCGCTCTCCCCTCTCTCTTCGCCCCCCAAACACCCCTAGATCATGGGATGGCCTGTCCTTCTGTCGCACGGTCAGATGATTGACTAACCCCTATCGTCTCTTTTCTTGCAATTTAGGGGTCCGGAAATCGAACTATGCATCGGAGAAGATGGAACCGATCCTGCGGTGGAGAACGACTGGTCCCTCTTGCCGTTCATGGCGCTATCGGACGGCGCTCATATGTACGATTCGACCTCCCTCCGTATCACCGGAAACCTGAAAACACTACGCCCGGAGTTATTGACGCGATCTTGATCTCTCAGGTCGACCGAGGAGTTCTCGTACTTTACCCTCCGCCGCAAGGAGACCGCCACCGAACCCGCGACGTCTCTGTTTGGCATTGCCTGTTCGAGACAGATCGATTCAAACATCCTCACATATCGTCCGCCAGATGTGACCCGGTCTACAGTGCAAAAAGCAGTGGTGGTGATAACGGATACCCCGCAGAGCTTGGGACAGCTCAGGGAGAAATTGTCTATGGTGACATCGGCTTGGTTCGCCCAGCGGTATGTTATCGGTTAACGGCATGGCGATGAGGTGCACGCGGGCTAACACGATTCGCATGATAGGGACTTTTCGGATTCTGACATCTTGAAGGTGTGTTCGAATTCATCGCACAATATTTGGACGGGCGCTGACGTGGAAATGAATTAGAAATTCCGGGAGAACTTGGTGATCAGCGTGAAGACAAATGAATCGTCCAAAGACCAAACTTTTGGTAAGAAACAAAATTGCTTCATAATATTGGGGCTTGTTGTGTTGACTTGCTGAAGGACTATCTCTTCGGGAAATGATCCACGAGTTCAAATACCAGACTCTGGTCCTGTTCAAGGCTTTGCTCTTGCAGCCCAAGGTGCGGATCTCCCAAACGTATGTCATTCTCTCATCTGATCTGACCCTCTGCAGATGCTTTTCTTTGGCTCAAGATGCGAACGTCTATGCATGATCCAGTTCTCACTGATCTCTTTGATCCCGGGTCTTATGAATCGTTTGGAGGATTGCGCTGATCCAGCGTCCGATACGTATGCGGAAACTGTCGAGAAGCCGACTTCTCTGAAGACAAGCGATAGGAATTCTTGTATGAGCTTGACCATGGTGTCTACATGTTGGGACAGTTGCTAATTCATGTAGTGCTTGCATATATGGGCTTGCCATTGCAGATTTTTGGAAAGGTTAGTGCAGAATATCCGAAGAAGCCGATGCACATCTAACTCTTTCGAAGGGAAGCATGTTTGGACCTTATACACCTCTACAGCAGCTGGATCTGCTGGCAGATGATGGAACGAAATCATACGTTGTCGGTTCTACGAATTCGCTCCTCCTACAACAGAAAGATCGCTACAGCGATATTCTAATCAACGTAAGAGGGAATACAGCCTAATTTGTCGTCTTTGTATCACTAATTGTGTGATAGCTCGATGAAGATACTATAAGTATCTCTAATCCTGCTCTTCGGACCGCATTGACTCTCTCGGTTGCTGATAGACGGTGGATTGACCTTCTTACTTCCATTATTAACGACACGTGGGATGAGGCGCACCCGCAGCAGCCAAAGACCCACGGGTACATGGGCTCCGAGGAATTTATCCGACTCCAGTTCGAGGAATATCTACTTGCATTGCTGGCTTGCATGAAATACCACGAGGATCTGAATTCTTTCAATGCTGGAGATCCAGGCCATAAGAGCAGAGCCCAGCTAGATGCATTCAACATCGAGGGCGATCCGGCCCTGGAATTCAACTCCGAGTTCCTGACACTGTGGCAGAGCACCCCGAATTATGCCCTATTCGAACGTTTGACTTCGGACGCGCTTTTATTCTCGATCGTTGAGCCCCGCCACCCATGTGCTGGGGGTCTGACGATTGATGACGTCCAACGTCGGCTATCGCAACAAGTCGCCGATCTTCACCTTGATGAGCGAGTGCGAGAAGGCCGTGAGGCTTTCAATAGGCACCTGGGTGCGGGCCAGAAGAAAGTGAGCGCCGCTTTTAATAGTTTCTGGAATGACATTGAGTCAATGCGAGAAGCACAAAGGAAGAAAGCCGAGGAGAAGGCTCCCCAATCGCAGCGATCCTCAATCGATAAAGGCTCCTCACCGCCATTTTCACCCTCCGATACAGCGTCTGTTACTTCCACCAGTGGCTCGCCTTGGTTTGCTGGCCGCAAAGGCCCCCCTGTGGATGTCACGCAGGTGCAGGCATCTGTTAATGGAGTGGGTCAGCGCGCAGGCGCATATCTCAATTCGTGGACAACGTGGGCCAGCGAGAAGCGGAAAGAGTGGCAGGAGAAGAAACCATCACCGTCCTCTCCGTCCTCTCCGGCCTCGATCAAGTCCCCATCAACGACCACATTGGCCAGTACAACGGAGACCACTGAAGCGGGTCGAGGAAGACGGGAGTCTCTGCAAGCACAACGCAGTGAAGAGTCTCATTCCTTGTCCCGCAGCGGAAGCAGAAGAAAGAGATGGAGCAACATACTTCTCAGACGAGAGAGTGGGGAGTTCGGATCCTCCTCTCACAAAAAAGATGACGGAAGTAGTGAGAGCAATGATAGTGAAACTCTCTACCCGAGATCTCCCTTGTCAAGAGAGGCCTCTATTCTCGGTGACGACACCCCAGATCCAGTCGACCTGCGAGCTAGCGAGTCCACAACCCAGCCCGAGCCCAAAACGAACGATCTCACGACAACCCAGATCCCTGAAGAGGAGCCGAAATTGCCCCCCGTCACCCAGAAAAGTGCCGCCGATACCTCCAAGGACGCCCCCGAGGATCAAAGCAAAGTTGGTAGTGATTTGCTTCCCCAGCAGCGAACCATCAACGAAGAACCTGCCGTGGAGACCCCCAGCGCATCTGCCAACAAATAAAAGAAATTGGCCGGTAGCTCTACAGTCAACGCACAATGAAACAGCTCCTCATTTTCCTTTTCCCTTCAGCTGTACTGGACATGACGTGATGGCTGTTTTGACGAAAAGACCTATGTAACAACTAATTCTAATATGCATACTAACTTTTCCATGAACAATGGTCTGTTTGTGGTCGGCTTTCCTTGTCCGTCCCTTTGTTTACGCCCTCCTTTTTTGTTTGGGGGGCCTTGATACCCCGAGGGAGGACTGAGCCTGTACACTTTCCATTGAATTTTATTTTTATTTTTATTTTTTTTCACTTTCATCCTTGTACTTGATTAACATCTTTTTTCATATAATCATTGTCATATTCTTGATCCACATAACGGATGTATCTGGCATTGGTTTATCCTTGTTTTCCCCTTCAGGACAGAACAGGCATATTTATCACTACTTACTCACTTAGCATGTTTTAGATCGTGATGATCGCATAACCAAACAAAAATAAAGCATTTAATTGATGATCAATCTTTACTTCTCCAAAAACCAGTCAGTCATCGTTCCTTGACATCATCTACCGTAAATTGCGATCTCTTGAAGGTTGTCAGACGGAATGGAAGTAAACGAACAGAGCTAGCTCGAAGCCTCTCGGTTTCTGCAGTGAAAACCCACAACATTTATGACCTTCGTTTTTGTTACCCTCAAGCCCTGCGAGAATGAACAACTTGGAAGGAAAAAAAAAAAAAAAAAAAAAAAAAAAATTAAAAAAACCGCAAAACGAGTTCATTTTTGGTTGATAGATTGATTGGGTTATCGTTTGTCCTCATCAGCGCTAAGATTTGAAAAGAAAAAGAAAGAGGAAAAGAAAAATCCGGTCTCTCCTATAAGGCGTTAAGTTTCATTGCGGGATAAAAGCACCAAGCAAGGACTTAATTGAAAATGGATAGGGTGAAAATGAACAAGTATGAGATGTTTTGGCAAAATGAATAACAAAGAAACCATGAAAACTGACGCTAACACAAGTGATGTGAGAGACCAAAGGCTGGATAGAATGAATGAAATAGATAGTGTATAGGAAGATATGAGAGGGAGGTTGCGGGAAGGAGAAGGGAAAGATTATGCAATGTAAGCGATTTCGTCACCATCCAAACGTTCTATATAATCCTTCTCCATGAGAGCCTCGATGTTCTTTTTGATGTCGGGAACCTTGGGAGGGAAGCGAGATTTCACTTGCTGGATCACCTCCTGGACGAGCTGCACGTGTCGCATCTTCTTTCGCGATTTCATAATACGAACGATGGCAGACTGTTGAGACGGAATCGGTTAGAATTATGTGATTCTGGGGGATGTGAATGTTAAACGTACCTGGAGCAGCAATTTACGATCCTCCTCTATCGTCTTGTGCGTGTCATCCGATTCGACCTTCTGCTCAGACTTGATCTGGATGTTTAGGTTGACCTTGATCTTTTTGTGCTTGAAGTTGTAGTTCAAAGAGAATGTCGTGCCAGGAATCGGTTTGGAACCCTCCGGGCCAATGATAAGAACCTTGGCCTTGAGGAGGATACCCAAGTTTGGTTCAAGGATTTCCGGGGCGAGAGACGTAGCTTTTTGGATGTCGGAGTACTCTAGAGTATCATTTTCGTTGAACAGCAATAGGATACCCATTTGGAAGGTTGACACCTGGAAAGTGTAGGGGACCTTGGTGTTCTTGATGTAATTCGTCTTGATTTCACCCTTGCACAATTGCCAAAGCCAAGTCAATTTACGACCGTTGTGCTTGTCGAAATAGAAGCTCTGGAAGCGTTCGGCAGTCTTGACAATTTCCGGCGGCGCTAGGAAGTCCGTCGAGGGAGCCTGAAGGGGCCAGAATCCAGTTCCCAGAATCTGGAAATGGGTATCTACCAGCCTCTTTCGATCGTCGTCATCCAGCGCCCTCTCTTGCCAGTCCTTGTAGCTGGTGTTAAGGTCCTTCGAAATCTGAATGTCCTGGAACATACGCTGCAGCTTATTCGTATATTCAAAACCGCAGGCTTCCTTGAGTTTGCTGATCATACTAGTTTCCGCATCGTCCGATACCGAGCTGACATGTACCAATCGTTTGGCCAGCATTTTGGAGTAGAACTTCTGGAACACATCCTTGTCTTCAATGTACTTGAAGACAGTCATGATTTGTACCAGCATCTCCTCGACCTCCGACTCTTCGGCAGCTCTTGACCCCTTCTTGAGCAACGAGTCGGTGTACTTGGCGAGCAGCTCCGGCGACTTCGTCGAACTGGAAGCACAGATCTTATTACGGTTGACGAACTCTCGGCACGCGTTGTCCAAAGATCGAACAAATTCGGACTCGCCGTTGAAAGCCTCGTTCACCAGACTTTGGTACCTGGTGTGAACCTGCAACAACGCATCCACATACATCTTGGGCTCGAACGCCTCGCCTTCCGCCGCAACCTTCTCGACCGCAGCAAGGCCAGCCTTCCTAACATGTGTCTCGAATTTCGTTCGCAGAGGGTCCAGACCTTCTTTGATGCGCGACAAGAGTCGGTACATACGGGCCAGGTCATCCTGGCGCTCATTGTCCAGAAGAACCTGGAACTCGTCCCGGAGAAGCTCAGAATGAGCAGTGACAAGGACATCCAAGCAAGTGTCCGTGAGATGCTTGGAGATATCCGGGTGCAGGTACAAGCCCACACGGGCCTTTTCTTCGTCAAGACGAGCCTCTGCCTTCTTCATGTATTCAACCACACTGTTCTCTGCCACGAATTGCCGGGACTCGTTTTCGTAGTAGTTTCTAGTTGCGGTGATGAACGGCCTTTCGAAATAGAAACGGTAAACTTCTAGAGTGGACTTGGTGCTGTCACTCTCGTCGAGACCCAACGAAACGAAAGAATCGACGATGCTCTTGATTTGCGATTGTTCGATGGTCTCGCCGTTCCGCTGCTTTTCGACGAGATTCAAGACGGCTTCCATAACCTTGTCGTGAACCTTGAGGAAGAAATCATCCTTCCACTTGACCAAGTGCAGAGTATAAACGTCGTATACGTTCTTTTTGCCCTCATCGATTTCTCGTTTTACCCAGTGACGATTAAGATATCTGAAAAGGTGGTTGATGTACTTGGCCGCAGTCGTATAACGAGACCATTCGCGGATGTAGAAGGCGAGCAACGCTTCTTCGGTATGACCCTGGGATTCATTATGGACCGCATCGAGGTGACGCGAAAGGTATTCCCCTAGTAGCTTGTACAGCTCCTCACCTAGCAGGTGTGCTGTTGATAGAGTCAGCCGAGCCACGCGGGGATTCAAGAAATGATGGAAATGCGGGGGAGAAAGGGAACGAACGTACCGCCACGGTGTGCGTTTAAGCTCGGGTTACCCCCCACTGCCTTTTGCGACGTGCAAAAGTTATGAACCGCGCTGTTATCGGATTAGTAAACGGCTAAAAACTGGGGCAAGTGGTTGAAAAAAGATGATTGCAACGTACGTATATAAGGCCATGTACTAAGCAGGGAAGCCAGAAACGTTAGCATGATCACCGGACATTCGGGGATTCGACAGTCAACCGAACAAAGGATGTTGCCACACTTACAGTCTTCATATCCACCCCGTCCTCCAACTTCAGCATCACGCTGTCGATACCCTTTTCCAAGAACGTCCATCTACGCGAAGTTAGTTTTAGTCCTATGACGGGAGCGCGTCTCGATAACCTCGAGTTACGGCGATGCTGGAACAAAGAACACCCACGTTTCATCAAGATCGTCCTTGTGGGGCGTCTGCGGGATCAAAGGAGGCATATTGATATTGTGGGCGCGTATAACGGAGATGAGACCACGACTGTCAAGCGATACAGTGTTAGCGCCGAAGATGAGTTATGACCGCGGGGCGGAGGATGGACACGCCGCGAGAGCGAACTTGGCGATTTGAGAGAACGAAGAGACAAAGGAAAGCAGGCACCAGGATATCAACGTACGTATGGAGCTGAGATTTGCTAAGAACGCAGTCCTTCAACTTCGGCGGTGGGCGGTTAAGGCAGCGGCGGCGATGATTCGCAAGGCTAGCTAGTACTAGGTAACCTTACGATCGCTGGGAAGGGAAGGAGACTAGTCACAGGGACGACAGAAGAGACAGACGGACAGACGGGCCAGGAAGACCGCCGGACAGCACTTCAGACGCAAGACCCGGGACTGAGACGGAGGATTCGAGAGGGTCGGAGTGCAAGAGAGCGAGGGAGACTTGGAGGAGGGAGCGAAAAGGCGAAGGCGTTGCGTTGGGCGGTCGCCGTGGGGGAACGCTGCCTTGCTCTTTCAGGCAGGCGGTCAGATACCGCGATGGCCCGGCCTGGCTTCGTCTCGTGTCGGATCTGGATCTGGATCTGATGAGACCAAGATATCGGAGTATCAGTCCTCTCTCTGTCGTTCCTGTCGCGGTCGAAGGATAACAGCGCAGCGTGGTCGGTGGTGGTTTGTCCGCAAGCAGCCACGCGCCGAGTTCCCCCCAATCCCCTACAGTAACTACTCCGCATCAAGGCCAAGTCCTTTTTAACTACCTACAGGGCCCACAATCCATCGGGTTCAGGTCCAATCTCCTGGAACCAATCCTGAATCGTCGGAAGTCTCCAGCAGAAATGCTGGAGTTTGACAAACAGGAAAAGCAGTCCACTAATGTCCAACCGCTTCAGGCCATCCGAACAATGACGTCATGAGATACATCCCTTGACGAGATCGCAAGATGCGCAGTGACCAGCTTCATCCTCGAGATTACTCCTCTTCTGCTCTGATTTGGTCGCGGAAAATCTGTCATGTCCTTTAGTTCTCCGGCAGATGTCAAGGTCACGTCCCGTCAGATCCCTCGATGGGACCATATTCCTAAAACTGCCATTAACTCCAAACCCCTCATGATCTACCATCAAGCCTTTGATGCATCGTCCGGCGACCTTGCTGCTCGTTTCGAGGAGGTCGGCGAAGTCATGCCACAGTGGGTCTATAGCATGTACAGACAAACACACTTTCACAGCACAACCCACGAGGTTTTGGGCGTTGTCGCCGGTCGCGCCCGCCTTTGTTCGTCGAAAAAGGCGGTTTAATCATCGTCCCCGCCGGCGTGGGCCATCGATTGCTTGAGGACATCGGGACTGGGCAGGAGTTCACGATGGTTGGAGCCTACCCCCGGGGCAAAGAATGGGACATGTGCTACGGACAGCCAGGGGAGGAAGAGAAAGCTCGCAATATCCACGACCTGGATTGGTTCCAAGGGGATCCGTTGTTTGGATCCGGTGGCCCGGTGATGTATGCTTAGTACAACGGCGCCCTCCTGCCATTCCAACGTGTATTTTGATATAGTACTTGTACATTGGTTTCAAATAGCTCGTAGCGCAGTATCCAAAACATTACCAAGAACCCCAGCACCAGCCGACAAGAAAGAAAAAAGATAAAACAAAGAAACAGAGAAGAAAAAAAAAGAAGAAAAAGAAGAAAAAGAAGAAAAAGAGAAAACAGTAGGTATCACAAAGAGAAATCAAGTCATGTACTAAAAAAAGGGTAACCAAGAAAGAAAGAATAGAATATTAAGAAGAGACCAAGCCCTGCTAGGCAGACCAATACAGTAAACGAAAAGGACCTCTAGTTGGCCGCGCGGTCTACAAGTCTGATTTAGGAGACAATAGTTAGCATCGGGTTGGCTGAAAGTATGGGATGAGATCCTACCTGAGGACGCTGATAGCAAATGTTGTAAGCCATGCCAATAAAGCAATCAACAAGACACATGCGAGGGCTATCTGTCGGTCGCATATCAGATCATTCTTGGGAGTGATCTCTTGGTTGATCTCTCCCATCGTACAGGCGCCACTGATGGTCGACAAGGACTCGAACGCCAAGCTTAAATTGGCCGAATCGAAGACGATGAAGAAGATATCCAAGAGAACAAGTCGTGCCTTGGCCGAGGGGGAACGCAGACCTAGTGGTTTAGCCGTATACTCGTCCCATGTGATGTAGATGAGGTAGACCAGAGCGACCGCGTCGACGATGATGGCCATCAACGCGGAAGGGCCCTGGGGATGGACGTATTCCTGGGACAAATGCTGGATCGAGCCGCCGAGGGCCAGAGCAGTGAGGGAGAAACACCACACGGTGAGCCGGAAGATGAGCGGGACGATCGGGCTCTTCAGAAGCGTGTGGTGGAAGCGCTTGAACCAGATTTCTCTGCGCCGCTTCTTCCTCAACGGATCTTCAGTATCTTCACAGTCCCATGAATCGCGCTGTCCGCGCCAGGGCTGAGAGTAATCGCCGTGGTTTTCATTCAGCCATTCTGGCGTCACGGTCTTTTCTTCCACCCCGGGATCGCGGGGATAAGCTATTGCTTTCGAAAAATTCATCCAACGCGATTCGCGACGAGGAAATATTGCACGCCCATCCTCTAAATTGCCTCGATCTGCGTATGGAGGGTCTGGCCGTCGAGTCGCATGAGGCGAATGATTGTGCTGGGCAACGACGGCTTCATGGGGACTCGAAGGCAGTAAACGCGACGTGACAGAAGCATCTGTTTCATCTTCCGGGTACTCGACAGACCGAATCCAAGCTGCAGGGGCATCGGCATCAGTAGGCGCTTCGTGCAGAGAGGGGTCCTTTCTCAAATGGATTGACCTACCGGGAAGGGTCCTTGACGTTTTCTGTTGCTGTGGTTGCTGTTGTTGCGTATGAAGCACCCCGTTTTCCATCTCCGATTCCTCCGGAATTTGCGACATGCTAGAAAGCTGGTCCATCGTACCATTTGGAAAAGGCTCCGTGGGCAGGCGATCGCCGTGCTGCTCGTTCAGAGCGAGGGCGGACTGTTCCGAGGTCCATTTTGCAGGAGACGGGGCCTCCGACGGACGATTATCTAAAGAAGGTTGGGAATCTGGAGACTGGAGAAGCGAATGGTCCACATCCTGTGCCATTGCCTCTCAGAGTTCAAAGATGGTTCCGGGTAAGATTGCGTCGGGCTGTCGGAAGTTGTGGGAGATCGGACGGATCCAGCTTGCATCGCCTCATTTCCTTTCCCTTTTAGGCGGAGGGGGGACAGGGTTTCTCTGGAAACTGGGCCGAACTTGGAACTTTTTGAGAATGGTGCGACGCCGGGATTGAAATTTCAGGCAAGGAACGAGTGACAAACTTGCTCGTGGTGAGGAGAGCGTCGGAGTTTAAAATGAACCTGGAAGCTTGACTTTGGAACTGGAGGGCGAGGAGTCGGACGTATCTGGTACTTGCTGGCTGGCGATAACCAGCGCCCATTCCGGCGTACCTGCGACCTTCTCCAGACCATACCGAGTATTACCGCAGATTACGGGAGAGACCCCCCAAGAACGCCGAAGTTTTCATACCGACGGGGCACGGATACCCGTACTGTACTCGTACCCAATGGGTGCAGAATGACGTCTCTGTTCACGAACGACCCGCAGAAGCAATAGAATATCCACATCCACACTGCTATCAAGGCAGAGACAGACAACCGCAGAGAGCTACACCATCACCTCATCATAGATCCCTGGATTTGTTCCGTACTCACCACAAGGAATGTTTCTTTCGTACGCTCCCTTCCATCGGTTGTTTCGTCTAGTCGATCGATAGTTCTCCCTAGCCAGCAATCCCTAGCTACCGTTTCCGCCCGTCTGCCTACCTCCCGAACGCTATCGACTCCAACTATCGAATTCAAACAGAAGAAAAGGAAGAGATATCATAATACTAGGTAGAAATAAGGGGTATCCAAGGGTCTTTCGTCGCTATGCGACTCTTCATCATCCCGATCTCGACTCGACGAGCTCTGATCTATTCGCGAACCTTCAGCAAGGATGTCTCGAAGAAAATTTCCCTGACCGATCAGATCACAAGCAAGGTTGCTCAGACCTGGGCTAAATGGGAAGAAGCCGATAAAGGTTGGAAAAAACACCTCGTCTCCTGGGGAAATCGGGTCCAGCAGCGGATCCCCTTTGAAGAATGGGGACTCAAGAGTATTCCTTCTCTCAATGCCCAACAGCGACTCGATCCGTCGCATGGGTCGAAGCCGATAGATGTGCTTTTCCCAGGTAATGCGATCAAGGAGGAGAAGCTCCAGACAATCCTACGGGCGATTGCCACGGAACGACAAGACTTGCATCGCAAGAAAATGTGGTGGAGCTTTCTTGCAGCCCCTATAACGGCCCCAATTGGATTGATTCCTCTGTACGTGTGAAAAATCTCCATGTGATTGCGCTAATTTAATTGTCTATCTATCGGATACTACGATGGCTAACCGGTGGAATGTTTGGGGTACCTCTAGAATCCCTAATGTCCCCTTTTTCTACCTTGCGTATCGAGGTTGGTCGCATTGGCGAGGTAAGTCTACCTTTATATCTTGATTACCGTCGACACTGTAAGCTAACGGACCAAAAAGCATTGAATGGCTCTAGACACTTGGAGTTCCTGGTTGATAAGAACTTGCTAAGACCGGTCTCATATCCCGCACTTGAACAGTTGTACGCGAAGAGAGTCTCGCGCGCATTAGAAAACACCACTGTCGAAAAACCCGTTCCCCAGATGGTGGAGGATGTGGAGAACAGCAAAGACACGCTTCTACTCCGCATGACCGATGCTAAAAAATTGGCAACGATACTGGATGCCCCGGAGCTGGCCCTAGAAGCAGAGCGGGCAATTGTACAGGTTGAGGAGCAGTTGCGGATGCAGAAGAAGAAAGAGGAAGAAGAATCTGCAAAGAAGGATGTATGAAGAATCACCATCTGCTCAGGAGCAGTCGCATTCTCTCCTGACCCCTGACTTGGAGATGGCTGGCGATGGACTTGACACATACAAGGTAAATCCTCCACTCCGCCCGTGCAAACGTAGAGTCGTAAATGAACGGGCCATGTACTATACACCAATTGCAAATCAAGTTATCCAATACTCTTAATTGATGGTCATTTCACTCCCAAGGATGTATACTACGGGCCGGGCAATCGTTGATCCGATGATGCCGGGGCGGTACTGCGGGCTGCCCGAAACGGTTAAATGCACACCTGACTGAACACCCTCCATCATCACGAACTCCCCCCATTACGGCTTCCCCCTCTCCCGCCTCTCACTGTTGGAGCCGATTCACCCCCGCCAGAACGGCAGCTGTCACGCAAATTTCACCATGTCAACCAAGAAAATTGAGCAGTGGGAAATCGAACGATACTGGGAGATCTTCGCATCATTAGCCAATGGCCAGCCGCGTTTGAACAACTCCCAAGCGGCCTCGGTGCTCAGGAACAGTCGGCTTCGCGATGAGCAATTGGAAAAGGTCTGGGATCTGGCCGATGTAGATGGCGACGGCGAATTGGATTTTGAAGAGTTCTGTGTTGCGATGCGATTGATCTTTGACGTTGTCAACGGCGTATGTCACCTCCCTACTGCTTCTACGGAGTAGATTCCCGCTCCGCCCCAACCAGTACATCAGCGCTTCGAGCTATTCTCTACTCACAAGCCTTTTTTTTTTTTGCTTTTTCGCCGACCTATATGGACCGCAAGTGCCGAGTATTAATGTCTTAAAAAGGAACTTCAAAATGTCCCCGCCGTCTTGCCTGATTGGCTCGTCCCTGAATCTAAGTCCCATCTCGTCCACGCCACCCGTGCTCTAGGTAGCCAGGAGCAGTTCGAACGGATAGAAGATGAAGATGACACGCCAGGTCTTAAAGATGGATTTGACTGGTACATGAACCCAGCCGATAAGACCAAGTATGAAGAGATCTACTCCGCCAACAAGAACCACCGCGGGGAAATCGCATGTACGTCACAGTCCAGCTTACATCTGAGGCACCACCTCCTATCTTCATCACCTTCCCCATAGCTGACCATGACCTTTCTTGTCTTGTATAGTCGAATCATTACAACCCCTCTACGATTCCCTCGATGTTCCCGATACCGACATCCGCTCCGCCTGGAACCTGGTGAACCCCTCCGCGTCCTCGTCGATCAATAAAGATGCCACCCTTGCCTTCCTACACACCCTGAATTACCGACACGAGGGAGTCCGCATTCCCCGCTCTATCCCGGCTTCTTTGCGCGCCTCGTTCGAGAACAACAAGATCGACTACCAACTTGACAATGCGCGTCCGTCGCAGAAATGGGGTTCGAACGGAGAGGAGACACGCTCTGGCCGGAAAGCCAAGTTTGGTGATACGTACCTGAGTCGACTGGGTGCGGGCGGCAAAACGTCCTACACTCCCAAAGGCACGGATTTCAGCGAAACAATCCAGGACGAGGAATGGGAGAGGGTCCGATTGAGGCGCGAGCTAGCGGACATCGAGTCCAAGCTCGATTCCGCCAGAAAGGCATCGGAAGGACGAAGGGACCAGCCCAGGAACGACGGTCGAACCAACTGGGTTTTGATCAAGAAGGAGGCCCTGCAGCTATTGGAGTATAAGGAGCGCGAGCTACGGGAGCTGCGTGAAGGCACGGGCCGGTCCAAAGAAGGCCAAAATGTGGAACGGCTCGCGGAAGATGTCAAAGCCGTTGGAGAGCAGGTCGAAGGGTTGAAGAGCCACCTTGCTCAACGGAAAGAAGCCCTCGCCGACTTGCGACAACAGGCCGAGGAAGAACGAGCATCTCGGTAGAGCATCATTTGGAACTCCTTATCCACATCCCTTTTTGGTTGCTGTATCCCATACTTCCCATTCCCCACCCCCATTTCTTGCTTCGTGGGAGTCTCTGCTTATGACGCTTGTCATTTTGTGTATAGCCATTTCTTTGGCGAGGAGCATCAGGCGCTAAATGGATATTCTCATGTTTTCCCTTATTTTGAATGATTTAAATTGATTAGAGGATTCACCCCGCCTGCTCCTGTTTGCATCACATCGCAGGGCAGACACATCTAATGTACAGTACATAATATCCTCCAGAAAAACATAAAACAAGATTCAAGCAGGCTCAAAAATCAAATGCATATGGTAGTTCAAACATTGGCGCCGACAAACTCCAGTCAGGTTTCCATCTTCTCAATTAATGTAGGAGATTTCTATGATGCAACGACAATTGATAATTCATTTCCCGGCGATCTGAGCCATTAGGCCAGCATCCTTTTTCGTCTCCACGGCCAGGAAAGCCAGTCCGCTCTGGTCCAGGCCCTTCTCGGCACGCGCATATGCCTCTTCGCTGCGATCGGTCAGGATGTCAAGGTCCTTTTGAGATAGGAGCGTGGAAGAGTCGGCAACTGCTTCGAACAGTTCGTATTCGTCTTCTCCAAGGGCATTTCTGAGGTCGTCCACGTCGTTCTGGTTCATGCCCGCGCCGCTATCCAGAAGGTTCTTAAACTTACCCTTCTGGATGACGAGCCTCTCCAAGCGGCGTTTCGAGTCGGCTTTCTCAAGCAGGGTCTGTTCGACGGTTCCCTTCGTAGCGAGACGGTAGACGATCACGGGCTTGGTCTGTCCAATGCGATGGGCCCGATCCTGGGCCTGGAGGTCCTGCTGCGGGTTCCAGTCGGAGTCATATAAAATGACGGTGTCTGCGGCCGTCAGGTTGATGCCCTGACCACCGGCACGTGTGCTAAGCAGGAAGAGCTTGTATCGAGGATCGGTGTTGAAAGCTTTGATCTGGGCCTGGCGGTCCGCCTGGCTGATCGCGCCGTCGATGCGACAGCAGTGCCAGGAGCGAAGCTGCGTGGCCCAGTCCTGGAGCAGATCTAATTGGGTCTTGAATTGGGAGAAGATGAGGATCTTGTGGCCCTTCTTGAGCAGACAGGGTACTAGGCGGTCTAGAAGAAGCATTTTCCCTGAAGCAGTGACAAGCGATTTGTCGATAGGCCCGTCTTCCCAGGGCCAGTAGAAATTGTGCGGAGAGTTGCATGCTAGACGTGCTTGCATGACGGGGTTTTGCATCTTCTTCTGGGCAATCTCTTTCTCTGAATTGGGTGGATTGATGTTAGAATCAGGTTGCGAATTTCCGAGAAGCGCGACTTACTTGCGAGCTTGATCGTCTTCGCTCGTTCGATCTCTTCTTCCTCGCTCTCACCAGGGCCTTCCATATCCAGATCATCCTCGATGCCCTGCTCGAGTCTCCTTAGCTTCGCGTTGAACTCACGATTACTCAGTTCTTTGTAGGTCTGTGGCCCGCGGTTTCTACGAATAGATCCGGTTGCACTGGCAGGGGTAGACCCGCGACTCGACTTGATGCTCTTATTGGGGGTGGCATAACCGCTGCTATCGGCGCTGCGTTTCACGCTTCCTGAACGCGATAGCCTCTCATTCCGAGCAAACAGTCTTTCGCGGGCTTTATCCTCGAGATATTGACGGCCCGTGCCATTCAGGATCTCGCGGTATAAATCCTTCTGCTCGGCCGTGAGAGGCGCGTATAGAATGTATTCGCGTTTCTTGGGCAGAGAGGTTTCAACATCCGTTTTCACGCGTCTCAGCAGGAAGGGCTTCAGGATGGAGTGCATCGTGGAGACCAAGTTTCGCTTTCGTCGTTCGATGACATCCGTCTGACCACTATTGTCCAGCATCGAGGAGAAGTCAAACCAGCTCTGGAAACTGTTGAGATCGTTGAATATCTCCGGCAATAAGAAATGCAGCAGCGACCACAGCTCGGTGATATTGTTCTGCAAAGGTGTGCCCGTGATCAGCAGTCTGTTCGCGGAGTTGTAGGTGAGCAGCTCTTTGATGAGCCGGCAGTTCATATTTTTCAAACGATGGCCCTCATCCTATTTTGTCCTTAGCAGCTGGTCTTGTTTGCGAGTCTTGTAGTACATACCACAATAATGTAGCGCCATTGGTATTGCGAAAGGAATTTCCGATCATTCATGGATATCTCATAGGAGGTACAGACCACCGGGAAATCCATGTCTCTCTGGTTCTTCGGGTTCATTAACTCCTTCCGGAGCTCGGCACGCTCGTCTTTGCTGCCATGGTATAGCACAGTCTTAATGTCAGGAGTCCACCTTGCAAATTCATCCACCCAATTGCTCACGGTACTGAGCGGCGCAGCGATCAAAAAGGGCCCGGAGATCTTCTTCTCCTTAAAGAAGGCAATCAGGGAGATGGCCTGGACGGTTTTACCAAGACCCATCTCGTCCGCCAAGATTCCGCACAAACCATTCATCCAAAGGGACTTGAGCCATTCCAATCCCTCCAATTGATACTTTCTCATCTTACCCCCGGTCACCAAGTCCGGCTGCTGTGTGGCAACAAGTTCCTGCCCACCCAAAGCCGTGGGGTTTGCTTCGTACTCATCTGCAGCATGTTCCAGGGCCTCCTTCACCGTAGGGTTATCCTCCGTCACTTTCACATCCGCTTTCTTGAAGTAGTTCGAGATCGCGTTGCCATTAGCCGGGGCGGCCTTCCTGCCTCGCCCTCTTTTCGGCCTTTGCTCTGTCTGTTCGTCGGGTTCCGTCTTCTCGGTGGGCGTTGGTTCGCTCGTCGTGTTCCGCCGCGCACTTGTGCGAGTCTCGCGCTTTTGGGTCTGTTCCTTGGAGGCAGCGGGTTTCTTCGTCCCCGAAGCTTGCTGCTTCTGTTGCTTCGCCGCTTCGAGTCGCGCTTCTTCCTGCTGCTCCTTCATTCGATCGGCCATGATAGCTACAAACACCTAAAGTCAGATGCGAAAGCAACCATCAGCAACTTCTCCTTCCGCTTCCTCGGTGGCGACAAGGTTCTAGGGATGAACGCACTTCGCTCGATTTCAACAGGGTCATGAGCGCTTTCGACCCAGTGTCCATCTCCTCCGAATCTTCAGGTGCGTCCATCTTGTCGTCCGAAGTGGGCTTGGTGTCTTGTTCGCCGGCGTCTGTCGCCGGGGACGAAGGTTGCGTGGAGTCCTGGCGCAGGGCGCTTTCGCCCTGGGACTCCGCCAGTGTAATCGGCGTGTCGGGATTAGACATGAGGACGGATGTTTGGTGACAAGTCTAGAGGCTCCTCATAACTAGCAATGCAGGATCTACTGAGGGGAGTGTTAGGAAGGGCCGGTGAAATCCCTTCTGGGTGGCGTAGATCGTTCACGCACCGGGTTCCTATATAAAGAACTTGCAGCGCAATTAGTTGGAAATTAGCGACAAAGGACAGACGGATGACGCCAGTGCTAAGAGTGGAATGGTCGCTAAGAGCGAAGCAAGTGAAACCGTTGATCGGATCGCGTTTGGAGCAGGTCTTTGTCGCCTCCGACGCGGTTTTTCGCGTTCGGCGCACAGACCATCTTTAGATTGGACTCCGCTTCCTCCGCTCCTCCGCTCCTCGTTCCTTCACGACTGCATCACTTCATCGTGTGCAAATCAATTCCTTCAATTGATGAAGATATCATCTATCGGAGCCGGAAGTGTTGCACTGCCTAGTACCATCATAGTGGCAATGCAGTGGGCGGACGATCCAAGACCTACCTACTAATATATCATGCTAATCCAAATACTAAAAGGATCCTTGCAGGGAAGCACAGCGGATGAATCTATCTGCCTTCGACCGTGTGCCCTCGCTGGTAGCATGTGGATGCGCACCATATATTGACTGCCGCACATCCGATTGACTTTGGAAGTGTAGCAGGGATTGCTTCGAAGTTTCCAGCTTATTCGAAAGTCTAAAATATATCTTCCTATCGGCCAGCTTGGTGGGCCAAATTTTGTTATAAGAGAATAAAAATGGACATCCGTTTCTTGTTCTTTTTTGGTTACTGACATGCCGCTCTCCAGGTCCGGTCACAGATGACGCACGGGTTAAATTCAAGTTTATCTCGACCACTGCGAGTAAAGACTTGGACATACTTCAGGACACTGATTGCTGGGTGAAACTCAAATGCGTAGGTCACTGACCTTCTCATAATAGTCTACGTTTTTCTTGCAGACCGAGAGAATACATGGCATCATCGCCTTCTAGATCGCCTTCCGGAAAAATGGCCACTCGCCCCAGAGTTGGGTTCAAATCAAGACCATAACCAACTTCTCCGACACCAGGCCCTCCTCAATCAAAACCAAGGGACCATTCCAAAATCACCCTAGTTGAACCACAGGGCAGAGCACAATGGCCACTGACCAATTCCTATCAAACAGTCTATTCGACTGTATCGACTTCCACAACATCGAGCACGTCGACCCTAAAAGCCGCCAAGGAATCGTCAATCGCCTACAACTCGTGCACCTCTGGTTTTTCAATGCCGTCGACTACGAGCACCGCGTCGAGCACGATGCCGCCCTGCGCACAAGTCTTCGCCAATGGGCGGAATACGAGATCCGTCCACTCGTGCAAACCGACGAAGACGGATTCACAGGCCTCATTGATTTCTCCGCCGAGGTATCCGAATACTTCTATCCCCTCGCGTCGCACGACACCAAAGTGAAAGCGGCGATGGGGTGCGTAGCGGCGTTCACGATCGACGACGCGTCGCTGGACACGAGCGTCAAGGACATGGAGGACTTCGCGCTGAACATATGGAAGGGCTCGCCGCCGAAGAACAAATGGTGTGCGATGTTCAGTCGCTTCCTGAAGTTCTACGCTGAGTACTTCGGGGCTCATGATCCCTGGGTTGGGAACTTGGGGGCTGTGGCCTGGTCGAATTACGTCGGGGCCTGTACGATGAAAGATCGAATGACCCAGGCCTTGCCGTTCCATCTATCGGATCATCCCCTGCCAAAGACCACGAAATATACCCCCAGTGGTGGTAGTAGTCGCAGTGTAGACTGCACCGAGCAATTCCCGGGATATATGCGCGAGCAAACGGGGTTCCCGGCGACATGCTTACCAGCCCTCTTCAGGATGTCGGACGAGCGAGAAGTCCCCTTCCGATATTGGAATTCGGCCATCCCGCTCTTGAACCGATTAATCTGCACGGTGAACGATTTACTCAGTTGCTCGAAGGAGACCCTGGCGGGTGAAAATGACAAATACGTGTCGCTGATGACCCGGGCCAAAAGACAAGAGGGAGCGAAATCGCGGTTCGGGGCAGCTGGGGGCCTGTGGACGTTCCGGGATACGCTCTGTGGTTTACTGCAATTGACCGTGGACATGATATCTTCTCTAGACAAGGCTTTCGTAGACTGTGCAGAGGAGTTCGCTCGAAAGGGAGCGTTGAACGGACTGGTGGATGATCCTGGGGAGCCGGGCTCACAGGAGGACATAGAGAATATGCAGTTGGCGGCAGATCGGTGGATTGCCTTCAGGCATGACACTATCGCTTACTATCTCAATTGTCGGCGGTACGATTTGGAGTCTCTTGTAGCTATATGGCAATGGTCTAAGGGGTATAAATAGTTTTGTTGATAGGGTTTATATTTTTTGGATAAATTATATAACATTGAATACCTTCGGTCAGACTTTGTCGTGACTTCGTGGCCTTGTGAGGAAAGAAGAGTATCAGTTAATCATTGCTCTTGACATTTCGCAGGATAAATCTAGCTAACTCCGTTGAAATTCCTCAATTTTCATTCCTTTAGATCCATGTGAAAATCCCGAATATCATTTTTCCGGCTTAGACAACCTTCCTTTCAGAGGGGGGGAAGAAATACATAAAAAGAAACGAAACTTGTTCAAGAGCATGAATCATGATCTCGTTAGACGTAAATTAATGTACCAAGCACTGATTTCACGATCGAGTGACTTGGTACGATTCTGAGTGGATCAGTTCGAAAAACATGGGACAAGTACCATTTCGTCCAATTCCATATCATCTTCGTCTTCACTTTCTTCCCATCGATTGTCGTTGACCGTTTCTTCGACCGTTTCTTCATTTTCAGAAACCTGTGAAGCCAGTGCAAGGGGGATATCTGAAGTAGGAGGCGTGATTGTCATGCTATCAGTTTCCTCCCTTGGACCTTCGTCAACTGGGACAGGAGAAGCTGTTCGCGATATCTGCCCGTCGTGGGATGGTGGTAATCCCCTGTAGCTTGTCGCGGAATTGTATCCGTCTAGATCTATTACGGACGGGCATCTCCTGTTTCTTGTGGTTGTTGGCTGGACCTTAGGTAAGGAACTATGCTCTGGCTGAGAGGCTGGGCATTTCCCATTGCTGCTGCGATCCTCCCTGGGGATCTCTGTTCCCTCATCTGGCAGGGGGGCGGGAGGTCGCTGATCATTGCTGCCATCGGTTCTAGTTATCTCATTTCGCAAACCAGATCTGGTCCCTCCCCGCCTAGTCCGAAGAGGTCTAGTAGCAGTGGTCGCGAGATTCTGATTAGGCCCGGCAGACAAATAAGACCAACATCCACCCAAGGTCCGTCGGACGGGCTCCTCGGGCTCGGGCCTAGTCGAAGGGGGTCTTCTTCTAGGGGCCTGGGCTGGGTAGGATGATACAACATAAGTATAGGAAGCGCCCTCCACTGTCGGGGCGAGAACCTGAGAGATGCGGTCCTGTGGAGGGGTTTGACGAGCCAATCTTGTCGGTTCGACTAACTGGGGTTCTGTAGTAGGCTGAACTTGGGCAGCGCGCTGCATGCCAATATTCAGGTTAACAAGCCCGTTGGGCCAAGTAGGCTGACTGGGGGCGTTTATCCACCTGGAAACAGAATTAACGACGCCGCTTCGAAGCCAGGATGCATCCATTTGCCTAGCAGAGGTTGATGGTCCAAAACCATGGATATCGTTTATGAGTGATACCTTGGAAGCTGTTGACACGGTAGGTTTATTCGAGGCAGTCGCGTTATTCCTAGGAGGAGCAATTCCTGGCTGTAAGCCACTTATATCAATGCCAGTTGGTTTCAAATTCCACTTCAGAGTTCTTGGCTCCAAATCATCAGAATCAGACTCCTCTCCATCGGGACCCTCGACGACCGGAATAGTATTGCACCATTCCCCAACGAGCTTGGGGCTCAACCCCCATTTCTCTAGGAATCTCTTGGCTATGGCAATCTCGTCGGTATTGCACATGAAGAAGTTCTTACAGGACTCCCTCTGCTGCACCTGAATATTGTGGCGTGCTTGACGGCGTGTCTTACAAAACAGCGTCCAAATCGAATGTTGGTCACGATTCAGAAGACTATTGTCGATCCGCATCAAGGCTCTCAGCCGGTCTTCTCGCATCTTTTCCAGCTGTTCGTCCTCGTAGTCTAACTGCTTGTCACGCTCGGTCCACGCCCCTCGAAGTTCCACTTGATCTCTGACGCTAAGTCCTAGCCTGATACATGCGTGTGACCAGGAGCATGACTGAAGAAGGTTGCCGAAGATCTCAACTTTGAGAGACATGAGTATATCGCGCCATTGGGGGTCTGGTAGTATGGGAGCAGACTGAGACATGGTCAGCGATGAGTTTGCACCTATTTTGAAGACCATTGCCAGGCTCAAGAGAGATCCCATCAGAGTCATTCACCTCGGAGAGTCCACCGTCAAACCCATTATCAATTCGATCTCCAAAGCTCTCTTGCAGATCAAGAAAATCCATGTGCGAACCACGACCTGCGTTAGCCATCAAAGCCATGTTTCTCAGATAGATTGGGTTCAAGGGTCCATTGCTAGCTTTGAGATTCTCGATCTCAGTAAAAGCGAGATCTTCAAACTCCATCTCCTCGTCGCTACTATCCTGACCGTTGTCGATTTTGTCGTCGTTTGATCCAGGTGGGCGTGGCTTGTCCAGAGTAGGGAATGCAGCGGGTGGTAAATTGGGATTAAACTCAATGATAGGGGGCCTCTCTATGGATTTTGGAGTTCGACGTAGGTTTACCTCTGAGTAAGGACATTCAAATTCCTCAGAGTTGAACCTTTTGGGCGGACGAATAGAGCTGCGGAGCTTCATTGTGATCAATGGCACAGAGATTCGCGTAACGATTCGCGTATGGAGGTTTGTAACGAATGAGGCATAATCAGAATAGGAAATAAGAGATGCAGTATATAAATACGCTTCCCTGGCAATTTTGTGGCGCGGTAAATCTAGCGGAAGAACCCAGTCTGAAGGATGGTGAAAGAGAGGGAAGTGAAGGTGAAGGCGTCTGTGAAGTGAGATAAGGCGCTTGCCTCTTTGGGGATGAAGGCAGCAAGGCCAGCAAACGCCAGCACGTATCTGCTTGTTTGGAGTGAGGAACGAAGGAAAGCACTGTGCAGTATACAAAACAATATGCTTAGAGAGAGAATGAAGATTGAACTATGCAAGCACATCGGATAGTTCCTTTAAAAGCCAGACATTCTATTGACACGCACCTGAGTACCCCGAATCATTTTTGTAATGAAGTAGAAAGGAAAAGCTAGTTGACATCCGAAAAGATAAAGAAAAAGACCCAGAGATGGGCTCGTAGATCAAATGTTTCCAATGTCGCCGTCAACAGAAATAAAACATCAACCTTTAGCCCGATCGCTCCCAAACTCCATGCTGTACGCCAACAAAAACACTCAAATTATCCCGAACGATCCTGGAAAGGAGCCGTACCCCGACGGTTCGGAAAGAGACCTGCGTGGTCATCCATATCCATATTGTCTTCCATATCGCTGGAGTCCTCCAAGTACCTTTTCTTATTATCATTAGTCGCCAGAGTTGCTAGGCCCGGATTCGCCGATGCCATTCTCCTAGAACTTTCGACATCTCTTTTGGCGGCGAGGATAGATTCGAAAGACAACATTATATGCTTCAATGATTCGTCCAGGTCGATGCAGAAACGCTGCAACTGGACAGTCTGCAAAGCTTGGGGGAACTCCATGTTGAACATCACCATCAGGTACGCGATCAAAACCAAAGCGGAAAGACCGTTGCCCGTCTCACAGAACAAGAGAACTTTGCGACGCGACGAGTTGTGGGATTGCGCATTTGCCGGAGTAGAAACATGATCGTTGATCAGGCGTATCGCACGAGGCAGCGCCATTATGAGCTCTTGGTTATTCTCCGTATCCACTGCATACGTTTCGATGCCCAATTCTGTGGCGGCCTTCTCGCCGGAGACCAACCGCGCATGTGCCAGTCGCTGATCTCGAATCGCAAGAAGCAGAGTAAACCCCTCTCTGTCGAGCCAGACCCGATCTTTCAAGCATGCCCACGGGCCCAGGTAAAGGAAAGGTAGAATCATTTGAGCTTCCCGGCGCATCTGATATTTCCAGTCGTTCATGCGTGGCGGCAGTGTAAACATTTCCGTATGAACTCTCTCAAAGAAGCCTGGCGGGACAAATTCACCCTCCGGAAAACATTGGGAGTCTGAGTTGACGGTTTCGAGCTGAGCACAGAACTCGTGATCGGCAGCTGGGATAGCGTAAAAGTTGACTCGCTGCATTCTCGCGGCGCCAGCAGCATACTCATGGGTGCGTACATAGTGAGAGCTTGGCTCCTGAGACATTGGAGCCTCAGTGCAACGCGAAGGAAGTGCCATTCTGTAAACAGTCCTTGAGGAGTAGTCCGGTTGCACACGATGTAAGAAGGACAATTTGCCAAGAAACTGGTTGACGAATAATTTTTTTTATGCAGAAAGAGTCCAGATAGTAGAAGGTGTCAATTCAGGGAAGAGAAGAGGGAGTACGGAAGGAAATTGATTAAACTCCGCAGGTGGTCATGATGATGGCAAACGAGGGTGTAAGCATTCACTCTGGAGACAAAGGAGTACGACAGATCAATGGTGGATTGTGCGCCGCACACCCAACTCTTCAATCCTGCCTTGTTGCGCGTGGAACAAAAGAACAAAGGAGCACCGAAAGGCTTGTTCCTTTCTACTTTCTCTTTCTCTCCGGCTCATTCGCCAACGTGATTTCCCTCCAAGGCACCAACCAGGCAACCAGGCAGGCACAGCATGTGTTGCTGAGTCAGCGACAACATTGTTTGTGTTCACAATTCCCCATTCGGCTAACTATCACATGACAGCATCACGGGGCTTGGCCACCAGGCTGGAAGGCTTGCGGTCAAGCCTACGCTTCCTCGTATGTAACAAGGGCCCCAACGTGAGACGGGTGACTCGCCATGACACTGACTCAGATGGATCACTGTGAGTCATGAACCGTCACACATGACATGGTCTATGTGCTTAGTTGGGCTCTTGCAACCTATCAAGGCTGCTACCGGTATGTGACACGGCGTTTATTTTGATGAAATCTACTAACAGTTATTCAGGATCTATCCTTCTTAGTCAAGGATCTTAATAGAGCTGTCTAGAGCTCACGCGCCGCAGGCAAGGGGGCGGGGCGGGGCAAGCAGAAAGCTCGCACAAGATAGGGCCTCAGGACCTCTTGGTGAAGAGCCGGCTATTAGCCTTCGCCTTGTTTCTGTATGGCTGTTACTCTAGGCAGGCGGATGACGTGGGTCTTGTCGGTGGCAATAGAATGTCATGAGCTGTTCCATCTGCTTCCGACACAAGCCTATAACATTGGGCCTATGCGTTTCACCTACCCTGGGTATCTATGTGCGACTATACTTAGGCGCCAGGCACGATACTCGCTTTCAATCACTATGCTTTGTGCCAATCATAGGTGCGAAGTGACAGTAAAATGAGATGGAATTCCTTCCAGCCAACAAATCTTACGCCGTAGATGACGTACCGCCACACTTGCGTTGGGCTACCTTTGAGGGCGAACATTCGGGCTGTACGGAGCCGTTGAGACAAATCTGCTTACTCGACAGCATTATGAGACTCTTGCGATTTTTACATCCCAGGAAACTGCGCTATCAATTCCGTGATACGGTGCAGGTCTGGGAAATGCGCTACTATAGAAGCTGGAAGCAATTCGGCAAGCAAAGTGTAAGTGACGTCCACAGGGACTCTACTGTGTGGTATAGGTAGATTGTCCAAAAGAACATTGCCACTGCGGCAATCTACTTGGTCTAGAGCAGAATTATACCAGAAGAAGTTCATTCATTTGCAATCCGGTTCCCGTTGAAAATAGAAATACAATCTTATGCTTGAATAGACTAGACATCCGAGAGTTTACACGTATTCGCCACCTTATAGCGACGCATTAAAGCATGAAAAATAAGGATGAGGGTAAAGATAGTAACCACAAGGGAGGTTGCAGAAAGAAGCAAAGAGAAAGGAGAAAAAAGATAGGGAAAACGCCTGGGTATATTTCAGGTAATAGAAGGGTAAGGAAAAAGATCATAAAAAGAAATAGAAAAAGGAAAACGAAAATAAACACCATTCGGGTGTTATCGACCTCAAGTAAAACGCCATACTCTTCAGCGCTGCCCTGCAAATCCATGCGTCCTCAGATGTAGACCGATCCATGTAACCTCCCATTGATGTTGTAGCAATGAATGCAAGCCCCCCAGGGCCCGGACTTTGCATGTGAAAACGCCCTCAGAATGCAAAACATAACATGACAAAAGAAAATAATATAAGCAGAAAATAGAAAAGCAGGCAAGAAAGCACAAGCAAAATAACAAAGCCGCACTCATGATGGTAACAATAAGATAGAGAGAAGAGAGGATATTATACCAAGCAACGCTATCCCTGTGCTGGTGCAGTCTGAGGGATGGCTTGCTGCAATCCGGAGACAACTCTTTCCAATTCCTCCAAGCGGCGGTCCTTCTCTTGGACCTCGCGACGCAACCTTTTGAGCTCGTTGCGCAAATCCACGCCATTCTGTTCCTCTTCTGCCTCATCGTCCTCGGGCAATTCGACGGCTGGGTCTTCATCATCAATAGAATCACGTTTCCGCTTGATGGAAGGAGGAGCTGGGGGAAGAGAAGCCGTGCCATCGAGCTCGGACGTGGGGACAATGGGGAGATCGGACACATGGCCATTCTCGGGATGCATGTGGCGACGGCGCAAATGTTCCTTCAGGTTTTCTTGACGCGTAAAACCATTACCCGTACTGCGATTGCAGTCGGTGTAGGGACACATCAGCGGTTTCTTGGCGTTGACGTTCTTCTTATGCACCTCGCGCTGGTGTCTAAGCAGTCCACCTGAATAGGTGAAACCCTGGATCTTATCGCATCCGGGCTCGAGGCATTTGTAGGGACGATCATGCTTGTCCATGTGTTTACTAAAGATGGCATTAGATTAGATGCGCGTGTTCCAGGAGGAGGGGGGAATTGGGGAAATAGGGAAATGGGAGGGATGCACTCACTTCCATTCACAGGGACGACGAAACGTCGGAGGGGCCTGGTGGCATTCGTGGTGATCGCAGTAGATTTGGCCGGCTGCGTTCTTGGGCGGATCGCGCGCGCGTCTCACCGACAGTCGCGGACGAGCCCCTTCCATGAAGTTGGGGGAAAGTTGATCGGTCATCTTAGGAGCGGGAGAGAGAGATTCTTGAGCTGCGACGAGAACAGATGTAGGTCCGCCGGGACCTTCGCTTCGTGGACTAGGGTAATCAGAACCGTCACCCATATCGCAGTAACAACCCCGCCGTCAATTGCAATGAGGCGGGTTCCTGGAAGATGGAGAGACGCGCAAAAACCGAAAATTCAGGCGACGTCCTCCTCAGTAGCAAGCGAACTGCGCAGGAAAAGGATCAGTTTGGAAAACACGGGCGTTGGGGCAGAGTGGACGGTCGCGTCGAGTCAGCCACCGAAAGAGTGTAGGTTCCTTACTCGGAATACGGGGGGTGCCGAATTTTTAAGGAAACAAGGCATTAAGGCGCCAGGTGACTAATGATCGGGTCTTGGCACGCCACTCGGTTATGTAATCAGGGCGAAACTCGGTGGGAGGTACTGGGTACTGAATTCGGTCGGTCGGTGGAGTCCAGAATAGTAGCTAGTGATCATAAATAACCATCAGGAACATAGGTACAGCGGCCGTGACGATGGCACCGTGGTCTGACCGACGGAGACGCGCCGTAGTATTTGTAGGCGCTGGATCACGACACTAAGGCGGCGAATGCCTGGAGATCTACTGGGCAGTGACCAAACAAGTAGTGTTGGCGCTAGGTATCGTTGAGTAATGGGGGAATTGACGCGCTTTTTAGGCCTCGACTAGAAATGAGTCATTGTGGCCGAGGGGATGATATCAGGCAACCAGATAGCAGGAATGAGATTAGGTAGCGGAAGTATAAGATTAAGAGAGGGCAGGGCAGGGCAGAGAGGCAGAGGCTGCAGGGCACAGCTGAGTCCGGTTGACAGCCTGAATTGTCAGGACCCAACGGAGCGTCCGGTGGATGCCAGAAACGGCAGCCGCCACGCCTCATGACGGACAGCCAATCAGCAGCGGGGCACGTGGCCCGGGCGCGGTTCCTCAGTCACACCGCCTGATTCGGACATTTTTCCTTCATTATTTATTCGGGTGATATCTACGGATTCACCTACAAAGTACACAGTAGACACTCGTCATTATGATAAAATATACTTATTACTATAATTAACACTCTATTTGGTTTCATTTTATCGTGTATATTTTATATCCTCGAGGTCTGCACCTGCCAGGCCACGTCGGGACGGAGTCGGTGTGTACTCCGTGGATGGGTGCCTAAGGTACCCAATTGCCGCCGTCCGCGGGAAGCAGTGACCAACGCTTCTCGCCCAATCGACCGCCGATTGTCCCCTCCGCCTGGAGCAGGCAACATCTCGTCGCTTTGGGATCCAATTCCATCCTCCCACCTCACGGCAGAGGCTAAAATCAAGCAAGGAGTTGGGACATCTCATCCGTCAACCTCATCTTCAGACCCACTGTCGTCCGTCGATAAGATTGGCACGTCAGTGAGTAGACGCCTTCGAGACCGTCCGTGATTGGGCGAAGGACACGAAGCGTTCTACTCCCTACACATCGTGCGTCATTTTGCTAAATCGTGCTCTGGGCTTTCGATCCTGCAATGGAGAGCTCTCGGAATGGGCCATCCTGTAGATCGAATTGAAATGCCAAGCGGTCTGGTTGTTCGTCTGATCTGGCTGCAGTACACCGTATGTAGAGGTGGTTGGTTCTATATTCTATGTTGATTTGTAAATTTCTTTTCATTTTCCTCCTGTGATATCAGACTTTCCTCTGACTGTTTCAATTTAGCGGTAATCGTGCCAAAAGTAGAGATGACGCAAGAATCAAACATGCTGTACCTATAGATCACCGACATATACCCTCCACGAATTAAAGATAGCTACCCCATCTAACCCTGAACGAGGGCCAATCGACACACTCGCCGTTCTTCACACTATAAAAAGCCCGTCATAGAGTACAGTTGAGCCCCCTGCCCGAAAATCAAGATGGTCGATCATGCGGACAGAGTGGCGCAGCCCTGCAATATCAGATTCGGCGGGGATTCCTGGTGTCGTCCAGGCCAATAATAGAAAGCAGGAACCAATGCGGGTTGCTGACAGGGTGGCTGAGCCTTGAATCCTGTCAGTTTTAATACGCATTAAAGTTGTCAGGCTAAGCTAGACGACGCACGCATGTTGGTTGGACCCTGAAACTGATCTATATATAACTAACCGTTTAATCTTCCACCCCCAATTGCCAAGGATGTGAAGATTCTAGCTGCCTACTGCACTTCGAGCATGCGTACCACTCCACCGAGATATTCTGGTGAAAGAATGACCGGCCGAGTATAAATGTCGCGAATTGATAGGCGTAGTGGCATGGCTTCTACGAACGCGTACGTCATAACTACGGGATTCCCGATAGGATGACGATGAAAATGAATGACGATAGTTGGATTTGTTGCGAAAGCATGACGGCAGTGATAACATGAGGCTGCATAAGACGGTCCCTCGTACCGAGAAGGCCGAGGGCGTGAACAGGACTTCTTGACAGAAATGAGGCATAGGACACCTAGGCCGGTTTAATTTTAGCAGTCCCGCATCGCCATAACAATGCCGCAAACAAAGCAAAAGGATTCAAGTGAGTCGTGACAAGCATAAACAAGCAAAGTAAGAGGGCAAGGACCATTCCATAGCATCTTTGACGATGAGTTCATTCTCATCCATTTCCGCGGAATTCCTGGAGTTGACCGCAGCCTGGGGACATCGAGAGATGAGTACAGACGCAAGCTGGATGGGGTGCGCCGGGAAATTCCCCTCAGATTCTGTGCTGCTGACTTCACCAGCAATGACCCTTACCGACACAGCAAAACAGGACGTATGTGCTGGAAGGTTGCGGCCGCTCCCACAGCAGATCCCTGCTAAAAATACCCAAAGCAGTCACATCCTCAATGAAAACCTGGCTCCAGACTGTTGTATGAATACCAACTGGAACCTGTTGATATTGATAAAATGCACCGCGGAAGAAAACCAAGTGAAGAGCACCTTTCATTCCCCACTTATGATTGAGATTTTGCTCTCGCCGACGTTGCCCTGAGATGTACAGTTGTCAGGCCAAATAAGACCTCTTGACAGGCTGTACAAACTCTCAGGACATCGAGCCATTTTTGAATGGTCCAATAGTTCCGCGAACAGTTGTCTTCCCAGTCCCGGGAATGGCAGCAAGCATGCTTGTAATGCCAGTCTATTTGGCAATCCATAACGTGAGTCAAATCAGTCGTAATTTCCCCCAACCTGGCTTGCAAAAGCAGTGGAAACACTGCGTGTATCGTCGTCATCGTGGATCTGACCGGGAACGCCACGCGTGACACGAATACTTGCAGAGCTTCCCCCGAAGATGCTGCCGTTATCAGGGACACCGGCTTTGTAAGGCTCGCGTGCTCCAGATTCCACGTAGCGCTTCAGCCGGTCGGACTGACTGAGACTGGGCTGCTTGCTCATGTCGTGGATGCTCAATCCAGCGAGGCTCACACCGCCCTGATCCACACTTCTGCCATCGATAACGCTTCCGGTGACATCAGACTCGGTAGCCGCGATAGATTCGCCGGCGACACTAGGCGCGCCTTTTCCTCTGTTGCCATTAGCCCGACGCGCACCAGGAAGAGCAGGCCAGGAGTCAGTGAAGTTCTGAAACATGGGAGGATAACCCGAAGGAATGCCGACACCGCCAAGCGCTGAGGAGTGGACCGAAGACACGTCGTCAGGGATGTAGCCGACCACGGATCCAGTGTCATGAAAATCGCTGCGATGGCCATTTCTCCCATTCATGGCCCCGTTGGTGGCATTGGAGGCGTGGTTATAGGCCATTTGGAAACGCTGAGGTCCTCGATAAGCTTGTTTGGGTCGACTGAATTGAATTAAGGATTCCTGCAGGTTTGACAGAGGACCTTCCACCAAGCAGTGGCGTTCTTTGAAGTGCTGTAGGAGACAGTTCCACAAAGGATGCTTGGACAGCACCTTCGGGTTTCCGAGGATTGCCAATCCGTATTTGGCTCGAGTAATTGCAACGTTGAGACGACGGGGGTCACTCAAGAAACCGATACCTTGGTGGTCGTTGGATCGCACACAAGAAAGAATGATGAAGTCTTTCTCTCTGCCCTGGAAGGCATCCACTGACGCGACTTCGATTTCCTTGTAGTGCTCCTTCTTGAAGGTACCATTGGCCTGCATGGAGCTGACAATATAGCTGCGCTGACCTTCATAAGGGGTGATTATACCAATATCTTGCGGTTGAACACCAGCCTTGAAAAAGCGAGTGACAATCTTCTCCACATTAGTTGCTTCAGTACGGTTGAGATACGAAGTACCCGAGGCGGAAATCTCCTCATTTCCGAGGTTGGACCAAAACATCATAGGGTTGTCGGCAATGGGCCACGGGAAATCAACGTCACGGCGAAGTCGCTCAATGGAGGAAATACCGTTCTGCAGAGAACCCTCGTAGAACATATTGGACGGAAATTCAGAAAGGCATGGGTGCATACGATACTGGACGTTCAACCGAATGGGAGAGCACCCTAAAATGACAAGTCGCTCGAAGAGAGATTGGTTGAGACCAGCCTTGGCCGCTTTCTTGTTCATGATAACAGGACCAAGCTGCTGGTGATCACCAACGAGGACAACTTGCTTGCAGCCCAAGACCAATGGGATCATGCACTCAGGCTCGGCAGACTGAGTAGACTCATCAATCAAAACAGTACGGAACTTAAGCTTAGCAAGACGGGGATCACCAGCACCAACGCAGGTGCAGCAGATGACATCGGCATTGTTCAATATCTCGCGCTCCGCCGAGCGAGTGAGTTGTTTCAAGCGCTTTTCATCCTGGCTCGACAATTCGCCAAGTTCAGATTTAAGCTGATTCAGTTTCACAAGTTCGATGTTGGTGTCATTAAGGCGAACTTGTTCGTGCAAAGACAAGAAGCCAACGGGAGACTCCACATCCTCTCGCGACTTCGCAGTCACACGCACCGTCTTAAGACCAGTTCGGTGGATACGTTCGCAAAGTTGATCAACCGCAACATTAGAGGGAGCGCAAACCAGGACCTGACCGCCGTTAAGCTTGGCGAGATGGTAGATGATAGTAGCCGAGGTAACGGTTTTTCCAGTTCCAGGTGGACCTTGAATCAGACTCAGAGGTCTCTGCAGGACACTTTTGACCGCATTGATCTGACTGCCGTTAAGTTCAGGAAGTCCAGGAACACTGAATTTCTTGGGCATCTGCGTCTTCATCGGTGCAGCGGCAACCTCGTGTCCAAGAAGACGATGGAAGATATAGCCTGAAACACTCAACTCATCGACAGCAAACGTTTTCATGGCGAGTTGCATGCGGTCGAAGGAAGTCGATTTCCAAACATAATCCGCAGTGAAATTGTGCGTGCATTCACTTGGCACTGTCTTGTGGTCACCCTTTGCCCGCAACTCAATAGTCACCTCGTCGGATTGGTTGTTCGGGATCTTGATAACATAGCCAACACCTTCCCACTTGGGGCGCAGTTCACCAGTATATTTGAGGCGCATCTCGTCACCCACTGCCAGCTTGACATCACCAAGTTCGAGCTTCGGCAGGATAAAGCTGGCTAGGTGCTTATTGTTTAGACCGAGATCCCACCGCACGATCAGGCCATCCTGGGATTGAGATTCCTTCAATTTACGGTCGTAGTCGGCTTCAATCTTGACCAGCGGGCCAAAGATGTTCTGATACTGGAAAGCGTCGTCGTATCGCAGGAGAACGGGAGCGGGTTCGTCATCCACGGCCGTGGCCTTCTCGAGGTCCGAAAACGTCGCTTGTGAGTTCTCTTTCCACATCTCCTCCAACTTGGCAATCAACTGCGGGCTCAGGTGACGGGCACGCAGCTGTTCTTGGTCCGAAGGAGCGCCCACGAGCCACGGCAAGAACGAGCGATCTTCAATCAAGGGCTGCCAGCGTGAAGTATCCCAATTCATATCCTTGGACGAAGGCATGGCGGCACAAGGTTGACGACATAGTAGCACGACGACCGTATCAGATTTGGCAGGAATGAAACCAAGAAGGAAAACATTCTTTGTACCGCAGTTATAGCATTCTAATATCGTATCTCCGAGAGACGAGGCGGGGTGGAGTTGTACTTCTTTGTGTCGAGCTCGGACAAGGTGGTTGACGATGTGGGAAGAGGAAGTATTGCCACGAGCACTGCAGAACCATTTGCTACATGACAGACATTTGACAACACTGCTGGCATTGTGGATCCCACAGTACCTTTACGTTGATACCCATTAGCGGGAGAACCAAGCCGGCCGTGTGAGCCTCGAAGTTGGGGGGTACGTACGCGCATGCATGCGAGGGGAGCTCCTTCTCTTCCTCAATATTCCCCTGTGTCTTTGCATCCCCTGCTACCTGGGCACTAGTTGTGCTTTCAGCGTCGTCATCGCCATTATCAGATCCTTCGTCGTCGTCATCGTGTCTGCGCGGGCGGGGGCCTCCGCTCATATTGAGAGTGTTCTCGTCCAGGTCCGCAGTCGTAACATCATCATTGGTAGCAGCCATGATTGCTCCTAGTTCCGATATTCCACAGATTGCTAGCTAAATCACGTCCGCGTACGTTGGCGATTCGTAATCGGTTGGTGAAAGACTTGAGGAATGGATGAGGGTGAACAGCACGAGGGACCGGTACAGTACGGCTGTAATCCGAGAATATAAAAAAAACGTCGCTTAAAGAAAAGGAATGTAAAGGACACGCAAGTCGCTGCAGCCAGTCGTAAAAGAGGGCTTGCTTTCCTCGATGGCTCGGCGTGCCACAGCAGAGGGGCAAAAGGAATGAGTGACTAAGGTCAAAGTCAGTAACGGATTGACTTCGATGGGAAGGCATTCGAGGGGGGAATTCCGACATAACCAGCCAATATGACAATTCGCGCAATTCACTCCGTCGCTCTAGTACCTAGTGAAAGTGAACGGGTTCCTCCTGGATGGCAGGATGTTGCAGTCCAAACAACAGGGCGACGGAAAGCTGATTTGCGATCGGCTCACCTTTTATCGGACCCTTCGCCGCCAAATCTCACACAGTCCGGCGGTCCCGGCGGACCATCTGCGCAGTCAAAAAAAGTTGCCCGCCTTTTTTTTCTATCGGCGAGCCTCGACCTTTCCTCAGCCAAAATACTTGAACCTCCCAGGAAAGATGCTTGTACGTTTGTGTTGATTCTCATTGTTTATCGGTTTTTCTTGACTGCCATCAATCTAACTGACTTTCTTATAGCGTCGTCAAGCCCGTGAACGTCGAGACTATCTCTATCGGAGAGCTCTGCTTCTCCGCGATGCCTCCATCGCCGAAAAACGAGCCCAGCTGAAGGCTTCGCTAGCCTCCGGAAAACCGCTTGATCCCTCCATCGCAAACGATAAGCAACTGCGCGAAGACTTCAAATACGATGAATCGTTAAACCCCGAGGATAGGCAGAACAAGGAGTCGGACCTTTTGGACCTGGATGATGAATACGCCCTCACCTCCGGGATTGTCGATCCTCGCCCTATTGTCACCACGTCTCGCTCTCCTTCCGTTCGTCTGGGGGCATTTGCCAAGGAAATCCGTCTGCTTCTTCCTACTTCCATTCGTCTGAACCGTGGAAACCTCGTTCTCCCCGACCTCATGTCCAGCGCGAATGCCGCGGCCCTGACCGACATGATCCTTCTCCACGAGCATCGTGGAACTCCCACTGCCATGACCATCTCGCATCTTCCCCATGGACCGACCGCCAGTTTCTCGCTGCACAACGTCGTTCTTCGTGCCGACATTCCCAACGCCGCCCGTGGAACCGTCTCAGAAAGCTACCCTCATCTGGTCTTTGAAGGGTTCAAAACGAAATTGGGTGCTCGCGTTGTTCAAATCCTCAAGCATCTCTTCCCTCCTCGCGAGGGCGGAAAGATTGGCAACCGTGTCGTCAGCTTCGTCAACAAGGAGGACAGTATTGAGGTGCGACACCACGTTTTTGTCAAGACAGGATATCGGGACGTTGAGTTGGCGGAAGTCGGGCCGCGGATGACTATGAGACTCTTCGAGATCCGGGGAGGATCGCTAGAGAAGGGCTCTAGCGGCGATGTTGAATGGGCTCTCACGCAATACACCCGGACCAGCAAGAAGAAGGATTATCTTTAAACGGTTCTATATCCTGGACGACTGTCTCCACGGCCTGATGGCAGTGTGTAAGATATCTTACGACGGCAAAAGAAAAAAATGTTCCCTGGCGCATTGAGGTGTTATGTGGTGATCTAAAAGGCTAGCATTTGGCAGTTTCACGTTCCTGTTCATATTATAGTATACCCATATGGAAGAAACGGAACTTTGATGGTTCTACTTGTTTATTCTTCAGAGAATGTTCCAACGCTGCGTATTGAATCTGGCAACTAAATCTTATTCAATCCACAAAGCAAGCAGTCAATTGCCATCAATATTCGAATGAGTAAACAATTCACATTACCTAAACCCTCAAACTATAGATAATGAAGTAAGCAAATGCATTAAACAACATGTCCCACGCCATGAAACTCCCTTCTATTCGAACCAAAACTCGCAAATCCAATACGATCGTGTGAATAATTATTAGTATCAAGCATTATCATCGTGACTCTCGAGCAGTTGGTCTGATGCCAGGGTCTGCGATTCTGCCTGCGATTCTGTGTCTTCATCTCTGCCCGCTGCACCACTGCCTGTAGCGGATACGATCGGCTCCTCAACAGCCCGAGGCGGCTCTCGCAGGAAATTTGAGATGATGCTATGATTTTGCTCATAGTGGAACCAGCCCTAGGAGATTAGGAGGGTTTTGCCATCGTTGTCTTCTTTACGTTGGGGTGTCACTCCATCCAATCGGTCTTCCCATTTCTTGCCAGTTTGTTCCTCGAAAAAATGCTCGAACACCGACATGGCGGCTTGTAGGGTACTTCCAATAGGGGCTTTGAGCGCGATTGTTGATTTACTGGTGCGCGTGTATTTGACATAGGTAGCGTAAGTGATGGGGTTGCTGTTGAGTTCGAAGATCTACATATTATGAGCATCAGGGTATAGGAGAACATAGAGATATATTCAAGGATGTGGGACGGAGGCCACAACAAAGGAGAATGAAGCCAAGCAGATCTAAAGTACCTTGAGATGGTATTTCTCGCGGGTTGCTTGGATTGTCGGGCGAGTAAGCGTCGCGTTGTAAGTAACACCCTTGTCCGTGTAGAGGTGATAGTCAGCTGTAGTCCCTCATTAGCCTCACTCTCCCCAATCACTCTGTAGATCGAAGCATACTTGATGCAGCGCCTTTCTTAATGGTCCCAAATCCAGCCGCAAATAGGTGTCTTGATTTGACTTAGTGCAGTATCACCATTGGTTCTTCCTAGAAAAAAATGGATAGTGGTACCATACTAGTTCGTTTTGCCTTCACCTTTGCTGGTCGCTTTGAAGCCTTCTTAGCCTTTGCTTCAGCGTTGGCTTTCTTCTCATTTTTCAATATAGTTTCCAGAAGATATGGCCCTTCGCGCTTGGGAGCTCGGCTCTTGGATAACAATGAATCCTCGAGCCAATCGTAGGAAACGATCTTGACTTTGAAGCGCTTGGCCTTTCGCACTGCTCGCAAGAACTTCGATTAGTACAGTTTGTTTCGCTGAGTATTCGAGATAAAACTGCTTCCATACCAGCTTCGATATTTTTCTTAAATGCCTCTATTGTGGTGATAAGATGAGTGACACCCTGGCTGACGTTCTTTGAATATTCTCCTCCGTTGGCTTTTACCCACTGGGGGATTTTCTCGCCGTTGCCACCGAAGTGGCCAAAAGAGCACAGGTGGACTTTCTTGAACGGGTCTTTCATGGTGCTTGAGGGCAAATATGGCCGTCGATAGGATATGGTATGAATGAAGACGGTAAGGAGGTGGAAACTAAATGACCTGGTCGAAGGTGAGATGGTGAAAAAAGGAAGACGGCGACAGGTGAAGTAAAAGAAAGAGTATGCGGAGGCCTACACAGAGAGATGTATGAAAGGTAGTTAAGGTGAATGTGATTATCTTACTGTTATTTTTGTGAAGCCCGAAATATATGAGATAATAAGATCGGCTCAAGCCGTTGAATGCAACCCGAAAGTAGGTGATCTATCTAAAGATCGAAAACAAGTTTGCAGGAACAAGTATAAAGCCCATGAGATACCATCGTAGATGCGTAGCGATGCGTTTATTTCGGAATATGTGACATCCTATTCTGGAATGTCGCAGTTAGAGTTGAAAACTTTTCACTGCTTGCACGAAAGCATGGATTTTGCTGGGGTCCTGCGCGCCATCGGATTCGACGCCAGAACTGACATCCACTCCAACAACCTTGCGTCCAGATTCACCCAGTTTCTTGAGTGTGCTGGCCACATTGGTAGGATCCAAACCCCCGGCAAGGATAACACGCAGACCCTTATCGCCTTCTAGGGTTTGCTGAACGCGCGACTGGTCGAGCAATTCGCCGGACCCCCCTGCTCCAGAGTCCAGCAGAGGCAAGCTGTGGTAAGCTCTCCTAGCAATTCCAGGTTCATCAAGAGCAAATTTGCGAATCACGGGAACGGGTATTAACCTAGCCCACTCAAGCGGTTCGGAACCATGAAGTTGAACAACATCAAGGTCCAATTTTTGTTGTTGAGCTAGGACATATGACAGCGGCTGATCTTGGAATACACCCACGAGCAAGGCTCGATGAGGGTGACGTAGGGTTTTCGCAGAATAATCAAAGTAGTCAATGGATGTCGCACTTGATACTCCTTGGGAGGCGGTCGTCGGCTGAGTAGCAGGGCGCAGAGTCGACTTGACTACTCGTGAAATACCCAAGGCAACGTCATCCGGAACAAGCCGCTTTCGCCCTTGGACTTGGATGATTCCAATCAGATCTGCCCCAGCCTCGATTGCAGCTCGCGCACCCTCTTCGGTTCGCGTACCGCAGATTTTCACTAGCGGCGAGTTCTGTGTCGTAGAGGTTTCTTCCGTGCTTCCTCCCAGCAAGTTTGAAACAAAAGCAGAGGTATCTGGCGCCCGCATGAGAGCCTCACCAACAAGGATAGCCCTGACACCTTCCTTCTGGTACGCCTCTACATCCTTGGGCCCGGAGATGCCACTCAGAGCGCACACAATGGTGCTCTCAGGTACCTGATCCATCAGTCGGCTCGTGGTACCCAGGTCAACCTCGAAGCTAGTGAGATCTCGGTTGTTAACACCAATGACCTGAGAGCCAAGATCGACCGCAATCTTCATCTCTTCAGGGGTGTTAACTTCAACGAGAGGTTCCATGCCAAGGCTCTTGGAGTAATTATATAGTCTGGTGAGCAGCTCAACATCGAGCATTTTCACAATGAGCAGAACGGTGTCAGCACCAGCGAGGCGTGCTTCCAAGATCTGATATTCGTCGAAAACAAACTCTTTCCGCAGCACTGCTGGTCGGTTCGTGAGTCCTTCTAGACTCTGGCGGACAGCACGCAAATCATCAATGCTGCCTTTGAACCATTCCGGTTCTGTGAGGACGGAGATGACACTAGCCCCCGCCTTCGCATATTGCCGAGCCTGTGCAGGTGCACATGCAGTTTCGGCGATCATGCCCTTGGAAGGAGAAGCACGCTTGATTTCAGCCATGAGAGACAGCGGATAAGATGATTGCCTCAACCTAGCAGGAAACGGGACTTGCGGGGGCGCGATGTTGAGATCATAAGCAGCTTGCAGATCCGCCGGGCGTTGGGAAGGGATGTTCTTTTGGATGGCAACAGCAGCTTTCCGATGGTCATAAATCTTATCGAGAATAGACATCTTCTTTCCGGTCTTCGGGGTGCCGACTAGACCCGCGCCGTTGCCGCCGGAGGGCTTCCCGTTTCCATCCCAAGTGCCCGCCGTCAGAGAAAGAAAGTTTCTGAACATTGTCCGACCGTGTTCCGTAAGGATACTCTCCGGATGGAACTGAACGCCTTCTACAGCCAGCTGCTTGTGCCGAACTCCCATGATAACAGTTTTGCCACTGTTATCGCGCAGATCGGCCGAGGATGTCACTTCTAAGCAGTCCGGGATCGTCGCGTGCGTGCCAGCCAGCGAATGATATCTGGTGATATTCAGAGATTCGGGCAGTCCTTCGTAAACCCCCTTGCTGTCATGCTTCAACTCCGATGTCTTACCGTGCAGGATCTCGCCGGTCACATCAACCTTACCCCCAAAGGAGAAGATGATGCATTGCTGACCCATACACACGCCAAACACAGGAATCTTTCCGCTGAAATGTTGAATGGCAGCGTTGCTTATACCGGCATCGGACTCGGGATGACCCGGACCGGGACTGATGACCAAATGAGTCGGCTTTTTGGCAATCAATTCTTCCAGGGAGATTTCGTCATTGCGGATGACCTTTACCGTGGCACCCTCGAGGACCAGGTACTGGTAAACGTTCCAGGTGAAGGAGTCGTAGTTGTCAATGAGGATGACATTCGAGGCGCTGGCCCGCTGCGCAGCCCTAGTGGGATGGTGGGGGGAATGGTCGACAAGATCCGACATGGTTGGAGTCTAAGTCTGTGAACGGGACAAGGGTAAGATAGCGTTCGTTAGTCTTCAGGGTTGAGGGGTGAGCAATAGCCGAGGAGATAAATACCTGGTCCCGGGGAGGTTGGGCAGAGGAAGAGAGAGAAGGGGTAACACAATGCTGTGACTCAGGCTCGAAATGCGAGGGGGGAAGACCGCGCTGCCTTCCCAATCGGGGCGACCAGGCAAACACTGCAAAACCCACGCTCACCGCCCTGGACTAAACCCGGATAGGCAATTATTGTTGACCTCCGGGGGAAAAGCGCTCCTTGAATATTCTTGAGTTTCCGCCTGAGCCCTCCCAACGTGCTGTTCCGACCTTCTTAATCCTCCGCAATTCATTGCGACTTCTCCCATCTTCGGTCCTCGCTAGGTCCTCTCCGCCCGATTCTTTTGAGGGTCTAGAATGATATAGCTGGTCCGCCAATGGCTCCCTCCCCGGACGCCTATTTTCCGTCCCTGGACAAGTGCTTCTCCGGGGACGCTCAGCTTTTGTACGCGCACCTGCTTCTCTGACTGTCTTCGTGGCTAACTTGCATCTGCTTCTTTTCTCTGCCTACCTAGATCTTGGAAGGGAGCTTTTCTCTACTCCACTCGCCCCGAAGATGTCGTCGATGACACGGGTAAGCTCCACGCATTTCTATCGCGCCCAGAAAGCATCCAGCTTCTTTCGAATTGTTTGAACCTATTCCCCTCTCCGTCTGCCACATCCAAGACGGATTTCGAATCGAAAACGGCCGCGATACACGCCGAAACGTCTGCGCAAGCATCGTACAACTTAAAGGAAATTAAAGAGGACGCTCTATGGCTCAGTCAGAAAGCTGGCATCGATGAGACCAGTGCGCTTCGAATCGCAGTTCTGGAATGGCAAAACCGCCCTGCCACGCGACTACTTTCGGGGTTTGCGGAGGAAGAAACCTCAAGCTTGCAAGGTGCGACGGGCGCCGAAAACTTTCGAGTGTCTCTGGCGGGGCCTAGTTTCGCTGAGATTCTGAACCCAAATGCGGGTCCTAAGAACGACGCCTCCCTTTTCGAGTCAACCGAGAACCGGCGCTTACGACTGAGCAATGTTTATCTGCTGGAAAGGGGCCATGTCGTCAAAACCGCCAGAAAACTTCTCGCCCTTCTGCTAAACAGTAAAACCAACGGCAAGATTCCAGAGCAAGGCCAGGACGAGCGGAGTGCTCAGTTATGTCGACTGGCAGAGACCATCTTCAAAGACAAACTATCCGGAGAAGGGCGGCGTACTTTTGTTCAGGCATGCATCAAGGCTATCCGAGATCGACTCACTGCTTTGGAGGGTGATGGCGGTTGGTTGGGCCTTGCTGAGAGCAACGAAGCCACAGAAGACATGTGGAGAACAACCCTTGTCGAAGAAACGCTGCATATCCTGCAGATCCTGTTTCTACTGCTGCAGTCGTCCACTGAAATCCCTGCGGGAGAACTTCAGGTGTCTTGGCTTCAGCTAATGAGGGATTATAGCTTTTTGGAGCCCCTCCAAGTCGTAAGTTCTACTCCCTAAGTTTTCTCTTTATCTTGCCACGGGCTGACCTGGAAAAGCCATGCAAAAATCCAATAGAGGTCCTGCTACCGCTCCAGGGCTTTGTATGTCTGACAACGCTCGCTTTTCTGAAATTGCCTCTCACTGTGCAATCCATCATTGGCAAAACCCCGGCCAATGACCCCAAACAGCCTCCTTACTTCCTCTCTAAAGAAGAGATCGGTAACATTAATGCAATTTTCGTTAACGAGGGTTTGGTTTCTCAAATTGCCAACCCTGCGGCCTTCTCGTGGGGTTTAGTTTTACATACTATGAGGGAACTTGCTCTTACTGATAAAGAAACCCGAGAGCTGGAGCAGTTCCACAGTGCAATCGACTCTTTCCAGTCGAATACACCCAATGCCGGTGAAGGAGCTTCCGACACATCTTTGTACGAGGAATTACTCGACTGTGTGCGGACACCCAAATTTACGGCGGATGAATCAATCGATATACTCACATCCGATACTGTGAAAAACTCGGCGGTCGATGCTATTATCTCTTTGGCAACAAGCCTTGGATCTATCTCAGCAGTTGATGATGCATTGACGAATCAGTGGACTCGAGCGGCGCTGTTAGACCTCGTTCGGACTGTCATGATCTATATGGATTATTCCCCCGAGGTTGTGGAATCGGTGTTAGCAATACTCTCCGGGCCATCCGCAGAATCTTCTTGGCTCCCGAATACCCTCCCAACTCAGCCCAGTGATCCACGATCCATATTCAGAAAGGATGACGTTCTGATGAACAACATCTTTCGAGTAGCACGTTCACGATTTCCGTACGAGATGGTGCCATTTCTGCGACTGTGCAGAGCCCTCATCAGCAAAGACATTGTTAACGAAGAGGGTCTTCCCGACCTGATCAATGACTTGGAGAGCATGGAAACATTCACGCAAATGGTCCCTCCCACCTTCCAAGGCTATGAAACGATTCGCGAAGACGAGAATGCAAACCTCGTCAGACTTGCTCAGTCGCTCCCAATGATAGACTCAGCTGCTCAAAATCAAATCCCAGACTACCCGCCTAGCAATGCGCTGGTTGTTACCGGCGCGTCTCAAGTCCCTGCCGCGACAATCGGCCAGGTGGTGTCTGAATCTAAACCTGCGGTTGTTATGTGGCAGCACCAGTACTCTTGCCTAAGCTATCTCGGAAGTTGGCTTGAGCAATGGAATGAAAGCGGGGGATCTTTGACCGAAGGGGGCGAAGATGCTAGCGCAGAGGCCATAGGGTTGCTAGTAGATCTTCTCGTCGCTACCAGGGAAACACAAAGGGATAATGATTCTGGCGCCAAGAGAATCCTGGAGCTTGCAAGTGATGGACTAGCTCGTCAAAGCGATATCATTTCCGTGATCTTTGAGATCTTCGAGCGCAACCTTTCCAGCATGAGCACTAAGACTGGATCGGACAGCGTTCTGGAATCCACTATAGCTTGTTTGCGTTTCATTTGCGCGCTAATTACGGTTCTACCCGGCAGGGTCTGGCCTTTACTTTGTCGAAGTGACTTGCTCGGTTCCGATGGGAAGGGGGGCATCATGACCGTTATCGTTTCTGGATTAGAGGTAACGTCGGGTGATTACCCTTTCCTTCTTGCCTGCATCCGTCTATTTGAGGCTGTTGTGGACGATGCTGCCTCTCGTGCCATACTGAGGAAGAGCCCTAATACCATGGGTGGCAAGATAATGGCTATTTCTGACTGGACTTCTGGTGTCCCGTCTCATATGATGAGAGGCGCTTTGCTCAACTTTGTCCGCCCAATGGTCGAAGTCTACAACAGCAGCATCAATTGGCGATTCAATAAGCCGGAGCAGAGGTTTGACCTCAATGCCACCCTAGCCAAGGCGTTCGAACGAATTCTTTACTTCGTCTACGGGGCCAATGATACGTCTAAGCTTGAAACAAAAGCAACCGGCATATTCTCCTCCTCGGCGACTTATCTACTAGACGTTCTTCGTCCTCGTTCCGCAGCCGACCTTCCATTCAACCCAATCCTTAGGCTTATTGTTGATGGTCTCCAAACACCTCCCACGCTATACCTTCGATATCTGACACTGGTTGAAAGACAAGTTGTATCAACTTTGGAGCTCTCAACCAGACTTTTGCAGGCAGCCCAGCTGGCCGAGAGTCCGCCATCATTGCTAGAAGAACAGCTGTTCAAGGCGACCCCGATTCTTGTCAAGCTATATGCGCTTCATGATGCCTACCGATTCCCGGTTATCTCCCTACTGGTTACCTTGGTATCGGGGGCTGCTCTGGATCCGGCGAACGAACCACCGTCTTTGGTTGGCCATCTAGGAGCCGAATCCTGTTGCCTCTTCTTAGACGTCTTATCCCAGTTCGACAAGCCTATGAGTGATCGAGGTTTGCAGTTGGCAGTGTGGCACATGCTGTCAACTTTGGTCAGCAAGCGCCAACAATGGCTTGCTGTCTACATTCTCACCGGCTCTTCTCCTCGACAGACGTTGAAGAAGACGATTGCTAGCCAGAAGGCCCCAGCAATGAGAGGGGCGCCATTCTTGAAGATGGCTCTCGACATGCTTTCCAACATCGAACAACTAGAACCCCAAATTTCACTCGCATTGCTGGAGTTTGTCTCTCAGGCGCAAGAAAATTGGCCCTGGGCAACCTTCGAACTTCAGAAGCATTCGCAGTTCTTCAACAGCATCGTGCATTATGTCTCTAAGCTAAACATTTCTTCCTTGCCTGTGGAAGAGCAAATCTTTGCCACGCAGATTGCAGCCGTTGTTGCCGATCTTTTTGCAGTCTATCTCCACTCTGCCAAGGAGATGCCGGATCGAACTTTACACAAGATGCTAATTCCGTTGGTTTCCTGGTATACTAAGGGTGCTGTCGAGGTTTCAAGATACAATGCATCTCTACACGCAAATTTGAGGAGGAATTTCGAGATGCGATACCCTGGATGCAAACTGACCGACTTCAAACGAACGCAATTGCAGCCCCGCTCGCTAGGCAAAGAATACTGCTACGACATCCACTTGGGCGAGAAGCTTCTTTCGTATGATTTTGCCTGGGCAGGAACACGAAACCAGGGGTTTGCTCAGGAATTTGAGCGGGCCAACCTCAATCTGTCTCTAGTCGAGGCTCAAGTGGTACGTATCTACTCACTGTCTCTTTTGAATGGTATCTGACTAATGATTCTCTGCTGCAGCGTCTGCTTCATAGCTGGAAGTTCTTTGCCACGGAGCACTGTGTTGATTTCATGGTCGACCGTGAAATCAAGAGATCGATGGCCCTAGTTGCTCAGAGTTGCCTAGAAGCCAACACCGCCGTCACCCCCCAGGAAACAATTTTCGAAAAGGTTCAGCAGACCCGGGTGGATTTCGCCCAGGTACTGGTTCAGCGACTCGTTGAGACTGGAGCACACGGCGCCGAGGTCTTCGGCTTACTCGCGGTCGTCTGGGAAGCACTACGCAGTCGCCGCGCAACGTATGAGGAGGCACTCATTCATGACGACACTGACTATTACCGATCGTTGCTCAACGTCCTATTCCTCGCGCTTCAGTTCCATCATGACCTGCCTACTCGACCAGTCCCTGAAACCCTCAGCAAGAAGGCCGAAATCTCGTCTGACCTAGGACTGGTCGTTGAAGTCGTGAAAACGGTGGTTGCTCAAGGGTTCAAATCTTTGACGACGTATTTGCACGAGCAGCCTGACAAATGCACGCCCAAGGACTTTGCCATTCTCACGGCCATTTTACAAAGCTGCCTGCAAGTGAAGAACGTCGACCGCTTGTTTGAGCACATTGTCTACCACATCGCCGACAACGACATAGCCCGCCATGCGACCGCCTTGTTCTCGTGGGCCGATCAGCTGGCGGTCGCCAGCGACCCCGTCTACGGCGATCTCAGTATCTCTTTCCTCGTCAAACTCTCCACCATACCTATGCTGGCTGAACACCTCGCCGTCGAGGCGATCCTGGCCAGACTTTCCACATGTCGGTTGACGAACCTCCTCCGACAACCCCAAGGTTTCGGACCGTTGGACCCCGTCCCCCGGATCTATTCGATCTGGACCAACGGTTTCCTTCCGCTGTGCCTGAATCTCCTCTTCCACGTCATTCGCACGGCGCCTGAGGTTGCCGCATTCCTCAACCAATTCGAGGGCCAGCTCACGCGAGCCTCCGCGTCGTTTTCCGCCGGGCGCAAAGCCATCTCGACGTCCACCACGACGCGCCACAAGATCACCTCAAGCATGGCGTCGGAGGCCTACTCGCTGGCCTTGATCTCTTTCATTCTCGGTCGATTCCGCGAAGCCGGACCCAGTGCGGGCGTGGACGCCGACGCGATCCAGGATCTCCGGTGGGACAAAGCCCAGGTCAAGGAGGACATCGAGGAGCTACTGGAGCGCCGATCGAGTCTCCGGGGCCGAATCGTCGCCACCAGCGACAAAGAGGTGGAATTGCTACGACAGAAGCCGGCGGATACTGCCTCGGGCGCGGAGAACCGGCTGGAGGAGAAGATCGTGAACGAATTGAAGGCGGCCCTGGTGTGCCTTGGGGGAGAGGAGGCGTCATAATGATTGATCATGTTCAAGCCATATTTGTCTTTTCTTTTCCTGTATGTTTTCCCTTGGCCGAGGGATTGCTCTCTATAAAAAATAGCATCGTTTGCGATCGGGATTGGGGGGTGTAGAATTCACTTATTCTTTTTTCCTGTTAACCAGTTACAGATGAAATTCCTCTACATAGGTAGACCGAGAACTAAGAAATAAAGAACTGGCAGATCGGAAGGAATCCGCAACTTTTCTCAGACAGGAAATCGCTAGAAAACCCTCCGAACCGAAATCTCTCCAAGGATCATCCCAGTTCGAGCAGAGAACCATCACGAAGAGGGCAGTAACCCAGGTCCGAGGTCATCGTGTGTTTGCTCCTCGGGATCTGGCATGGTTGCATCATGATTGGTACCCGCCGGAAGGGCGTAACCGACAGGAATGCGGGGAGAAGCTTTGGTCTCCACGGCGGACTTTCCTGTCTTTGGTTCGTGCTTTCCTGGGTTCTATTGGTGTCGGTTTGCGGTTCTGATTGCTGGTGCCGTATAAGACCTTGTTCATTTCATTCTTGGTTTCACCTTACTTTTGGATCATCATCACCACCTCTTGACTTGTCGGATCTTTAGAATCGAAAAGACATATACTCTCTTCTTCTATCATCCTACATTCTACCCTTCAGCACACTGAGATTCAAGGACACAATGCCGTTCAAATCGCGTTGGCATCTCGATATTCCAGATACCCATCTGGCCTCGCTCCTGTTCACCTCCCCTTCTCATCCTCTCTCGAAGACGCATCGATGTTTCTCAGAAGCAGCCCGCTCGGAGACGCACTACTTCACGACGCACGACTACCGGCTCTGGAGCCAACGGTTTGCTGCTGGGTTACGCAAATCGGGCCTTCAGACCGGAGACCGGGTCGTCCTATTCTCCGGCAATGATCTGTTCTTCCCCGTCGTCTTCATGGGCATCATCATGGCCGGGGGAATCTTCTCCGGGGCCAATCCCACGTACGTGGCGAGAGAACTGGCCTACCAGCTGCAGGATAGCGGTGCGACTTACCTGATTTGTGCCGAGGGGAGTCTCGACACGGGGATAGAAGCGGCCCGACTGGCAGGCATGTCTCGAGACCGGGTCTTTGTGTTCGACAATGCGGTGTTTGACGGCCAGGGCAAAGGTCAGCAGGGCTGTCGGTATTGGGGGGAATTGATAGCGTCGGTCGACGAGGGAAGCAAATTTGCCTGGGACGATCTATCGACCCCCGAAGCGGCCGGCCGCACGTTGGCGCTGAATTATTCGAGTGGAACCACGGGGAGGCCCAAAGGTGTAGAAATCACCCACAGAAACTATGTTGCCAACATGCTGCAGTACAATTATTTGTTCTACCTGGATCCGGAGTGGAGGATCAAACAAGAGCGGGCACGGTGGCTCTGTTTCCTACCGATGTATCATGCAATGGCGCAGAATATCTTCATCGCGGCGGCACTGAGCCGTGGGGTACCGGTTTATATTATGCCCCGGTTTGATTTCGTCAAGATGCTCGAGTACACGGAGAAATTCCGGATCTCGGATCTCATCTTGGTGCCACCGGTGGTAGTCGCTATTGCCAAACACCCCTTAGTGAAGAGTGGCAAATATGATCTCAGCAGCGTCGAAAAGGTCTCGAGTGGCGCAGCCCCCCTAGGCAGGGAAGTTTGCGAAGAGGTCGAAGCCCTCTGGGAACCCGGACGCATCAATATCAAACAGGGATGGGGGATGACAGAGTAGGTTTTTGCCTTTTCGATCCTTCGAGACTCCCTCGGTGGCAACGCTGTAGGCTAACATGATTCGCAGAACGACCTGCTCGCTGCTCGGCTGGCACCCGATGGAGCAGAGCCATACGGCTTCAGTTGGTGAGCTGAACGCCAATTGTGAGGCAAAGATCATGGCCGACGACGGAGTCACCGAACTAGGACGAAACCAACGTGGGGAGCTTTGGGTCCGAGGGCAAAATGTCATGAAAGGTTACTGGCGCAACCCAGAGGCAACCCGGGAGACGAAAACGCCGGACGGTTGGCTGAAAACAGGGGATATCGCCTTCGTGAATGACGAAGGCAAATTCCACGTCGTTGACCGCAAGAAGGTAGGTGTCTTAGCCGCGAAATTGCCATCGGTTCTTCTGGTCCAATCAGAAGCTCCAAATGTGATGCTAACAGCGTATTAGGAGTTGATTAAAGTGAAAGGCAATCAAGTTGCGCCGGCCGAGCTCGAGGCTCTCTTGTTGGAACATCCTGCAGTTGCCGACGCTGCAGTCATTGGCGTGCCAGTGTAAGTCACCAACCAAATCATGTTTCTTCAAAGGAGGCGCTTGTGTGTGGCCAACCTAAAATTCGCTAACGCGTCAATCGTCGGCGAATAGAAATGGCGATGAGCGTCCTCGGGCGTATATAGCATTGAAGCCAGAACAAAGCGCCACCGAAGCCGATATCGTGGAGTTTATGAGCGGGAAGGTGTCTGTGATCAAGCGAATTACCGGCGGAGTGGTCTTTGTGGACGCCATTCCCAAGAATCCATCCGGCAAGATCCTACGAAAACAGCTTCGAGAGCGAGCGAAGGAGGAGATGGAGAAGAACAGGATTACCGCTAGGCTATAAGTCACATTCTGTTTTATTTTTATTTCCCCTCTCATGCGTATGCTTATGGTCTGGACAACGAGCATTACCTTTTTTTTTTTTTTTTTTGTCTGTTTTTGCATAAGTGGCTTGTCAAAAAAGAGCGAGACCCGCATACGGTGTGCACACTTCTAAGCCGCGCGAAGTTCCATTGGTGGGGCATTATTGTATTTGGAATGGACATAGAGTTTAGATAGATCGACGACATGCGTTGAAGATGACCCGGTTGTTGGGTTGAGAGGGGGCGAAGCATTTCCAACGATAGCCTTATGGTCAGATTGTCAGAGACAGAAGAAGAAGAGTGTGTGCGGTGTGTGCCTGAGTGTCTGTGTGGATCTCAGTAGAGAAGAACAGTAGGCTAATGAATGAGCATCGAAGAACGAGTCCCAGCGGATGACGCCACGGACGATCGCCGTCAACACTCCAGTGCTGAAAACACCGGACCTCGTCAGACTGATCTGACGAGTGGAGAGCAGAGCGGATGCAGTTATATTAAGTGTCACAACGGCTTGCTGGGGCCTAATTGATTAATCCATGCAATGGCGGGCTGATGCTCCACCGGCACAACACCGTCGTGTCAATGCGAACGGTGGAGGACAGGACCGATCTGCAATTGACGCAGACGTAAAAAAGGCGATCGAGGGGTCGAGGCTGAGCTGAACAGAGACAGATGGGGTTAGTATATTGGTGTTTTTGTTGGAATGACTGAATCATGCTTTCTTCTTTTTCCTTCGATGGACAAGACAATAAATCTTGATGAGTAGATAAAAAAAGAAAAGAAAGCGTTGAAAAATAGAGTACAGGAGTAGGAAGAGAAGAAGAAGAAAGGAAGGCGCAGAGGAAAGATGAGAAGGTCCAGTGACCAGACTGTCACGAGTATTTTGGTCGACTTCATTTTCTTCCTCCCATCTTGTCTTAACACCGCCTCTGCATCGCCGACCTACGAGTTGGTCAGTTGTACGGAGTGTCTGCTTCCTCCACTTCCCTGATTCAGATGCCTTCTCCTCGATCGATTTTCCCACGGATCGAGCCTCAAGAGTCAAGGCTCAAGCCTAGCCTTACTGCGGTGCCTGCTCCCAACTAGTTCGTCTCGCTAAGCTGGCTAACTCGCCCCTAACGAACTAGCTCTTTAGCCCGATAATCTACGGCGCAGGTGGCGCACCCGCAGTAGAGCTGAACTCGCCTGGTCTGGAGACGTTCTTCCCGAATTCTTCGACCTCCTTGGTCCTATGATCGGGGTGCATTTGCGGTTGGAATCTGCTCTCGTGGATTCCGCCCACTGCATAAGTTCTCGTGGCTGATCATGACACAGCTGGACTGGGGACCCCCTCGCCCTCGCCTTTCCCTCTACGGCGTAGCCCTCCCAAGCAGGGATGGCGGGTTGTGCTACAAAAATGACTCCAATCCACCGGGTTTGTGTAGGCGTCCCTGCATGGTGGAGTTCTAGAGGTGCCCATTGGAATGTTATTAGAGAATGGTCCTCCTCTGCCCGCGTTACTTCTGAGACGAGGGGGTGGCCTTTATTTGCTTTTATTTGCTTTTATTTCAGGACCTTGGCCAGGTCAGAGCGCTTGGTTATAAAGATCCCCCAGATACCTTTGCATAGTTCCTCTCCACCACCAGCCATATCTTATGTGAATTACCAACCTCTTGGTTCTCTCTTCATTTATTTATCCATATCTACATCTCTCTACAATTATCCATTTCTATTCTCCTTGGATCTCTATCTTCTAGAGTGCTTTTGGGGAGTTCTTATCTTCTCCGCCACTCAAGAAGTCGGCATAACAACAACGTTACACAGGTTCATTCCAGTCAACTTGACATTCGGCCGTGTTGATAAATCAGTTCAGCTGATTCATTCTTGACTGGGGCCCTTAGACAGCCTGCAAGGCCCGCCAACCAAAACGACGATAGTCCCAGGCGATGGGGCATGAGAATGAAGATTTGGCCATCCCCCGAGATCCTCAAGCCTTTCTGTTCGGAATCACCTTTCCCGCAGCTTGCATTGTTTGCATTCTAGTACTCGTTCAGCGGCTCAGGCGTCGACGGCCGGGCAGATACATTCTACCCGAGAAGCAAATGGATCCGCAGCCTCCGTTGCCCGACAGATCTGGTGGCAAGGCCCCAGTGGGCCAAGGGGTGTCCTCTCCCAAAGACTCATCCCACGATGTCACCAGGCTGCCTTCGGCCTGTGATATCCTGCAGCCTTTGTCTCAGCTGGCACCTTTGCCCTCGAGTGGCTATCTCGCCGCCATGCTAGGCCGAGAGCGGGGGCCCAAGGACCAGCAATCATATCCGCAAGACCAGAGTTTTCCGTCTTCAGCTGCTTATATGGCCTCGCCCAGCGCTAGCTCCGGTGATAGTCGTCCGACTACGTCGCATACGAGTGACAGCTATCGCTCTGGTTCGCTCTCCGAGGGATCTGATGCGTCGCGCCGGGGATCCGAAGATCCGCAGCACATTACACTCTCACCGACAGGGTGGCGTACAGAAGGCAATCCCGAGGATTTTGACGGCCTGACAGATCTAGACAGATCTCACTCAGTCCAAAAGCGGAGCCAGGTCGTTCAGCAGCTCTATGATGTGGACGAGGAAGGCGTCCGGACTTGGAGACGGCTCATGGTCGAATATCGCTAGAAGCGGGTTTCTCCTTCCCTTCCCTTCCCTTTCCACTTTTCTAGTTCTTTTTTGCGTTTATCTGTTGATCTTTATTTTCTTTTACTTTTTTGATGACCTATTTCTTTTTTGCTATATATAGTGTGTGCCTGAAGTTACTGCTGTTATTCCATCTATACTGAACATACTTTCGGGCTTCTGGAAGGCGCAGACTTCCTATGAGTGATGATGCCTAAAATTGGGTGGCGGAGTGTTTATGCGTTTCCTTTTTTCTTTTTTCTTTCCCCCGAGACCAGTCACGCATGCTCTCATCTTCTGACATGGCTTGATGATTCACGATACTGGTCGCTAATGAAATCACGATGCAACTAGCGAATAAGGGTTTTCCGGTGGCGAGATCTGTACTAAGACTTGGCGAGTAGATCGATACAGGACAAGCATAAGCCTCATCCTTCGCCCGGCGAAGGCTGACTCCACTGTTGGGCGAGGTGGGAAGAGTCGATACATACGATTAGAAATCTGGATTATCTGAATACTATTTGAGACTGTTTATTTATAGTGGCAAATAATCGACTATCTTTAGTCGGAGGATCATGCCAGGGCGATCTACAGGGCAACTGATATAGAACGGGTAAACACGATCTCCCAGTCACTTATATAATAGTCACTCTACCTTCCCTTCCTCGACCCCTGCAACAGAAGCACCAGCCCGGTCTAGTAAGTTATTATAAACGCTAGAACTATGGCTCGGGAATGCCGGCTCGATCCTCTAGGATCTCGGGTTGGATTGGATAGTCAACTCTCCTCCATGCCCCATCTGTACCAGCAAACTTCATATTGAGATCACGACTGGGCTGGCATTCTAGGATATCTGATCGGCCTGCCTATACGAACAGTAGAGCAGCGAGTAAATAGATAGAGAAATGCAAGTACTCTGGAGCGACGAGTGTCAGGCACTCCAACTACAAGCTTAGTCATCCAACAGGCATCTGGCGATGAGACAAACCAGACAAACCAGCAAGTCGCAGCTAAACCATTCATCCATTCATGCCCGACTCGTTCCTCCGCCCACCTTCTGTCATTTCTACCTCTTCCCCTCATTTAGTTGCCTCGAACCTCTTCCGAAGAAAGATAAGAAGAATCGCAGCACTGAGCTAGGACCCGAAAACCTGATCAGCAGAAAGAACGTCATGACGATAACCACGCTCCCGGCCTCCGCGCCGAGCACCAACGACGCCGACCTCGCTGTCCTCAGCGTTTCGAGGCTTCTCACCCGCCTGGAACATAATCTCCTCTCGCCGGGGGCGGACCTCGTCGGGCTACGGAAGTCGGAGTTTCAGAGGATGAGAGTTGGAGCGGTATGTTCTCTTGTTTTTCTGGTCCCCTTTTTTATCTTTATCGATCTGTTCTTTGGGTGGGGGCGGAGCGATCGATGCATGAGAGCTGCCTGCGCCTTGGTAGTCAGACGATATGTACATGACATGACCAGTACTCGTCGACAAGACGGATAGTTATCCATCATTGAAGGAGATGGATCCTTTCCCGTCAAAACATACAACTAACAGCTCACCACCCAGAACATCGAATACGCCCACTCAAACCTCCACTCCCTTGAACGTAACATCCCCGCCACGAAATCGCTCGATCGCAAGCATACCCTCCAGACAGAAGTCCAGCGACACCGAGAGACGTTGAAACGGCTACAGGCTCTCCTCGAGGAGATCAGCGCCGAGGCGGAGGTTCGAGCGTCTTCGCCTGGACAGGCTGGCTATGAGGATAATGAGGATGAGGAGTCCGTAGACGGGGAGGATTTGCTGGGTACACCGGAGGAGAGTAGTACGGAGAATGAACCAGGGAGGGAGGAGGAAGAAGAGGAAGAGGGACAGGGGCACGAGCAGGCACGGGAGTCGAAAGTAGAGATAGGTGGTGAGGGAGAGACGAAGAGTCCAGCTCTAGCTCCACCTACGGCGACCGCTACGCCGACGACAACAGCAACGACCTCCGCCCCAACCGCAACAGCCACGTTACGAAACCGACACGCGACCTCCCCGTCGTCTCCCAAGTCGAATGCGAAAGCGACGGGATCCGATCACCTCTCATCATCATCACCCGTGGCCACCTCGAAGGGCGATGAGACGGAGCAGACGCTCTCGACGCACCGAGCGGAACAGGAAGACATAACGAGCTCGCTCCTCTCGCTAGCCAGTCAATTGAAGGCATCGTCGCAGGCGTTCCAGACCTCGCTAGATTCGGAGAAGTCCGTTCTCGCGCGGGCGGTGGACGGACTGGATCGCACGACCGGGAACATGCAGGCTGCGGAGCGGCGGATGGGGATGCTGCGGCGCATGACGGAAGGGAAGGGCTGGTGGGGACGCATGATGCTGTATGCGTGGATTCTGGGATTATGGGTTGTGGCGGTGATGATCGTTTTTCTGGGCCCGAAGTTGCGATTCTAGAACAATCGGTCTTCTCTCTCGCATTTAACTTCTTGTTGGCTTTGGCGGGAGTTCGGGCGTTTCATTCTTTTCCCAGAGAGGCGATGTTATTTAAAGATACCCTAAAGATTCTTATCTATATCACCTGAATGATTTTAGGGCTTATGCTATACTATTTCTTCTACTCCGTACAGGACGTGTAAATGGAAGGGGGAGTAATTATAACCAGAGCAGATGCAAATATTTCACAATCCTTTAAGAAAAAATAAAGAAAACTGACGACCCGGCATGACACATGAAGAAGACATGATAATCCACGTACCCTGTCATTCCCCCGTGCCCGTGGCCCCGCCATCGTTCATGTCTCTCAGTGAACGTCAGACCAACGAAAGGTGCGTGGAAAATGATTACACACAAGTTTTATGGAGATGGCACCAAGAGATGATGGGATATCCAGCTTCAAAAATCAAATAACAAGCACATGAGAAATGGTGGCAAGGGAAAAAAAAAAGAAAACCAGAAAGAGGGATGGGTACTCAAAATACAGGGGAAACCAACAGAGAACACGGGCATTTCAAGGAATCAAGATATAGAAAAAGGGCATAAACCACAGGCTGCGAAGAACCTGCTAAGTCCACAGATAACCGACTGTTCAGAAAACCAGATCGGATGAAAAGATGAACGGATAGAAAGAGGAAAAACTCCTGCTCTGTGTCATGGGATGGATATCGGTAGGTAATGCTGAGAACAAAGAGCCGGCTAGATATCATTTCAAGACAAAGGAAATAATAAAAGGGAATAATTAGTAAAATAGACAATGAATGTCTGAACGCCAGGATCTTTGAGAAATGAGAAAGAAATGAAAGAAAGAGGAAGAGACAAGGTTTGCGGAACAACATCTCCAAGTTTAAGAGGGAAAAAATTACAAAACCATGTAGCGTCGGGATGAAATGTCGAAACACCGGCACTCGATCAAAGCATACCGATCATTAGATCAGACCACACAGTCGGAGGTTCTCTTGGATGATGATATCTAAAAGGTTGAGTTAGCTTTTTGGTTTGCAGACACACACGAGTACTCAGGTTCCACAAAGCTTACCATTTACAGCGGCCATGACGAATCGAATTTGTGTGGTGTCAGTGGCACATGTGAAGTGGGTGTAGATCTGTTTCTGTTCCGCCTGGTTGAGAGACACGAAGCGGTTAAGGATGTAGTCGCAAGCGGCGGCGTAGTCGGCACCACCCTCGTAATCGGGGAAGTAGTTCTTCATAGGGCTGACGGGCAGCTTCTCCTTGAAACGATCGATCTTGTTGAGGAAGAGAATGATCGACGTCTTAACGAACCAACGCGAGTTGCAGATCGAATCGAACAGGGTAAGCGCTTCCTGCATACGGTTGACAGTCTCATCCTCGAACAGCAGCTGGTCGTACTCAGAGATGGCGACCAAGAACAGAATGGTAGTCACGTTCTCGAAGCAGTGGATCCACTTCTTACGTTCGGACCGTTGACCACCGACATCGAACATGCGGTACGTCAGGTCGCCAATGATGAAAGTAGTCTCGGTGATACCGGTCGTCTTGACACGAGAGCGGAGAACATCCTGGTCCGTAGGAAGGTAATCGGGCTGAGCGATCCGGTCGATGGCATCAAAGTAGCTGGCAACAGTCGGTTAGCGAACACAACGAATCCTTCCGATCTCTTCACGGTCGCACTCACTATTTGGCCGAGTCGTTGAGCTGGTACTCGCGAGAACGCTTGAAGCACTCCTGAACACCGGTGTCGCGCCAGAGAGCGCCAATGGCACCGCCAACCTCGGGGGGCAGGCTGTCACCTTCGATCTGAGCGGGTTGCATAAAAACGGTCTGCACGTGGTATTCGTGGCGGGCGTCTTCCAACGGAAGCTCGAGCGATTCCATGGCCTCCAAGATAACGCGCATCGACTGCACCGTGTTGCTGTAGATGATTTCCTTGAAGGATTCCCGTTCATCGCGCGAGTATCCACCCTCGTGGATCAGCTTCATCTGCTTCAGAATAGTCGACTTTCCGGACTCTCCAGCTCCTGTGGAAACTCAGTTAACCAGGGGAGCTCATCAACCACTGCCGTCGTTCTCTTCCTTCATAAGAATGACCGCAATTCGGATTGAGGGAAGGGCTGCGTACCGAGCAAAAGCATCTTGATCTCGTTTCGCTGCAACATCTTGTCCCGCTTGAGCTGATTCTCAATCTCCTCGTTGCGGGCCTTGCCCTCCTTATCTTCGGTACTCATTCCGCAACCCATGTTGGCGGTAGTAAATGAGAGTGGTCGAAAAGCGACGGGAAGGAATCGACGAAAAGGTAGTGGTTGATGGAAGTGTCACAGTGGTCGATGGAAACCTGTCGAGGACCAAAAGAGGCGATGTCAGCGAAAGGGAATTCTCCGGGTCCGGTAATCGTTAAACTATGCCGTCGGCAGCGCTGAACGTGGTACTGCACGGATGCGAGCCACAGGTGGTGGAAACAGGCCAAAAAGGAAATTAAAAAAAAGTGAAAATCAAAATGCAAATCATGACAGCCTTGTCTCCAAGCGTACTGATCGTGCAGATGCAAGGGAGTGCAGCCATTTCACCATTTCACCCAGCAAGGCTGGGGGAGAATTGAGGGATTATCCGGGGGGGGGGGAGGCATGGGCGAGACGAAGAGCAATCAAGAGAGGCTTACCGGACACAAACTCTTCTTTCCCACGAAAAGATGAATTGCCTACTTCAACGCGAAAGAAGAAATGAGGAATCCAAATGCAACGACGAAAGATATTACTTCGAGAGCCAAGCGACCGTGCAAAGCCGGAAGGGAGGCAAGGAGAAAAAATCAATTGTAAGCGCGCGAGCTGGGCTGGGCGGAAAGGAGGCGGAGGGTGAAACAGTAATACACCAATCGTGACCACCCCAGAAAATCGAGAGCGAGGGAAAAGGAAGGGGAGAGAGAAGGGAAGAAAATTACACTAATGGAAAAGCAAATAACGAAAGGAATCAAAGCAGGTGAATATCCACGACTCTAATCAGGATGTCTGACCCCCGAATCGACGGATGGAATGCCTGAAGAAAAAGAGCCTTAGAGAGAGGGGGGAGTGGGTGGAGGTGGTGGAATGGGAGGGAAAAGGGAAGGAGAGTGAGGTGAGAAAGAGAGTCAAGTCCGAAGGAAAGAAAAGCCGGAGCAAAAGCGAGAGGCTGAGGCGACAAGGATAAGCTCAGTAAGGGGCGAAGGATTGGGAAAGAGGGGCGTGGATGGAATCGCAGAGGGAAAATATGTACTGAGAGGCCGAAGGGGGGACTGCCAGCCAAAGAGATCCCAGAGAAAATGGGAAACAGAGGGAAAAAAGAGGGAAGGAAAAAAGAGCAGGGGGGAAAAAAAGAGAGAGAGAGAGAGGGGGGGGGAACTTTGTCGAGGTTCCTTTTTTTCTGGAACGATAACCTTCATCCTACTGGATCGTCAATAGGGGGTGGGGGGGGGGTTGGCGCTGGGGCGGGTCCGGATGGGTCTGTTCTGCATGGCCATTGGTCAACAGGGTAAGGGGGTGATAGTGGGGTACCCCGCCAACCGGACCAATGACATTATTCCGACAGCCCTCCCCTTTTTTTGACGATTCTAATTTCTATTAAAGCAATCCTAGTCCAAGTCCAAGACCCAGGGCGCGATCAGACTGTACGCGAGGGAAATTGTATCCTTCTATCCGACCACGAGGGAGGGCAGTGGACCGTGGAACACTCGAACAGAACAATGACAACCGACTTCATCGAGCATGCACCGTAGATGGACACATCACAGGTTGATGTGCTCTGTACTCGAGACGAACCGGGAGAGAGTATTTAGCGCCTGGTGCCGGAACAGGGATGCAATCGGCCTGCCACTGCAAGTATCTCCTGATGAATAATGCTCATTGGTAACTCTGATTTAATTTCCCGGCCATGCAGATCTGCTGCTTTGACGAGAGACTAAGATAGACTGGGTAGGTGAATAAGAATTATGAAATCACCGCGCTCTCAATCGCCAATACTGTACGGCGTGCACGAACATCATCAGTATGCAGGAAGATGGGGTACCTCGTAACCTTCTAAACTTCACCTCCCCAATCAAGGAGTTGTTCCGGGACGCAGGAGATTTTCTTAAAGCCTGCAGTGCCAGTTTCAAGTGCCGCCACCCTAGTGGAGATCCGACGCTGCAGTCTCGGATCGCCAGGCACCTGGACTCTCCAGTCTCCAGAATAGAATCTAGAGACCGACCGACACGAAAGTCACCGCATGATTCAAGACATCCCGTTGGACTTCTAGAAGAATTGGAGGCTTTCCATGCGTTGCTTTCTTCCACGTGTGTAGCCGGTCTGCCTGGTTTAACCTCCGGAAGAATTTCCCTGGTGGCGAGGGACAAAGGCTTGATGGTGCTCGCAATTCTGATAGTACTGTACGCCGTAAGCCGGTGAGGCCGTAAGACTTAAAGTATCGTAAGATCTCCACTTGTAAACTGCCGTCGATCCTCTCTCTCTCTCACACAGTCTCTCTCTCACTCTCCGCACCAGAAACCGGAATCACAAAAATCCAAAAGAAACCGCACTAGGCTCGGAGATATGTACTGGATTGTGTGGTGAGGATGGTGATCCCCAGTCCGCATCATCTTTTGTCCCAGCCCTCCCCAAGGAGAGTTTCATGCGTTTCGACTTTCGACTCACTCAGAAACATCCTTCCTCTGGCCTCAAAAAGCTGCCGGTTTCTCCCCTGCCTCAGAACTGATACACCATCTATGGTTCATGTTCCACCTGCGTCGCCCTCGTCCATGGATATGATAAGCCCGACCGTACAGTTATCCATGGTTCCGTGACCAAACTAAAGGACCTTAGGGCGATCTCCACCGTCTAGTGCTTCTACGGGGTAGTTTTGCCTTCTCCTTTCGGACCTCGTGGCAGATTGCCATGAATATGTAATCAATAAATCTTTATCGACTGGGTCAGAGTCGGACAATCACACGGTCTGCAAGTCATCGCTAATCAGAACCTCTGTAAAATTGGGTCCCCAGCACGACTATTGAGCACACTTTGGCGCTATTGCCTTTTTTTCTTATTTTGCGACTCCAGGGCTACTACTCCGTACAACCCAGACTCTCCGTCTCTAGCCTCTAGTCTCTGTTTGACTAGTGTAGTCGGTTACATTCTCTTCTTATGTAGTTACTAGTTAGTAAATTATTGTGCAATCAATTAACCACGAGAGGGATGGTCTAGAGAGTAGAGTCTAAACGGACAATTCACAAGGATTACCTAGCCCCATGAGCTTACTACTAGTGAGGTTCCTTGTGCATTTTGGGATTTGCAACTTGCAGGTCAACAAACATGACAGCATCCGATCTCTCACCCAGTCGTTTGGGACTGACTATTGGTTTCTCCCGCAAACACACGACTACATCTGGGACACTCTGGAGCCTGGATCACCCATGTCGCGGCCATTCGGTGATATATACGGAGTTCGGCGTACCACCTTACTAGACGAGACCGCGCGCGACACTCGACACCTACCCAAATCTGACATTTTGAATCTTGAGTGGTATAGATAATTCCTGTACATATGAGGCGACTCATCCATGGCACTGGCGTGAGGCAACCAAAGCAAGGTGCCATGCTTGAACCTTGGAAGCTCCACTGCGATGGTTTGGAATCTAGGGTTTTCCGCCTTCGATCCCGATCCGATCTTTCTCTTTCCTCCCTCTCCATATCAATCTAACCAGATCGTCTGGTCCCTATATTTCTCGTACTTATTCTTACTTGTTTATTTCTACTTTCTATAAGATTGTCAATTATTCCCACCAGTCTCCTATCTTTAGTTCCCTTCTCTCGATATAATCGCCGAAAATGCACGAAATGTCACACATGGGCCCTCGGGGTGCGAGCTGATACCTTTCCATTCCACCATCCTCCCTCGCATCGCTAACTCATGCCTGACCCCGTTCGCACCCACCATAACAGCCTTCAACCATGAACAGAGCAGCGACGCCGAAGCCGAATACGATCGTCTTCGCGACCTAGCCAGACAAGAAGCCTCGAAGCGCGGCTCGTGTTTCCAACGGGTGCGCTCTTCTCTCTCCTTCCCAGACGATCGACCCAACTTCCCTCTCCGTCTCCGATTGGCTTGACCGGGGATGGGGGGAGCCCAGAACGAGACCGAAAATAGAATGCGAGGAAAGAGCTAACGCGACGCGTGATAATGATAGTCCCAAGAAGCCTACAGCAATGGCGACGGCGCAGCGGCCAAGGAACTGTCGGAGCAGGGCAAAGCCCACGGTCGCAAGATGGAGGAGTACAACAAGCAGGCATCCGAGTTCATTTTCCGCGAGAACAACGCCAACGGGCGCGTCGAGCCCGATACCATCGATCTGCACGGACAATTCACGGAAGAGGCCGAGGAGATCCTGGAAGAGCGCATCAAATACGCGCGGCAGCATGGCCAGAACCATCTTCATGTGTGAGTTGCGATGCTGCGCCCTTTCTTTATAGGCTGTGATGCATTTTCGCGGGGTAGTCAGTGCAGCGACTAACGATTGCTCGGTCGCAAATAGGATCGTCGGAAAAGGTAATCACTCGGCGAACCATGTACAGAAGCTCAAGCCCCGCGTCGAACGAGTCTGTCAAGAACTCGGCCTCCAGTATGCCACCGAGGACAATGCTGGGCGGATCTACGTCAACCTTACCGGTGGAGCGGCTGAGATGCCCTCCTACGGTGGTGGTCAGCCTTCGCAACACCAGTACCCCGGACAGCAGCCGCATCACCAACAGCAGCATCACGGCCAACAGCAGCAGCAGCAGCAGGACCCCTTGGAACAGGCGGTCAACTCTATTCTTCCGCGGGTCATGCGCAAGCTGGAAAAGGCTTGCTGTATTGTTATGTAGGAAGTTCATGGTACAATCGACATATATCACCTATAATGTTTTGGATGATATGGGATTTGATACATGATATCACATCTTTATCTTCCTTTCACTTGCCTGGAGTATGAATGGATTATTCATCAAAGTTTTGGATCATTATACCCAGGGCGCTTGGTTTCTTCTTTTTCTGGGGTTCAACAAAAGAGCTTACAATACCTTTGATATACTAAAAATATACGCCTATTGGATGGAATTATTCACGGGTTACAGTCAGGGGCCATAGTTATGAGGGTCTGTTTAGTAATAGAGGATTCGTCACGGTCATTATTATTAGGGCCAATTCAGAGAATGCTAAGGACAGAAAAATAATAACAGGCTGCCAAATGATAGCTGATGGTCCCACCTGGTAGGACACATGTTGAGTACAGCAAATGCGAGAAAACTGGCCCGCTTATTTATCGGGCCCTCCGGCGTTCAAAGTCGCCTCAGTGATCTTGTTGAGGATCGATCGCACCATCGCGCCATCATCGCGGTCCTCGGGATTCTTCCCAGTCCCACTGGCCTCGATATCGTCTATCAGCTTTAACGCCTTCTGAAGCAAACCTCGAACAACCTCCTGTGTGTGCGCAAAGCTGCCGGTGCTCTCCATGTAGCTCATCGCGTATAGCTTGACCTCCTCGTCCTTTGTTCGCTGCTTGAGAATATTGATAAGTTGATGGTTTTTGGGGTTCGAACGAATGCTGTGTATGATGGGGAATGAGAATTTTCCCTCTGTAAGGTCCTCACAGAGACCTTTATGTTTGGTGTATGTTGTGTTGGACAGGTTCAAATAGTCATCACAGATCTGGAAGATCAATCCCAGCACGTTGACAAGGCTCACACAGTCTTTCCCCGTGCTACTTTCGGCCTGCATTAATTTCACCGCCAGTCGAAAGAGGCCTCCGGTCTTATTCCCGACCATCTCTAGGTATTCCTCCTCGCTGGGGCAAGTGAGCGTGTCTCGCCAAAAGAGATCCATTCCTTGACCACGGTGCAGATTGAGCAGTTCTTGAATGTAGATGTTGATCGCTGTAGGATTATTCAGTTTTTGAACCTCTTGGAGAGCCAGAAAGTACACGTAGTTTGCCGAGTTGATGGTTTGCGCTGTGCCGAAGATGTTGTGCGCCACGGGGATTCCACGCCGGAGGACGGAGTTGTCTTCGACATCGTCGATTCTATGCGATGGGCGTGTTCGATTAGTACCGACTTCGGCGTTGCCATACGGAATTAGAGGGGGTTCATCGTACAGTAACGAAGCCGTGTGAAGCATGGCTACCACTTTGTTGATGATCACGAGGCTCTCCAGGGGAACCTTCAGCCACGCATTGAAGGCATTGATGAGCTGCCGTCGAATGTCCTTGCCTGGATGCTGTAGCATGTAGTCATAGGGCCCCATCAATATCCGTTCGTTCTCCGGAGACCATTGGCCGTCGCGATGTTTCGTCCCGTCCAAGCTGGACACGTTGTGGGTATGTCGGCGCGACGTGTCCATATTCGTCTGTAGAGAGTCACCGTTCATGGATAGGCGCCCTGTTTCCGGGATTGTCGTTAAACCGTTAAAGATGCTCGATAAATAGGGGGATGCATAAATGTGGTCGGCCATACCAGCTGAGCTTGTGCGAGGCGGAATAGATGTGGGGGGATGGAAGGAAGAAGATTCCGAAGACATGGTGAATTTTGCCGGTGGTTCCCTGTCGGTGAATTGAAACAAAGGGAAAACGGTGGTCCTCAATTGTGAAAATCTCCGCGACAGCCTGAAGCGACAGCTCAAGTCATATTGTCGACCAGAATGCCCGGGACCAGGGCTTGTTATATAGAGAGTGGTGAGCAGCATCGCCGCAAACGCCCATGCGGGGGAGAACCTGGCGCTCGATCAATCACATGCAGATCACGTGCCACAACGGGGAAGGCGGTCGCCAATTCGTCACTCGAGCCAATCTTTGCCCCCTCCTTCTTACTTCTTTCTCTATCACACACAGAACCCCCCCCCCCTCCACACGATAACTCCGGACTCCGACGAGTTCGACCGGGATATGCTGCACGAGCCCCCATTGTGTCACGGGCTAAGGATATGCGATGTGCCCCTGTAACCGACCATGCAAGGAGCCGGCCTATCCCATCCGTTCGAGACCAACCGCAGCGAGGCAGCACAAATTTGGGCTTCGTTTCGGCTGACCGTCGTGCGACAAGACTGAATTGTACGGAAAATGCACGGAAACTAGACCAGAAGAACGGGCTTTGTTTTGGGGGCTCCGAAAATGTGGCGCTGCTGAGCCTGACATCATGACAGCAGCAGCACCTTATCTTAACCATCGAAGCGCAGTTGATGACGACCGCGCGTTTCCCGGGGCAACCGTCGCAAGTTTTCCTGCCAGATGTGGGGGGCAGGAGTACTAAACGCTGACTAGTTCGTCTGTCGGCACGATCAGCTGAAGATGGGCGACAACTTGGGTAAAAGGGTTAAATTTTCGCGAACAAGCTATCATCTATCGTCAATAATTCCATTTAAATTAGGTTCCTGGGGTCCCTGGCCTGGCCGGATCGTGTTCTATTTTCTCCTTCTGGCCCTGTTCTAGATAATAAACACCGTCATATCCTCTTGGCGTAGGGGCCGAGCTTCATTTTGCTGTCTCCCATTCTTCCTATTTTTTCTTTTTTTTCTCCCTTCTGCCCACCTGCATTCCCATATTTTACCCATCACAAAGCCATTTCTATTTCCTATTCTACAAATTTACACCTCATCTTTCCCGCCCAATGGAGACTTTGCTGGCCCATTCGTTTGATTATCTCTCCTCGTACGAGCCAAGCAAAGTTCGCAAAGGGTTACGCCAGGTCGAAGGCCTTCTCGCACAAATATGTTTATCCAAGTCGAAACAGCCGGCGTCTGACAAACGGAGGTCGCTTCTATCCTTTGGAGCTCCACAGCCGGTTCCCAAGGCGCTCTCGGAGCTCAAAGATGATCCCGCCTTCAGGGAATTCTTCAAACTGCAGGAGGGGTTTCAATGGAACGGTAGGTGCTAGTCCGACCCGGCGTGAAGCTGTCAGGTTACCCAATGATTCCGATACTAACAAGCCCGAAATAGTGGCGATGCGTCTGGTAACGTGTCTGGAGCATCTCCTTGGCCGAGGAAGCAATGGCACCAACGACCTTCTCATCATCTCCACCCTCGACCTGATCCAAGGCGCGCTTCTTCTCCACCCGCCGTCGCGGACGCTTTTCGCGCGCGAAATTTACATGAACCTACTATTGGACCTTCTCGACCCGATCAACTGCCCCGCCATTCAATCCGCGACTCTCCTGACCCTGGTCACTGCGCTTCTCGACCATCCCGCCAATACGCGCACGTTTGAGGAACTTGATGGACTCCTCACGGTGACGTCGCTTTTCAAACAACGCGCAACCTCCCGCGAAGTGAAGCTTAAACTGGTCGAATTCTTGTACTTCTATTTGATGCCGGAAACGCCGCTCATCTCGAACGGCGCAGCGGTTAGTGCGCCGAACACCGCAATGGGTGGCCACCAGCGCAGTCCAAGCAAGCTACCAACGCCGGTGTCAAGAAGCGTACACGCCCCCGCCCAGTCACATGCGAAGGCGCCCCGAGATACGCGCACAACCGACGAAAAGCAATCCTTGCTGGGAAGGTATCTGAACAACGTGGCGGATCTGGTAGAAGACCTTAAGGAAACAGCACCGTTCGGGGCAACGGTTTGCTAGCAGGCCTAGGATGCGCCGTCTCATATTCGTCCCCTTCTTTTTTTTTCTCATTCGCCTCATTATTTTCTTTAATTTTTCTATGTATATTCAGCGATGGAGCGTGAGTTCACGGGATTGCTGACCGGGGTGTCAATTTCTTTTGCCTTCGGTTCTGTTACACCCGATTCCCTTGTGTCATTGTCTTTTTCCTTTCCTTTTCTCTTTCTTGCCTCTTCTGTTTTTCTCCTTTATCCCGTCTGGTACGGTCTTTGCTACCGACTTCCTTCTTTCCCCCATGCTCACTATCATGTCTCTCCTTCAATCCTATGACTTATGAGCCTTTTTGATGTCATATCTCATGTTTCACGTTTGTGACTAGTGCAAGAGAAATGACCCTCTTATCTTGATCGATGATATAAAATGGAATCAGCCTTCAATTTCATTAAAACAGCCTCTTATTCAGTAGTTTAGATATTTGTGTTTTCCAAGGTTCCAGTAACATAGCCTAACTCCAACCTCTTCGTCTCTCGGACTGTCGCACTGTCGCATTTAGGTTTGAATATTTTCACTACACCGCGATGGGGCCAGGAACAGTTCACGTTTATATGGATTGTACATACTACATGTCCCATGCAGGATCCCAACGTGGACTAGTACCTGCAGAACGCACCATGGCCCAAATACCGACATGCAACCTGGGAACATTTTGTTCGTATTTGGGATCAAAATGTGACTCATCAGATGGGTATTCTCGGATGAGTCATGGTTGAACAAAAGACTTATAAGATTTTCCTTTGCTTCTTTTTCTTTGCTAATGTATGAGTGAGGTTTATCAAACATTTCTCTCAAAAGTCCTTCAGATACCATGGCAGATACGATTCAGACTGCATTGACCGGTCAAGGTCAGTCCTCGGGCTCTACTCCGGTTCAGTATGTGGAGACTGTCGAGGCGTATAACCAGTGGGCAGAGGTATGTGTGTTGTAATTCTTTCTAGTTTATATATATCATTCTACCTATTAAGAGGATGTTATAGATAATAGTCTACCGACGTAACTAATCAAATGGATAGGTCTACGACACCGACGGAAACTTCCTACAAGCGCTCGACACCATCGAAATGATCCAATTACTCCCGCTCTTTCTAACCCGAGTAGCCTCCTCATCTAGCTCGACAAAGCTCGTCGATCTAGGTTGCGGTACAGGTCGAAACACCCTCCGACTAGCGCAACTGGCTCCCCCGGGTACCGAAGTAGTTGGGGTGGATGCGTCGCCGGGAATGTTGGAGGTTGCGCGGGAGACGATTCGTAAAGCGACAGAGCGTGACAAGGACGAGGACGAGGGCTTCTCTGGGTCTATTTCGTTGGATACGTTTGATCTGCTGCGGTCGCCGCCCGCACCGCCGGAATGTGCTCTCGGAGCTGCAGGGGTGATCTCGACGCTGGTGCTGGAGCATATCCCCGTGACGCGGTTCTTTGAAGGCGCTGCGGCGCTGCTGGCACCGGGTGGGTATCTGTTGGTTACGAATATGCATTCGGATATGGGGGCTATCAGCCAGGCTGGGTTTGTGGATACGGCGACTGGCACGAAGATCCGGCCCACGAGTTACTCTCATACGGTGGATGAGGTGGTGGATGCGGCGCAGAAGGCTGGGTTCACGGTCGAGCAGATGGAAGGGGAGAGAGTGCGCGAGAGGATGGTGGATCAGGATTTGGCAGAGAGGCTGGGGAAGAGGGCGAAGAAATGGGTTGGCATAACGGTGTGGTTTGGGGTTTGTTTTAGGAAGAATGCGGTATGAGGTGGATATGCTTTGTTTTTGGTTTCCTTTCTTCTGGCTGGATTCAAGACCCTGGATTTTGTGGGTTCTTCCGATGACACTGAGGTCTGTAATATACAGGATTAAATAGTTGGGTGGTCTAAACGTGCACAGTGAGAGATAGGGCCCGGTTTGAAAGACCCCATCTAGAAGAATTTGAGTAGACGTTCCCGGTGCTGTACAAGGTTTTCATGCTGCTGCAATAGCTGGCCCAGTCGATTGCGCTTCCACCCCATTCCCTCGTCGAGAATCAGATGCGTGTATGCGAACACGCTGGCATCGAATAATCCTGGATTCGAGCGACCAAAGAAGTGGAGCTGATCTCCTAAAAGCGTCGAGAGCGCCTCGAAGGCATCGGCCGCCTCGGCCTCCAGCGCACTGGCATCGATATACTGCGACGACTTGAGGATTTCATCTCGAGCCGCCTGTTGAAGCTGTATAGAAAGAGTGGCGCGAACGAGTGAATTGGTAGTTGCGGGCACCACGTAAAGTCTCTTGGCCACGGCCTCGAAGTTTCCCTGGTCCAGGTAGAGGGAGTATAGCTGTTCAGAAGTCAGCAAGCCGTTTCTGCGTCATGGTCCCCGGTCAAGAGCAACGCACCCAAGCATTCCGTATCCGGTGGTCTAGCAGCGATGCGTAGACCTCGAAGCGCACGTCGAGCTGTTGCTCCTCTTCACAATGTACTTGTTCAATGGCCCATTTTTGTAGTTTGTTGGAAGGTATCGGGCCATTGGCCTGGGGCGGATGTGCGGGGAGGAGGAAAGGAAGGGCACCGGTGGGCGACGCGTGGTTGTTCGATGGAATGATGTCGAAGTCGATTCCGACGAATTTCAAGTAGGCCTAAAGGGAAACAAAGCAGAGCGGGATGAGAAAACGCGCTCGACTGATGTAGATAAGGCCGGGTTCAATGATATACCTGCCACTTGAGACATTGCGGGTTGAACGACGGTCGACCCCGACGGGCTCCCGTTGCGTCTGTGAAGACAAAAAGTCCATTCCCGCGGCGGGACGTCCCCGAGCTTTGAGGAAGGTCATTGGGAGGGAGTGTGACGAGAGGAAATCGGTCGAAGATGCGTTTGATCGGAGCAGGGATGGCGAAATAGTCCCGGGTGCGCGAGACAGAATGGGCCGACACCTGGCCGGCGGGATCACGGGTTTCGTTGGCCATTGAGAAGGGAGAGAAGGGGAGAGAGAAGGGGAGCGAAGAAAATTCCAAGAAGCGAGACACGCGCCAAAGCCCAACGATGCGCGGATTGTCGTAATGATGCGAAAGCCGAATTCTGGACGTTCGAATTCCGCCGATTCGACCGCCGCCAAGCCTCAGGCATGAAGGCACCGACACAGGCACCGAGTTGTCGAGGTGTTGAGGTGTCGAGGTATCCACACGTGCCTGAGCGCCTTGATTATGCAATCCATCTTCCAGTTCCAGGCCAATCTTTGTTCACATTCCCTTCTTTCTCCCCCGCACTTCCTTGACGTTCACCTGTTTTCTAGCGGGGCTGGTGGGATAAAGCCATACAGTCGCGCTTCTTTAATAATAATATTATTATTACCGTCCAACCGGTGAAGTCCGCCGCCGCCTCCTGCTCTTATATTGGCCCCTCTACCGTGTCGTCGCATCACCCAAGGTGAACCGATTCGTTCCGTCCGCCAGTCTCGTTATCATAGACGCCGACCTGCCATTTACTGGGTCCCTCTACTTCAACGCTCCTAAATTTCTGTCGCAACGCAAATCCAGTCTCGATGAGATCTCAGTCAATTTGAGCCGTGTCGCACTAATTTCTGAGAGTGAGTCTCGAGGTGGAGGCCAAGGTCAGACCGCATTGGTCGCGGTGGAGTAGGCGCTCCGTTTTGCGCAAGTTTTCTCTGGCGTCGATAGGCGTGTCGTCGCGGCGCACTTCTCAGTCGATATCCTCAGGCGAGTAGGCGACAGATGCTTTCCTCTTTGAGTTTGCTCACACTATCGATCATTCCGTCAATATGCCTTTGGACGAAGAAGGCGCCAAATGGTCATGGTAAGAAACCGCTCGCAGTCGCTTATCAGTAGACACTGGACTGACCTGGATTTGCGTTGGTGTGGTCTAGCGAGCCGTGTATTCGTGGCCATCGCTCCTCAAAATGTCAGCATTTCGATAGACTGATGATGAAGGTCCCCAAAGCCGGGCGACCTCTTGCTAAATGCCCTCACCCAAAAGGCACCTGCAGCTGTCAAAAGTCGTACGCGTTTATGATCCGCATACCAAAGGGTCAGTGGCTCTTTTGAATCCTCATCTTCGGGGCCGCCTACTAACCAACTCTGTCTCGCAGGCAGTACTTGTCTTTGTAGACCAGTATATCAAGTACCCGTGGATCCGGGTGATCCAGCCCCGGCCATGACACCAGCTCCTCTTGCTCCTACACTTTCTCCTGCTCCTGGGAAAATCCAAAAGTCCTCTAAACGACAGGTTAAAACCGCCCCTGAAACTATTGCGAAAGCCCTGCATTCAATCCCGGAATTCAAGAAGCCGCAGACAGGAAATGGAACGCCTAACGGCCTGTCCCCATTCATACGCAATTCGCCAGATAGCCTGAACCAGAGTACCGACGCACTAGGTGCTTTTGTACCGCAGAGAGCGACTCTGCCGGAAACTACCAAACCGCAGGGCGGGAGCTGTTGCTCGGGGAAATCGCAGAAGCCGGCGCCACCCCAACCACAGAGTTCTTGCTGCAAAAAGTCCGATTCCCCCGTAATGAATGGCCTTCCCGCCGGGAAGCCGAGCGAGCACCAGAGTGTTCCTTATACTTCATCGCTGAACGGGAACTCTTATACACCAGTAACGGCACCGCCTCTCTCTCCGTGGCAGGACTTTCAAGTCCCTGGACAAAATCACTATATGCCCCCCTTCTCATTTGACCAACCGCAAAGTGGAACTTCTGCCTATACTCAGAATTATTTGCCTCAAATGCCCCAGAATGGCTCCTTTGCATTTACCAACGGTGGAATCTCTGGCAGCATTGATTTCAACCCGTCTGTCCTGCCATCGTCTCTGGCGCACGAGCCTCAAAGCCTCCACCATCAGGAACCGGGAAGCTTCGACAACAAACCCGATCATGACTGTAGCTGCGGTGAAGGCTGTCAATGCCTTGGCTGTGCTTCACATCCTTTCAACAATACCACGAGGCAGCATGTTCAAGAGATGGGCTTGTTGGTTACTCTCGATGGGGAGCAGACTCTGGAAGGGTTCAACGGTTTTCAGAGTCCACCAGTACATGCCAACTACCCAAGCGTGCCACCAATGAATTATTCTCTTCCAGAGTTTAATCATACTCTGATCAACGGTACATCACACATGGGAATGCAGCCCTATGGGGAGGTGGATACCAGCTCGAACCAGCTTAGCAATGGCTATTCTTCACCACCTGCCGAGTACACGCCCGGGCAAACACTGATGGAGCCCTCAGAGTATTACACTCTTGAATACCCAGTGGGATTGCCATCTGGGTGCTCTGATGTGACGGGAAGTTGCCAGTGCGGCAATGATTGTTGTTGCGTTGGCTGTCTTACCCATAGTGGCCACGATGGCTTTTCTTTGGAGGCTACCGCAGCAGAAAACATCGAAGCCCCAACGGTGACTGCAGGTGAGCTGGGTGTCAGCACTTCTAAGAGTGAGGCCATGAACAATTTTTCTAGCCCCTCTTCAACATCCATGCTGTAAAATCCTTCGACTCATTTCTGACCTTGCTCATGCACATATTTTCCCCTTGTTTGTTTTTTTTTTTTTTTTTTTTTTTTTTTTTTTTTTTTTGGGTGGGGGGGGGGGGGGGGCCCATATTAAAATAATAAAACAAAAAATTATAGGGCAAACACAGGGAAAAT